GTTTTGAGCTTATAAGTTTAGTTATTGAAGGCAAAACCTAAATATACCCCTCCTTTTACAGAGAACCCGAGATACTGTCCTGTGTTCTCGAGTACCTGTACAAGGGTGACTATTACCCCCGCCTGCTCCACAACAGGCGCCGCAACTCTTGGGCGCTCGAGGACGCCCAGGACCCCTATAATAAAGGAGGCCGCGGGTCAAGCGAATCGACAATTTTCCACTCTGGTGTTGGTGCCAGTGTCCTCAGAGATACTGCTGTGTATTGCACTGCTGAGAGGTACGGCTTGGATGACCTGAAGGCTCTTGCTCTTCGGAAACAAGGCCTTCAGACTGGAATCCCTGTCGACGTGATCCTTCGATCGGCTCGGTATGCGTACGACCAAACACCAGACAGTGAGTCGCGGCTCCGCGCTCATTTTCTTGCCCTGATCATCAGAAGTCGTAAGACTTTTAAGAGGAGTGGAACCATGCAGATGGAGATGGAAAGTGGCGGCAAATTGTTCTTCGATCTTTTCGTGGCAATGTGCAACCACATCGATGACATTGTCGAGATCAGGTAAGCTCTCTCCTCCATCTACCTTGTTGGCTAATATCACCCTCTCCGCCATTGTCACCAGGAGCTTACTTAGCATTTCTATGGCCGAGAACAGCAACAACCGGTCTCCCAAAGTCATCTAAATGAGATTGCACTGAGTTTTACGGAACAGCTCGAGCGCCTAGGAGTTTAATAAATTGGATTCAGGGAGTAATCTAAACCAGAATGTGCAGTATTGACAACGAGAAGTTCTCCCGAGGTTGTGTTTTCTATCTTACGCGAAAAACATTCCCTTCTTTTCGAGGTTGGCCGCCAATTTTTGGTTTAGAAGAAAACAAACCCTCTACTCTTTTTTTAATATATCCCCCTGACGTATGCCGGCAATTTGCCTTCACGTCCCCAAACTAATCCTCCGGAAGGAAACATTTCTACAGCCAAGTCTGCGACGTCTTTCGCAACGATTTTCCTTTTCCAAGCCTTTTTGGGTTTGCTTAATGTCTTTTTTTGTTTCAACCATCTTACTACATCTGTCTATTTTTGGCATTCCGCTATTATCGCGCCTTGACAAGGAGGTGTCTTCATTGTACGATACTTCCCGGCTGCGAGGAACCTCGCATGATCAGGTTTTTTACAAGAATTTGAGAGATTCGGCCACCTCAAAATTCCTTTGCTTAGTTCTCTTGTTTCACACTCGTAAAGTCTCGTAGACAAGTTGTTGATGTATTCATACGATGCTCAACATGCCTGTTTTACTAATTGAAAATTAACTATGGAAGCACTGAGTTTCATCTGAGGTGTTTTATTGGGTTGACTCTGTTTTGTTATGTTTTAACAAGAAGGTGATCATATATTTTGAATTCCCTTCCTCAGACTCTTAAGATATGAAAAGCATGCTTGTGTTATTTCTCTGAGAATGAAGAGCACAGCTGCTCTATTGCTGCCTGATCGGACGGCAACTAGTTGGAGATTTTCTCTCTTCAATTGACTCCGTCACCCGCCTTGGCCTCTTATCTCAGGTTGCCCCTAATCAACCACCTTTTATCGATGAGATCAACACCCCGGAGCCACACATGCCCTTCCCCCAAATCTGAAAAGAACCACTCCATCTTTCTAACTAACCCTTTCACCCTTTACCCGCAGGAACATCTCATTGGCCAACTACCTTACTTGCCCACTCGGCCAGTTCGCGGCCCGCTGCAATGGACAATCTTTGGAAGTTCTACCCAAAAATTGACTCTCACAGAGTCCTCACAGAGGAGGATGTTTCCTCGTCAAGTATCGTGAAAATGGGAAACTCTGGATCAGAATGATCTGCTTCAAATAGATGATAACTGCAGAATCCAGGTGCAACTATCCACTGAAAGTCGATAATTGGAAAGCCAAGTTTGATCGGTGGCATTATCCCGTTTACCTACCAAAGAAAGGGGGGGAAATGTGTGCAAATCAATCAACCACATATAACTCCCTCCCCTTTCTCCCTATTCCCTAAGTTTTACGATACAGTTCGTTGCCGAATATCTAACAAAACACTTATTTTCTGTTATTTTCCCATTTCTGTTTGGTATCGGGTAAATTTCATCAATATCTTCAAAATTCATCGAAAAGTTACTCAGAGTTCGAGACATGTCCCGAATACAAATTTTTCTGGAAGGTTCTCGACTTTGCTTTGGAGTGCAAAGGTATTTCGTTCTGGAAATGGATGGCTCTTGGGGTGTTTAAGGAACAGCAAGAGATCATGGTGCAACATATCAATAGTCAAGTACACGCACATTCAACTACACAGGATGCTGCCAAAGAGCCGGAGTGAAGCGACTCTAATCCTGCTGCGCACAATCCTATCAAAGAGAACGGCAATTGATCCAAGGGAAACCAGGAGGTAATCTAATCGATCACCCGTTTCCTGAGCTAGCTGTTGAAATTGTTCTATATAAAAAAAACTAGAGAAAGGATTAGCCAGTATGTTCCTCCTCAAAGAGATCTTTTTAATCAATAGCTCCCTCATCCTATCCCTGGTCAAAAAGGAAGGAAAAATGGGCATTTTGCATTTCTCATTGTCACATCTAACCACTTCCATAGCACAATTCAACAACGATTACGCCAACCACACCAGAAGTGGTACATATACATTGGCGCAGGTAACAACAAAAATCTACAACATGCCTCACCTTTGCATCTCCAATTCTGGTCTTCTTGAATGCAGCCTCAGGCCAATGACAAAGTTACAACAACACGACACCCAATCCGTGAGGATACCTCCCACGCCGACTTTGCAGTGATCAAATGTTTCAAGGAAATCATTGAGCATGCCTCGCAACTCCTTGCCTCATGAAAGGGTCGTCAACATCTTGAAAAGAACCCCCATTACTCCTTCCCATGGCATCACCAACTATCTCGAGGGTCTGGCGACCCATGAGGGCCATGAGAAGGAATTATTCCGCTGCGGTTACATCTATTCTTAGGACAGACATTCAAGATTCCCACATTGCAGGCCATTGCCCTAACGGAAAATTCGCCTTGGATACCCAGTGATTAGCTATAAGGTAATGCTAACGCTTATTGCGTCTGTTTTTAAACGTCTGCATTCCTATTTTAAAACACGACTGTCACTGGGACGCTGGTGGGACAATATGGGGAGGAGACGGAGCCGTTAGGAGCGCACTTGATTGATGGTTGGTGACATATATGGTTGTGGCGACGAGAACGGAGGATTGTCCTTACTGGAACACTGTGGGGAAGTTTGAGGTGTTGAAGAGCACTGTGCTGACAAGGGTGGCGGGGTTGGATATGGATGGGCTACGGAAATAAGTGGTTGGGCAAACTAAGGCGTGCGGCGATTATAATGATTTGAAAATGGCTGTTTTAGTTGGAGAATGGGAGTCGCTGGTGATGGATAATGGCAAAATCTGGACTGATATGATGAATTTTATGCATGGTATTGTTTTTCCAAAATGAGCAAAAGCTAGGACAGTGGTTGCATGTAATTAATGCAGAGAGAATCCCATATTGAGCTTGATGCTTTTGCTTTGATAGTTACGGTTGATATCGGAATAGCTATATTGGCAACCTGATCAGCATACAATGTAACTAACTATCTGATAAATGAGGCACCAAATTCCGAGCATCAAATCTAGTAGATTATCTGAGCCGGAGATAATATTTCGTTCGCCATTAGCAATACTACACACTCATATACTGTATTAACTTAATCCAGCGGGTTCTCTGAAAACCATAAAATATTCAATATATTCAACAACCAACACGCTTAAATATTGGAAATGTTAATAAATTAAGACTATGTAATAGTTTAATATATAGTTATTTATTAGGGCAACAGTGTATAGTATGTTCAATCGTCCCACAGCCACTGCAGTGTGGTGGAGCTCACTGGAAAGACATAGCCTCAATCGGAGCTTCAACCTGCATATCAAGCTGCTGGACACGCTCATGATCTTCCTGTACAGATAAAATAGTATCCTGACCTAGATTAGCATGCCTTCATGGCCTTTTCATCATCTTTCGCTCATTCTCTGCTTGTAGAATCTTGATTTCTTGATGAAGAAGATTTATAGTCATCTGTGCAGCCTTCTCAAAATGTTGAAGATGAGATATTGAGCTGCTAGATAGCTGTCTCTTCTTAATAAGACTTCTCTACAAGTGATGAATCTTATGATCAAGCTGATGAGAAATTCGAGATGTTTAAAATGCTAAAGATATTAAGTCTTTAGCATTAACTAAAGACAAAAGTGGTGATGTTGATGTAACAGTTTAGAGATGATTTTTAACAGAACTCTCTCTATATCTAACGATTTAAGCCTTACACCAGCAAAGTCATCATAGATATTCTCTTTAGTAAAGATCTTCTCATGTGCAGATGAATAAAGAGAAAGAAAATCATCTTTATTAATATGATTGTTTTCTGCAATCATTATTTCTTCAATTGGCTTTTCACATATATATATATATATATATATTAATGATTCAAAAACATCAACATTTAGCGATTGAAGAAGATTAGATGTATAAGCAGACATGCAGATAATTGCATTATCTTTGCAAAAATCAAAATCTGTAGTCAGATAACTACTATGATCATCAAGAATAATAGCTGCTTCACACTCACTGAATAGTGTTTAGAATATGATTCAAACATTCTTCTTAGGTCAGATAGTTGAGAGAAAGCAAATATTCTGACCAATGAGGGCAGGGTATTTTGACCAGATCTCAAACCTTCCAAACAACAAGCAACGTCAAAACTATACACAACTGGTAATGAACCGCCGGCAACAACCAGATATATCTCGCGCCATACGTAGGCACGCAGGACTCCCATATAATAAAGCTGCATATCTACAGACATGCACAATTAATCGAATCCACACCCACGATACCTACCTCCCCGTAACTCCAACTCCTACTCCCCTATTCTTCCGACTTGCCTCCTTCATACACACAGACATCCGCAACCATGCTCTCTAGCCTAGCGCCCTACATGGCAAACCCTCGCCAGACCCTCACACAAGTACTCAACTTTGCCCTCGTTCTCTCTACCGCCTTCATGCTCTGGAAGGGCCTATCAGTCATCACAAACTCCACCTCACCAATCGTCGTGGTGCTGTCAGGTAGTATGGAGCCAGCATTTCAACGCGGAGATCTGTTGTTTCTGTGGAATAGGAGTCCGCGCGTCGATGTAGGAGAGATCGTGGTGTATAATGTGCGCGGGAAGGACATTCCGATTGTGCACCGGGTTATGAGGTCGTTTCCAGAGTTGCCTGGTAGGGAAGACAAGAAGAACGTGAAGAAGGGAGGGGAGGAAGGTGAAGAGTAGGTTCTATTCCTTATATGCATATAATGTTTCTATTCTGTTATTTTTTATGTTTATTTCATTTTATTTTCCATTTTGGAATGGAAATGATCAATTGCTCTTGATACTAATGAATTTTTCATCATCTTACCTAGGACCTCCTCCACCCCTTCGCAAAAACTGCTCACAAAAGGTGATAACAACATGGCGGATGATACAGAATTGTACGCTCAGGGCCAGGAGTATCTGGATCGAAAAGAGGATATCGTCGGAAGCGTCAGAGGTTATGTACCAACCGTTGGATACGTGACGATCCTTCTCTCGGAACATCCCTGGCTAAGGAGTGTTCTTTTGGGATTTATGGGTTTGATGGTAGTATTACAGCGTGAATAGTCTGGGACTTTTACATGAGAGCTCTGCTTTCTTTCAGTTGGAGAACTTCCCAACAGGAAAAGCCCTAATTTTCAAATCTGGATGGAGTTCGGACTTCCCGCTTGTCTTTCTTATGGATCTTGCTTCGTCCCACATCCAAGTTCTCTCAGTGTCAATCTCTTTCTTACCTTTGCTTCTTGTTGGCGTATATTGGGAATTTATCCCGGGGTTTGACTGAGATACTTGTCCAAACCTTGGTTTTCAAGAACCAAAAACCTCAAATCACAGGGTGGTCACAGAATCCAAAACAACCCCCGTGAATATTGGAAATAACAACATGAATGAAGATCGAACGTGCGCTTTGTGGAAAGCTGGCTTTTGTGGAGGTTTTCCCACAGAATCCGTTTCCGTGTGGTTCAACTTGGCCTTTGAGCGTGCTCTTGTTATACCTAGCTCTGTCGGGGTATGGAGTATCTTACAACCTAGGATATATCACTTTGGAGAAGCAAATAGTATCTAGACAGCCAACTGTAGAAGTCATAGAACTGCTGAGAATGAAAATTCGTAGTGGATTAGGTAGGAAACAGTAGAAAACTCCTTGAAATGAACACAAGTATAAGGAGAAAGCCTGCAACACAAACCAACACGATGTTGGGCTGCAAACAGCTATAAATAACTCCCAGGAGGAAATGTTGGCAACAATGTTGGTAGAATATATGTCTCATATTGCTGGTTCAACTCCGAGAAACAACAATCTGTCTCCATTTTCGGCCTCGACAATTCCACACATAGCTTGGTGGGATACAGTTGAGCCATCGAAGAATTCCCCGAACTTAAGCACCTGTCCAATAATCTTCCCGGTCCTGCTTGGGCAGAAGGCAGCAACAGAAATAACTCAGAGCCTCACACACGAGCTCACTAACTGCAAACTGCAACACTCGATTTCTCTTTGTATCAGTCCATACTCACACATACGTCTTCTGTCGTGGAGTTTAAACCAGTGCCAAAAATGGGAAGCCAAAAGCGTATTGCCAGGGTAAGTTCCAGCTCTACCCCTCCCCCGCATTCATCTGTCCAATCTCGTATCTCTCAACACACCGGTCCGGTGAGAATATGCTTACGTTCAGAATCACATATATAGGAGCTCAATGAGCTAATGGAATCGCCTCCAGCTGGTATATCTGTCAACCTTGCGAATGACTCGGACCTCTACAACTGGAAAGTGTCCATGCAGGGCCCCGAAGCCTCCCCGTACAAAGTCTGGTCCCACGGCCAAAACCCAAAACCTGAACTCGCGACATTTCCCATTTTCTCCGTAAAATAAATAAATATATCAAAGAAATAACCTGAGCTAACTTGATATCTCTCTGCGCATAGGGCGGCAAATTCACCATAAACCTCTCTCTCCCGACCGATTATCCCTTCAAACCCCCGACCGTCTCCTTTGGTACCAAAATCTACCATCCAAACGTCACCAACGACGACAAAGGGAGCATGTGTCTCGGGATGCTCAAATCTGACGAGTGGAAACCCTCTTCGCGGATCTCTGCCGTCCTGGAATTTGCGAGACAGTTGCTTGTTGAGCCGATGCCAGATGATGCTGTTGAAGCCCGAATTGCGGAACAGTATCGCGATGATCGTAAGAGGTATAACGAGATTGCTCGGGACTGGACGAGGAAGTATGCCATGGGTGGGGCCGATTGATGGATGAAAAATATAATGTGGAATGGGTTAGATATATTGCTATAAGTGCCTTCAAAGGGAAATGGGGCGCCTTCTTGCGAGGAAGAATTTATTGGCTGGTTGGGTGGGTTGGTCCGTAATGGCTGTTACGGATTCCTAATACAATACATTCTATGTGACCTGTGTTATTTCATGAAGGGTTTTCAATGGTGGAAATCATGGCCCGGGTCTTCGGGTTTTTCTGTGCATCTCATCCATGAAATCCGGAGAGGCTTATCACGATTGCATCGTCCTCCAGGTGGGCTTTACATATCAAGTTTACAAAGCATATTCTCGTTCATCTTTTTTTGCAGTTGCATTTATGGAACTTTTGGTGTGTTGGCGTTTTGTCCCCATTTGCGATCTAGGATTCCAATAGATAGATAAACCATAAAAGAGTTTATGTCTTGGGTGCTCAGCAGAGTTCCTTAACTTCACTTTTTAATTAACGTCCCTTCATGTCACAGATGCTGGTGTAAGTTGCAGCAGTGGGAGGCTGTGATGGACTGAGCTATGAGAGTTCAAAGTGAGCGCATTTCTGGTTTCCAAGGTAGTTAATAAGAGAAGTGCAGAATTGAAGACAGCTTGGAATAGGAAAGTTTTTTCAGTGGATGAGTAGGTAGTTTTGTAGTATAGCTGGAAGCCTTTCCTTCAAGGATGGCACAGGATATGGGGAATGTCTTCGTAAGAAACTGAACTAGCTATCACAATCTCTAATTTTATAAAACCAAAAAGAGATAGAAAAGCCATAATCAAACGTAGGTAAAACAATCAAGAGAGGTAATATGCATCGTTACGCCTGCACACGCAGATTAAGCAGCCATAGGCGCAAGTGTAATGAGTTCTAAAAAAAAAAAAAATTCAACGATGTCATAAAATGACGTATTCCCGTATTGGAATCGATACAACCAAGGGTATTCGCCTTCAACAGGCAAGATATCATGCTGACACTCCCAGAAATCATTCATTAGCAAATGTTGGAAGAATAGCCTTTCCGTTCAGTTTCCTGGGTAGCTCATCATGATGCACTTTCGAGCCCTTGCCCCATGTTCGAGCAAACCTCTCAAAGGCCGCTGCCAGACGTTCAAAAACCGGCTCAACTTTCACAGCCCACGCATTAGCGATTGCCAACAACACGGCAAAAAATACAGGAAGTGCAACTACCAGTATACCCTTCGTTGGCTCGGGGATAAGGGGCGGCGCATCGAACATCCCATCTTGATAACTCTTCCCATTCGAAGTCCACATCAACACTGATGACCCGAAAGTTAGCCAAGTGAGACAGGTTCGGATAAGAGTGCCGTGTAGGAGGTAAATTGGGTAGCTCAGTCTGCCCAGCCAGAGGAGGTAGGGTCTTGATAGCGCTCGGCGCATGGCGGGTGAACAGACGATGGCGAGGCAGAGTAGTTGGGCTCCCAAACCTGACCAGAAGCGACCGAGGGACGCCCCTGGTGGAAATATGCGCATGCCTAGATGCATGAGCTGCCGTGACCAACGGGCTTGTTCAGCATACTGATCTGGGTAGGAGCACAAGTAGAGGCCGAGAATTGCAAAGGGGTAAGGGAGGATGTTTGCTGATTTAGACGTTAGATGTGGTAGGGTGTGGAAGGACACCTCGGCTAGGATCATGCCGGCGAAGACGTTTATCAAGACAATGCCTATACATAGTGTTAAGTGCAAGGAGGACGCAGGTAACAGGGAAAGGATAGCGTTGGGTGGAGAAGTTAAATGTGTGGAATTGGTGGTATCCCAAAGCTGGGATTACGTACTATCATTTGAAACCCAACACCAGAGGTATAACAACAGTTCTGCAGTTACCCGGAACGGGATCGTGGTGTTTACGGTGGCCAGCAATACCGTGAAAATCACCATTGACCCCCTGAGGAGATGCAAGAGTGCCCACTGCGGCTGGTCATACCAATTCTCTCCATGTACCCATGTGGATATCAACTCATTAACCAGATCCGCTACGGCCTGGCGCCATGAAGCACTTGGAACCGGAGTTGTAGTCTGCAGCCAAAAGGCATCAGATCTTTGTGCCAAGTAGTAGAAGTTCAACTGACAGAGTAGCCATGATATGACCGTCACGACTGCAGCGGGGATCACCAGTCTGCTGGGTCTTCGGAGAGAGCTCGTGGAAAGTGTAGATAGGGCATCGTGAATACAGCCAGCCCGCGATAGCTGGAGAGCCCGAAGAGAATTACAAAACCCCAACAGCATGAAGAATATCGAGATAAATGCATTTCCCTGAGCAATCAAACGAAAGAATGGGCGTTGAAACAGGGTGGCCGGGCCGTCTTGTCACTTGGATGGCGGAATGAGACTCCGCGCAAAACACAGTGTAATATGACTTGCAACTACATATATCGATGCGATGCCGCGAAGTCCCTATACCAAAAAATAAGTAAGAGTTCCTCCAAAAAAAAATTAAAATAAAATAAAGCTCGAAGTATAGAGAGGATATGGTTTTTAACCAGGGATTCCTGCCTAGATGCCATACAGGAAGCGTTTGAACATACATCTGCCCAGCTGGTATCAGGTACCGGATGATGAGAAGAGGATCTCGATATTTTACTTCCCATGGCGTTCCTGAACAGCGTGTAGCTGCGGGGCCAACCTTGGAAAAGTCAAATATATTGCGTAGCACGCATGGATAGACAAAATTCCCACTTATACATGAACTGAAATTCATAGAAGGACATAGTTATCATATATAAGAATAGGAGAGAAAAGACAACAGCAAGCGCTCACCTGAAAGGCTATGTATGTATTACAACTTTTAAGCTGCAAGCATCAGTGCGGAGATAAGTATCTTGCCATTGACCCATGGGCCAAGTATCAAAGAAATCGCTGGATCAAGTCATTGAAAAACAAACCAAGAATTAATGACCAATTAACGTTGCGGGTATACTATTAAAATTCTAGAAAGAAATCTGGAAACATTCGTTCCAATGTCGTGCTCGTTGGGACAATGAAATATTGCTGATGATCAACCAAAGAGCAAAAGCCAAGGCCAGAGATGTGCATCAGATGGACAAAGCCAACTCAGGGGACAAAGTGGCAGTGATGGAAGTGATTTCAACAGAAATGAATTAGTGGTTATACAAGAGTATATGTTAAGGATTGCACAGCAGTGTATACTGGCATTAGTTGATTGTGAATGAAATGCAGGACGGCAATCAAAAGTTGTGTATTTCCCAATGAAGCCTCTGCATCGTGATGTGTGAACAAATGAGTCTTGGAAAAAGTGATAATTTTTGGGAATGATGCACCCATATCTTCACATAAAATGACAATCTGGAGATCAGCACTTATCCCTCATAGTCTGAGGATTGACTGAGAGGAATAACTACCTCTATCTCTTAAAGTTTTAATTATATTTACTTCCTTCTATAATTAACAGGGGTTGCTCGATGTTTGAAGTGCTCAAGCAGAATAATGCAATGTTCCTGAATAAGTTAACTAATAAAAGTAAAAAATTCCAAGTTGAATGTTTAACTGCTTGTTGCATTATTACATACAAACCTTACATGGATCGATTGGTCCCGCTCTTTTCTCGCTGGGTCGAAAAGTTTGGAAGCGAACGCGATTCCACATGGCAGGGATCCGAAGACGGAATCCAATTTGCGCGCAAGCTGAAAAGACATGCATGCATTGTCGCCGGCAGATTTTGCATAATTTGAAATGGGTCACTCCAAATTTTATTTTATTTTATTTTTTTCCCCTCTCCTCAGCATACCTCAGCTCACACCGCCAGCATGCCCATACAGCCGTTGTTTGAGGGAAGAACTCGAGGTGGAAGATTCGGCGATGAGTGGATGTTCCCCCAAGCGTCAATCAAGCATTGCTTGTACCGGCACGTGGGCGATGAAGAATGCATCAATTCAATGCGTTGAGACTTGTCACAAACAGTAAAGGCGTTGAATTATATATCTGTTTAAATATCGTATGTCAGTGAAGGATAAACTCAGATTGGTTGGTATTAAGATATGTAGTTAGCATGGTTTTTGAGGCGTTTATATTCTAACTTGTTTTATATTTTGGCTAAATAACTAACATTAGTTAACTTATAGTTAATAATATTATTAATATTAAAAATTAAAATTAAAATAAATAAATAAAATTAGAAAAAGGGTTTGTCTCTGAGTGACGTATTTGCAGCGTTATACTAAGGATATATAGTTGGCACATTCACGGCATGGCATAACTAACTAGCCATGGGTATTATTAAATTTTAGAATTGGTAGTCCAATTAAAAAGCGTAAGCGTCAAAATACTCACAAAAAGCCAGTAAAAACAACAATGATGGCGCCGGTGGCTCTGAAGCCTCCTGATCCGTATCCTTTAAATTTCAATGGAAAATTCAAAGATTCTTTTTACGAGTTAAGATGAGGCCGAGTGGAGGAGTTACAATATCAGACTCTTAGTGGATGAAAATAGCCGAAGAGGCTCAACCCAGTGTCTTGGCAACCGAGGCCTAGTTCTGCAGTAATTCAAAACAAACTCTGCCTTCTCAACGACCGCCTCCATCCACCTCCTCAATTCCCCGATTTCCTTTGCTATCCCGAGACTCTTGGGTTGATGGGACAAGTGCTCTATTTCCATTGCACTCTGGCTGGTCCTGAGAACCTCGATCGCGAGCGTTGTAACGCAGGATCCGTCCCGCTGGATCCTTCCCGCTGCCTTTCCATTCTTTTAGCCCGTTTGCCCACTTTTCAGAACCACCACCAAGAAAGCAACGTCAGCGCAGCTTCTTCGACTTCTGATTTCTCCCACGCTCATTTATAAACCATTTTTTACGAGTCCATGCTTTGGCAGATCATAATTGCTATATTTTTGATTGCTGTACTGGGGGGGGTTAGCTAGCGTAAGAGTCAATTGACACCCAAAACCAATGTCCAGCACGAACATCCACTTCCTTTGTGGCAATGGTCACACAAAATGGAGATGCCAGGTATCATCCTCCCGATAGCAGAGTCAATGTCAAGAGACCTGAAAATAATCGAGGCGCCATTCCGCACCCATTGGCAATTACTGCGTCTTCCACCACGCCCCGAACTGCTGGGCCCCCAAGTCCCTACCGAGCATATCGGCCTGGCAGACCTCCTGCATGCCAGCCTACGATTCCCAAAGCCTCACCAACACAACCTAATTTCCCCTATGTGCCCCAAATGTATCGATCACCTACATTCCCCAATTCTACCGAACCAGACAACCAGTCGTCATGGCATTCCCGGACCGAGATGGAAAGGACGCAGACCCAACAAAGCAGGAACCCTCGAATCGGTCTCAAACCCTCTGCGTCGACAATTGATATGCGTACAAGACAGCACTCGCAATTCCGACTAGATAAGCTCTCTTCTAGCTCTAGCCCGGCAATGCCCCGTTTCCCACACCATTATCATTCACCAGAGTTGCACATTGACTGCGAGGTGCGGTCCAGTTCCCAGTCTGCTTTGACATCATCGAGTATAGATCCAACTAGCAGCACCGAAAGAAGCAGTATTGTCACGAAAAACAGTTCAGTGACTGATTTGTCGCCTGACGAATTAGATATGGATGGAGGAATGAGTGTTGACGATGCCATATCAATGTACCTGGATGGTTTTACGGACGACCTCCCGTTGCCGCCTGTCCCGACACCCAAGCTCGAGTCATCAATAATTGAGGCTCCAGAGCTCGAAATGCAAGGCGAGGGGTATCAGGGATCCGTAGCGATTCAAGCTGACAACGGGCAGGGATATATAGAGTCCCGAGATGACGAAAAACTAAGATCTGAAGAGCTCCAAGAGGCTATAAATAGTGACATGCCGGAAATAGCAATCCCTGTCGCAGTCGAAGGAAAATCAAAGGACTCCACTTATCGATATAAACGCAAAAAACTTGTAATTCCTCCTGCGCTTCCTGGTGTCGTGCCGCCACCACGCTCACATGCCAACGCCCTGCGTGATCAATATGGTTTTCAGAGGACATCCTCTCACATTTCAACGAGCGACTACGAGGCTTGGAATCGTTCCTATGTGGCGTATCAGGAGACCAGGAAGCAGAAGTGGGAGGAACTGTTAAAGGAGGTAGATTTGCCTTCTGTTGATCCTGTCACTTTTCCCCCGAGATCTCCGAAGGTCAAGCGCTATGTCAGGAAAGGTATACCCCCTGATTACCGCGGGGCCGCTTGGTTTCACTATGCAGGAGGCTACGGCCGATACCACAAAAATCCTGGTAGGTATAACCAATTGGTCAAGGCCGCTCTTAACGGACCTTCAGATGATGACAAGGAGCATATCGAGCGGGATCTCCACAGGACATTCCCGGATAACATTCACTTCAAGCCGGATTCTATACCCGGCGCAGAGTCAGACTTGTCCCCGGAAAGCGGAAGCAGTAACCCAAAATATCTCTCCAAAGCACCTGAGGCGGAAATTATCCAGTCGCTGCGTCGTGTATTATATGCATTTGCGGCACATAATCCCAAGGTCGGTTACACTCAGTCGCTTAACTTCATCGCAGGGATGCTTCTTCTCTTTCTTCCCGAGGAGAAAGCGTTTTGGATGCTTGACATCATTACCTCGACCTATTTGCCGGGAACTCATGAAATTAGTCTTGAGGGTGCAAATATCGACCTTTGGATCCTTATGGTAACATTAAAAGATTCATTGCCTGCAATTTACACAAAAGTTGCCAGCACAACCCCAACAACCGGCAAAATCAAGCCTCCACCCATCAACACGAAAACACGACTACCCGACATTACGCTTGGTCTAACAAATTGGTTGATGTCTATGTTTATCGGTAGCCTGCCACTTGAAACCACGCTGCGCGTGTGGGATATTTTCTTCTACGAAGGGTCTAGAACTTTCTTTAGAGTTGCACTCGCGATCTTCAAAAGCAGTGAAAAGGAAATACTTGCTGTCAATGATCCTATGGAAATTTTTCAAATCGTGCAATCAGCCCCGAAAAAACTTTTAGATGCGAGTTCCGTCGCGGACGATTGTTTTGCGCGTCGGTTCAGGCTCTCCCAAGCCCGTGTCGAGGAACTGCGAGCCGCGCGGAGAAAGGCAATAAGGGAGGATAAAGGCCGACTTTCTCTGTTGTTGTCCGGTAAAGGGAACCTCCAAGCTGGATCCAATGAACCCCCCTCTAGTGCGCGAACGAGTAGCCCGCGATCCACTGCTTGGAAAAGCCTAAAAAAGCATACATTTAGATGAGATGATACCCCACCCCTTTCCGCTTTCTTCCGTCTTTGCTTTCTTCTATCTTTCTTTCGCACTCCCTTACCCTCTTTGAATATTATTTTTGGCCATTGCGCCTCACTTTCTTTATCCCGTAAAAATGCGCTAATGCCCACATTGAGAAGAGAAAGAAAAGTATTCCATTTCTTTTCTTGAGCTATTTTGAACTGTCGTTATCACTCTACTGGGTGTTGTTTCTCCTTTTCCCCCAACATTCTTATATCGGTAGTGCATTTCCTTGGCGCTAAGTTAAACACTTCAGAGCCTGGACAAAAGGTTTTTAAGACAGGTATTGCATACGAGCGAATAACAAGTTCTCCAAAAAGCCCAGTTTTAGTTACTAATACTCGATGTGTATGTTATTCGTGCAGTTCATCTTCCGGCTTTCCCTCATTCCTCCTCAGATGCCGCTCTTTTTTTCAACATTTTCCTCCCTATTCCCTTCAGATCAGTTCCTCCCGATTCACAATCTGCAATTGAATACTTGCATAGCTCTCTATTTTCTCTTCCTTCCAAATTCACATATCTTCTTTTTGTTCATTATAACCTTCATTCATTCTTTCTTTCTTTTTGAGAGCCGTCATTACGATTTCACGATGTGTATAGATGCAATTGCCTTCTCATGTGTTTTTGTTCTACGCTACGCCAAGAGTCATTCCTCACCCAGCGCACGTCTTCTATAATTTCCCTTGTTTTTACTTTCCACTCTATTTCTGTCTATGTGTATCTCCGTATATTCTTTTCTGGGTGCCCCGCCATCGTTTGTATATACTTAAACGATAAAATACAAAGTATTATTTTGATTTGGATATAAATAACCCCTACGTACCCCATTTGACTTTCTGCGGCCAGATGATGATGGGCTGTGCTGAGTCTTGCCCCCTCTACTGATTTACCTGTTAATGCAATCTATTCAGCAAGTGTTCACTTGCGTCAAGCCCCAGAGGACATCTTGTTAAAGGCACTCCTTATCAATCCAACTTTGATCCCTCGCTACCGAGGACAACCTCACGAACATCGACGAATCTGTAAGTGGATATTCGCGAGATTTGCTTGCAAGGTTTTGCAGAATGTTAATCCACCATTAGGTTCCGCTTCTCCCTATTTTCTCCTGCCTTCCTACGTCTTTTAATCAGTGATAGCTTTTTGTTCCATGAAAGAAAACTGAGTAGACATCTCAACATACCTTCAAAATCTAAATTATCAACAGTCTTCAATTCGCCTGAGATATGTAACAGATAGCTAGAAAAAGATATTATGTAGCTTCATTTTTCAATTCTATTATTTCAACTCCGCAAGTCAAAAACTCTGATGGAACTTGATCTCTGAGGTTTCTTCGACAATCAGCTCTCCAGACACTCCAACAAGGGCGGCTACCACGAGACACAGACTAATCGATAATCACATATGCAACTATCAGTGGCATCTAAGCAAAACGAGCGTAAGCGTGAGCATCCGATTTTTGCTAAAAGCCCCCATCAAAAAGCCCAACGCGACTCGCGAAACTTCAACTAGAAGGTGGGGAGGGCCATAGCAAGCCCATTATCCAGTAAGCTTTTGTGTGCCCGGGATATAGCTATTAGATACCGACAACGACAACGACAGTGCCCTTCACATGGTAACTTTTTGGAATGTAGTTCAGCAGCCTCCTATCTCAACTCATCCCACTGGTGCTCGGTTTGCAATGTTTAGCGATAATCTACAGCGTATGATGATGATGGCGATGATGAACACCACAAGTGGGGAATGAATCCATCGGTTTCCGGCTCTCTGCACGGAAAGAAGGAGAAGAATGCAGGAGTTTGTTGCTGCATCCTTACTTGATTGAACCTTAAAAGCTACGACGACCCTAAGTTCCGGCAGACATTGTCTTGTGCGTGAGAGCTACCAGAACCCCATCCAGGGGGATATTACTTCCAACTGCGGTACTGAGGTACCGAACTCCTCGAGATCCTTGAAACAGGGAGATTCCATGTTTATCTCGAATGTCTGGTAAATAGCACAGATATAAATATATATATATATATATATATATATATATATCGAATGTTGGGGTACTTGATATGTAACCGTGCGTGTCGCTTTGAAGAGCGCCTTTGCGTGATGCGAAAAATTCTCCTCTTTTTCCGCATCTCGGCAGGAAGACACATGTGCAGGTAATAATGGTCATGGTGGATAATAACAGAGGAAAATGGAAAAGAATCCCGACGGGGAGAAGAGTTAAATGGCGAAGTTAAAACACAACCATGGAATTAGGAAGCAAAATTCGTATTTGTCAACCTAGGTGGTTTTGCTGTCATCGTAGAGCGCAACAAACTTGCAAGCTGCAGTCAAAGCTGCCGGAACCGGGAGACTTTTTTACAAAGACCCAAGGATGGGATCACGGAAACGCCCCACAGCTACCGCACAACTATCAAATCAACATCCGTACCACATCTTCTCTATAACCGTGGTAGGGAAATGGAGCCATTGATACGACCATTCGCTGTGATTATCTATGAAGGCAGCCGGGAGAGGGACCGGATGTTGCTCGAGCAACGGAGGAGTTCGGCAAGGTTCGAGCAGTCAAAATCCGAGGACAAGTCCCCATCGCGTCATTTGATGGGTAAAGAAAAAGTAAACTTCATTCACCTCTCGGTCACCTTTAACACAGTTAAGCTGCCACTTGGACGCCGCAATGGGATGAGAGAAACGCCAGAAAAACGTGGAAATCGGGCCTTGAAACATGATTGATTCCATTCGACTCCCAACGAGCCTGATATCCCCAGAGCGGCATCCGACTTTTAAAGGGCTGGGATGCCGGGCCCGAAAAGATGCCACAGTGTGACATTCATTGGCAGGAAAAAAATTCGGTCCTTTAGCGCGTTTCAGGGAGCATCCACCATCAAGGGCCAATGGGCCATCCAGGACCAGGCGCTCAAGCAGAGCGCCGGGGTCTGGTTAGCCAGCGCTACGGGAGAAACAGTTCCATGGGTGGTGGATCATATGTGGATTTGTTTTTCTGATTGTTCTCCCCTCTCCGTTTTCAAACCTGTGAAAAGCTCGTTTGCCATCAATCAAGAGGATTTAGACCCGCATTCCCCCACTTGGGCGTGTAATCAGACAACACAACATATTTTTCTTTGACCTTGGTTCTTAGAGGAGCAACACTTGAGAAGTTCCAATTTTTTTTTTTTTTTTTTTTTTTTTTTTTTGCCAGAAATCAAACTTGTCCATGGTGATTCTCCAGGGTGAATTGCGTAGTATACATGTTGTTTTGTCCATGCTTATCATGGAAGACAAATGAATCATCAGTCTTCTGCGGAGTCACATTCATTCTCTCATGAAGATGGCCCAGTCTGGCTCTCACAGACTGACAAGCGTGTCACACAGATTGAAGAAACAAACCCGATTTACCTGGACACTGATGAATCATGAAGCAATCTAGAGGTCGCCACGAAAACACAGAGTTTAGTTTGGCCAACAACAACTAGTTGCCAGCTAATTAGCTACTGGCATGGCATGGGCCCAGGGACCACACTGGAAAAGATTAAAAAAATCAAATAAGCTGTCGCTAGTTACCTACCACGTTGAGGTTGGCCTGCGATTGGAATAAATCCTTCCCAGGTGCCCCTGTCCGTCCCTCCAGGGGTGCCGAAATATCCTCCTGACGCTAGCCAGCCAGCCGTGCAACTCCCGCAGAAAATACTTGCTCCGTACTTCCTCCCACTCATCATTCCTCTTCCTCGCGATTGCATTCTCTTTGTCCCATAGTCATCCACGCTCTTTGGATCTGGTGATTGTCGAGTGCGATCTCCCGGGTTCCAGAGCCGCCTTGCAATATCCCCGACGGCCCCCTCTTGTCTGCATCTGTGCCCGGCGAAGCTGGTCGCATCAGGGCGTTGTTGAAGGCTTTGGAATCTTGCCCCTTTTCTCCTCAGTTCTTCCGGGGAACCCCCACCACCCCTCTCTGCTGGCTCAGGAAGGGCGAGCAAGCTTGTTCAAACCCCCCCCCCCCCCCTCTCATTGTGTCCCTACTGGATCGGAAAAACTACTACATCGGTCTCAGCATCGCCCCATACCGTTTTATTGACCCAGGAGCTTTTCGCCATCTCAGATCGGCAGAGGTGAAGATATCTGTGGAACTGCTCAATTAGAATCCAGAGGGCGTGTGTAGCAGTAGTAAATTGGCAGGCTGTTTTCTCCTGGATCAATCTCTTCCAGCCTATCACCCTTTTTCCCTGCAACCCTTCAGACAACTCCGCTTCCACTCTTCAAACACCCCGTTTGTCCATTCGTTTCTTGCTTCGCAGTTAGATATCGCCATTCATTTCCAACAATCATTTTAAAAAAAAAAAAAAATTAAAAAAAAAAGACTCTACGGGGCTATCGACTTGCCAGCCACCTATTTTCCGGGTCCACGCTGTAGCTTGTCTATCAGCATCAAACCCAAAACCAGCTTCGGTCCTGGTCTCATTTTTTTTAATTTTATCTTCCTCACTTCGATCTTGTCGCAGCTACGGGCCGCGCCTGTGTAGCTGTAACTCCCACGCCATCCTGGGTTCTGAGCGGAACACGCGAAATGGTCACGATGCGATCTTTATATATGCTCTCAGCTGTTTTCGGCACGGTGACCGCAGCGCATGAGAAAAGGTCAGGTGGAGGAGGTCCTACACCCGAGAAACTCCTCGATGACAAACTCGCTCGCCTATCTCTCCTAGCTGGAGGATGTGTCCTTGCCTTTTTCTTGATCTGGCATTCTGTTATTCGGTTTTCAAACCACATAAGGCGACTCACGAGTCTTAACAATGAATACCAACGATATTTCATCCCGGCGGATCCATTCTGGGCATGGCTGAAGAAATCGGTGATATATGCCCCCTTGTTTCGAACCCGGCATAACCGTGAATTCCGTCTTTCTACAGCCATCAACGTTGGAACTCTTCCCACTCGCTTCCAAACCTTCCTTATCTTAGGGATCATCGCGATGAACGTATCCCTCTGCTGCGTCACAGTCCCATATCCAGAAGCGGAATCGAAGGTCCTGGGTATCATTAGAAACCGTTCGGGTACAATGGCTGTGGTTAATCTAATACCCTTAGTCGTCATGGCAGGGAGGAACAACCCACTCATTAAACTCCTGAACGTATCCTTTGATACCTGGAATCTTTTACATCGCTGGTTTGCTCGGATCGTCGTTTTGGAGGGTCTCACCCATGTTCTTGCGTGGATGATAAACAAAGTCAATACAAGTCAGTCTTCCTCTCCAGCTTAGTGTGCTTCTTCTACTGACCCCCAAAATAGAGGGCTGGAACTCCGTCACGGCTTCTTTCCAAAGCCAGTTCATCATGACCGGCCTAATCGTGAGTACAACAATATCTATCTCGGAGCATACTTCCATTCCAGGGGCTAATGAGACCAGGCCATGATATTTTTCTTAATGCTCGCTTTACACTCGCCGTCTGCAATTAGACACGCGTTCTATGAGACCTTCTTGCATCTCCACATCCTCTTTGTGGCACTGACTTTCGGCTTTTTATACATCCACTTGAAGGAGAGGCCCCAGCGACGATATCTCATTACTTCCGTCGTGTTTTGGGGGCTCGAGGTAAGTTTTATCAATTCCTCGCAAATCTCCGTATTTTCCAGGTCGTTAATGCAATGTAGCGTTTAATCCGTATTGCCATCATTCTTTGGAGAAACTTCGGGAAGAAATGTACAAAAGCAACCGTCGAAGTGCTACCGGGAGAGGCACTTCGCATCACCTTGAAACTCGCACGGCCATGGAGATTCAAGCCAGGTCAGCACCTGTATCTCTACATGCCATCCGTGGGGTTTTGGATGTCTCACCCTTTCACCGCTGCGTGGAGCGACGCAGAAGAGGACCTGAATGAAGAGAAGGGACTCGCCAGATCTCGTCAAGATATTCAGAGTATGCCAAAAACAACCACCATTTCTTTGATCGTCCGTCGACGAACAGGATTCACAAACGCTCTGTTCGAACGTGCGAGTGCAAACAGGGATGGCCGCATTTCCCTCAACGCCTATGTCGAAGGACCATACGGCGTCGACCACTCCCTCGACTCGTACGGGACAGTGTTGCTCTTCGCCGCCGGTGTTGGGATCACACATCATGTCGCTTTCGTCCGTTATCTCGTTACAGGCTTTGCCAATGGCACCGTCGCTGCCCGTCGAATTACCCTGGTGTGGATCATCCAATCACCTGAGCACCTCGAGTGGATCCGTCCATGGATGAACAGCATCTTGTCCTTGGAGGGGCGTCGCGATATCCTTCGAATCATGCTCTTTATCACCCGTCCACGAAACACGCGCGAAATCCATAGCCCTAGCTCAACCGTGCAGATGTTTCCCGGAAAACCCAACGTGCAAACGCTCATCGATGGCGAGATAGAAAATCAGATCGGAGCTATGGGCGTCCTTGTTTGCGGGACGGGTAGCTTGAGCGATGATGTCCGACGAGCATGCCGACAGAGGCAATCCGGGAGCTGTATTGATTTCCTTGAGGAAAGCTTTTCGTGGTAGATTTCCTTCCGCTTGCGCGGCATTCTTTTTCCGCGGTGCGTTTTTTGCTTCCGTCTCTTCAACTTTTTTATTCTTGCCTGCCTCTCTATGTGGGACTGAGAAAGACAGCCTCCTGGAAACGATCCTTTGTCAAGTCTATGCTTTGTTACATCCGTCAATATTCTTTCTCGACTCGATTATATTTTCGATGTCCCTCACTCTCATTCCGCGTTTATCAACTACGTCGCCCTTTAAAAAACTTTAACCGCAGTTAAAAAATGAGAGAAAGTGTATCTTATCCTCCTTTTTCCATTGGCCATATATTCTCTATGTTTATTTTCTTCTTTTCATCTGTCTATATGTATAGTTAGAGAACGGGAATACAGCCAGCGATAAAAAAAAAAAAAGCAAAAAAAAGAAAAGAAAAGAAAAGAAAAAGAAAAAGCATGAAAAGGGAAAAAAAGAAAAAAAAATTACATATTTTAACGCAAACCTTTTCTCGAAATGTCGCAGTGAACCCCTAACCTCAAACTTTTTCCCACCCCTTTCTTTTCAACTTAGTTCCTTGTAGCTCATCGACGTAGGACGGCAGTTAAGCAGTGGTTGGGTGTCGCAGGATGTTTCCTGGGTTCAGATTCTTGTTCTCCGATATTATATATACTCTTTGACTGAAAAGCATTGTTGAAGAGATGATAAACCCTGTCCTGGCTTGCCTGCGGTTTTTTATCAAGGTGATGATCGCGGACTGTTGAAGTGATTCCTCTTCTACTCCTGTTATATTATTAGAAAGAATCATCCTCTCTTCAACAAGCTGAAGTTGTACTATATGGACCGGATACTACGGCTACCCTCGTCACGTGCCTCCCTATTTTTCTAGCCGGCTCTAAGTATTACGCTTGCTTTAGCTTCCGCTTATGTATCACGTGATCGACCGGCATTTTTTAACGTTCTCTTTCTCAGAGTTGCCACAACCCGTTGCTTGTGAAGAATATCAACTCCAGATATCACAACCATCTAACTGACCTGATTTTCTTGGATTACCTGAATCGCACAAGGAATCATGGCGTGGCGTAACCAAGGAATTACAGGATCTAACAATATCCCACTTGGCAGCCGCCGCAGGTTGGGGGGTGATGAAGACATCGCCAAAAGTGAGGACTCGACCGCAGTGTCGACACCAACACCAGATCCTGGGCATAAGCGTGGTCGAAGTCCGGTGCGTGGTAAGGTTACGCTTTATCCGGCTTCTATATTATCTGTCAAGAGAACAAACTGACTCAATTACTCTTCCCTTTTTGCAGCTAATCCGCCTGAAGATAGCATCAAGAAGCGCAAGAAGCGCAACCGTTGGGGAGATGCAGAGGAAAACAAAGCAGCTGGTCTCATGGGCCTGCCCACTTTAATCATGGCAAATATGACCAATGAACAACTTGAGGCCTATACGCTTCATCTTCGTATCGAGGAAATCAGTCAGAAACTTAGGATCAATGATGTTGTTCCTGCAGATGGAGACAGGTATGTGGATTGCAACCTCTTCTCCCCTCTCCTACACACATGAAGAACCAGCATTCGATCAGAACATGGATTTTGCTAACGGATGCTCTTCATAACTATAGGTCCCCTTCTCCTCCTCCACAATACGACAACTTCGGTAGACGTGTGAATACCAGGGAATACCGCTACAGGAAGCGGCTGGAAGACGAACGTCATAAACTGATTGAGAAGGCGATTAAAGCCATCCCTAATTATCACCCGCCGTCTGACTACAGGCGGCCGACTAAAACCCAGGAGAAAGTCTATGTGCCCGTGAACGACTATCCAGAGATTAACTTCAGTATGATAACTAACCCTCTAACTCCTAACCATTTTTTTCTCATCCTCAATTCTGCTTTGCGACTCGAGCCACGTTCTCGAGTCGCTGTTCTCTATTTCCTACTTTTTTCTTTCTCTTTTCTTTCTCATTTTTCTTGCTGTTTCACTAACCCTCTACAAATACTAATGCACCACTACTTTTCAAATCTTTATGCTTTTCAAAGACTAACACTTAGACTACTACTTTTCTTTTTGAAGTTGGCTTACTTATCGGACCTCGTGGAAATACTCTCAAGAAGATGGAAACAGAATCCGGTGCTAAAATTGCCATTCGGGGCAAAGGCTCTGTCAAGGAAGGCAAAGGTCGATCTGACGCGGCTCACACTAGCAACCAGGAAGAAGATCTTCACTGTCTGATCATGGCAGACACGGAAGAAAAGGTAAACAAGGCGAAGAAATTGATTCATAATGTTATCGAAACTGTACGTTCCACCATTTTGACCCACTCAGTCCTTTGTGTGTTTTAACTATGTGTCTACTGACACTTAAATAGGCTGCCTCGATTCCCGAAGGTCAGAATGAGCTCAAGCGAAATCAGCTACGAGAGCTTGCTGCACTTAACGGAACATTGAGAGACGACGAGAATCAAGCTTGCCAGAATTGTGAGTTCAACCTGGATTCCCGCCTGAATTAATTGAGGGCCCAACGCTAATGACTTATTAAGGTGGTCAAATTGGTCATCGCAAATATGATTGCCCCGAGCAACGCAACTTCACTGCCAGCATTATTTGCCGTGTTTGTGGAAATGCCGGCCACATGGCGAAAGACTGTCCAGACCGCCAGAGAGGGACTGACTGGCGCAATCATGGCCCGCCTGGCCAATCTGGTCGTAGGGGTGGCGGTGATGCTGTGGACCGCGAGATGGAGGTAAATCCGCCCTGCCGTATTTTCTTCGCTTTTCCATATCTTCCCAGAGACAAAAAGCGCTAACATTTGATACAGCAACTCATGCAAGAGCTCGGAGGTGCCGCACCTAGCGACGACAAACCTCCCCGCCGCATCGAAGCTGGTCCTGGTGGTTACGAACAAAACGATAACTATAGTGGTGAACGCCAATTGAAACCATGGGAACGTGGTCCTACCGGTGGGCCCGCTCCTTGGCAACGACCAAGAGAAGAGCGCCCGCGTGACGATTATCCACCCCGTGAACATGGAGCTCCTCCTCCTTGGGCAGCTGGCGGTGCTAGCGGGCGTTATGATCGGGGCGATCGAGGGGACCGTGGCGATAGAGATAGCAGAGGTGGTGATGGATACGGGTATGGATCGCACAGCGGCGGATACGGGGGCCACGGTGGGCATGGACATGGAGGACAGGGCGGAACGGGAGCACCAGCTCCTTGGCAACAACAGCACCATGCACCACATCCAGCACCTGCACCAGTATCAGTACCGGCATTGGCCCCCCCAGGAGGACATACAAGCTACGGCTACCCTGGCTATTCGGCTTTCCCACCCCAGCAACCTATGGGAGCCCCCCCTGGCCTCAGTGCGGTCCCCCCTCCCCCCCCGGGAATGGGAGCCATATTCTCAGGTTATAGTGCGGGAATCACACCGCCTCCGCCCCCTGCCGAGGGGCCACCACCTCCGGTTAGTATTCACGCACTCGACAACCTATTTGAACAATTTACTGACTAAACCTCATTTACAGCCACCGAGCGACCAGCCACCACCTCCTCCACCCGCTTAAATTGCCCAATCTGAACGACATTCGATGCACGCTACTAACCTCAGCAAAAGGGTTTCAAATTAGTAGAACGTATCAGGATTGTCAGCTTTGTGTAGTTTAGTAGTGTAATTTCCAAGCTCAAAAGAACACTAACAACTGTCAATAGGGATATGGTGAAAAGAAGGGAAGATACAATTTGGAACGTCTAAACAAACTTGCTCTATATACGGAGATTTCGTTTTTAATCAAAGAGTTTGACTGCTAACTAATTGGCAATGATTTAAGCTATTAACTAACTTGTGTATGATACCAATTGCTCTACTTACCTTCGTTCCAACGATAAATATCTAGTTACAAATTCACCATGTAAATTTATGCCTACCAGTGTTTTGCAATACCAGCACAGCTGGAATAAGCCCACTACCAGTAAATACGCTCCGCATCTGTGTACGGGGTATCCATCAATTCTTCCAATGTTCTCTTAAACAGAACTCTTGGAAGAAGCGCCGGGACAGCCTGCCGGTGAGGAGGGTTTAGGCCTTTCTCCCACACTTCAAAAAGGCTATACCATGACGTCAACCTGGAGAGTGTCCGAGGCCCCAACTACCTACCCACTCTCAAGCAAAGGGCTATCATCAGCTTCTCTATATCATTTTTCCTCCCCAGACCCTCGATGAGTATATTGGAGAGAGGATAGTTCCATATCCCGACTCAGAATGCGATTTATTCTGCTTTATTCGTTGGAGCCAATGATAATTCTTCGTTTACGCCGTTCTCTATTAGATAGATTGTATCATCTGAAGATGTCTCCAGAGCAGCAATCATCATCGCTTAGAATATTCAGTCTCCCCACAGGACTCAATTTCCACTCATCTCGTTCCTCATCCTCACCCTCATCGCGTGCACAGCGGAAACAGCCAGAGCAGAGCCAAGGCCAGGATATCTCATCTCTGCATCCAGCAAGAGATAATTCCCGTCGCTCGCCCCACCATGACGTCCCAGGAGCCAATGCGCCCCCCTGATGCGACACCTACACTTTCGATGTCGACAGCGACAACTTCATCCTCGATCGAGAAGTGGTGGCATATCCACTTTTTCCAGGGCATGATAAGCGATATCAAAAGGAGGGCGCCATACTACGCAAGCGACTGGAGGGATGCTTGGGATTATCGCGTCGTTCCTGCGACGGTGTATATGTATTTTGCAAAGTATGCCCCGGAGAATATACATTTTTCTTTCTTTCTTTCTTTCTTTCTTTTTTTTATACTCCTTCATTTGTAGCATATTTCCCCTTTCCCCACTCCTTTTCGCCCATCATCATATCAAGTGTTTCGGCCTGAAGCACTTGGAGAGAACGTGGACTAGTCTGTTCATGACATTGCTCGACAAGCTGTCCAGTAAAAATGAGCTACAAACCGAACGAGAGCGAAATGCAGTTTTTAAATAACGCTCTATATACCCATACACGATAGTGGAAACGATAGAGATGCTTACTGTAACTGCAGCATTTTACCCGCTCTTGCATTTTCCTTAGATATGTTCGAAAAAACAAACATGAGCTACGGGGTTAATGAGGTGCTTTTGGCTTCAGTCCTGGGTGCAGTGGTTTTCTCTTTTCTTGCGTGCCAACCCTTGGTTATCGTTGGAGTAACAGGTTCGTGCCTTCAATTGGTGCATCTTCAGAGGGGCAAAAAGGCTATCATGATCATTTTGCTGAATGCCAGCTCACAGGTCCTATTACCGTCTTCAGCTATACTGTTTATGATATCATGTCACCGACAGGGATCAATTACTTGGGTTTTATGTGCTGGATAGGAATGTGAGGTCCCTTATTCCCGTCCACATGTCAATGCTCATACGTGGGCTGAGGTTATATGGAAATATACTGACATAATTTTAGATGGGCGATGGTAATGCATTGGATTCTTGCCATTACGAACTCCTGCAATGCATTGACTTACGTCACTCGTTTCTCTTGTGATATCTTTGGATTCTACGTGGCATTTATCTACCTGCAAAAGGGGATCCAGGTTCTCACCCGTCAGTGGGGCAAATTTGGTGAAGCCTCTGCCTACCAGTCCATCATGGTATCTCTCCTGGTGCTTATGTGCGCCTATATCTCTGGCACGATTGGGGAAAGCAATCTCTTCCAGCGACATGTCCGCAAATTCATCGAGGACTATGGGACCCCGCTCACCATCGTTTTCTTTACGGGGTTCGTTCACATTGGGCATATAAAAAATGTACCCATCGAAACATTGCCCACGAGCAAGGCCTTTTTCCCCACTTCAGACCGCGGCTGGGCTGTGAATTTCTGGGACATGGGTGTCGCTGTTATATTCCTTACGATACCTTTCGCCCTGCTCTTGACGATTCTATTCTACTTTGATCATAATGGTTCTTAAAACTACTTTCCAGTTGTTGGTTTTTCAACTTTGCAGAAAATACTAATACATCAGCTAGTTTCGTCCTTGATAGCTCAAGGTACCGAATTTCCGCTTCGGAAACCTGCTGGATTCCATTGGGATATCTTTCTGCTTGGTTTAACTACCGGGGTAGCCGGAGTTCTAGGTATCCCTTTCCCCAACGGCCTCATTCCTCAAGCGCCCTTCCACACCGCAGCACTCTGTGTGACCCGTCAGGATGCCGATGAAGACGAAGCGAACAAGGGTAAAGCAGTCCATGTTATCGACCACGTCGTTGAACAACGACTCAGCAACCTTGCGCAAGGCATTCTAACACTAGGCACGATGAGCGGCCCCCTCCTTGTTGTCTTGCATCTAATTCCCCAAGGAGTTATGGCGGGACTCTTTTTCATAATGGGCGTCCAGGCTCTGTTGGGCAACGGAGTGACGCAGAAAATCAAGTTCCTCGCTCAGGACAGGAAACTCACGCCAGCATCTGATCCGCTGAAACGAATTGATCGGAGACTGGCCATTTGGGCCTTTGTTGGGATTGAACTCCTCGGTTTTGGAGCGACTTTTGCCATCACACAGACAATTGCTGCGATCGGATTCCCCGTGTTCATTCTTATTCTCATCCCCGTTCGAACGTTTCTGCTTCCGCGCTGGTTCACGCAGCAGGAACTTGCTATCCTCGACGCACCGACCGCTAGCCCCTTTACTATGGAGAGTGTGGGTGGAACACATGGTTATGAAGACAGCGACATAACTGTGATTCCACCTTCTGGAAATAGGAGTGGAGTGTTTAGATCTTCGGATTCTGCAGTTGAGGATGAGTTGGAGAGGGGCGAGTCGTATGAGCTTCACTCCGCGCCCTCGTTGCGTAGGCGGAGTCGATGTGAGAGGTAGCTCTGTTTCTATGTGTCTTTTTGTGGTACCCTCTGTTTACATTCACCTATAGACACCAAAATTGGATCGTTGGACTCTTCTAGCATACCGGCCCAGCAGGTGAGGGAGAAGAAATATCTAGAATACATACCTGGTTGAGAAATCATTATTCTTTTCGGAGGAATTTCGTCGAGCAAGGAAGTACACATTAATGTTGACGTGTCTATTTCCACTCTTCCCTTCTTTCTAGCCATTCAGTTAGAGGTCCCGTTTCTTTTTCCCTCCCGTTCGAACCCCAAGCGCCCTGTTTCTGGTCTTGCCACTCAACTTTGCGTGGAATCTCGGGGTTTCACGGTTCAGACTGTTAGACAAGATATTGAATTTAGATAGGACCTCATTATTGCACTGCTATTTAATACGATATTAATTTTCTAATCTATAAACAGCTCTTTAGGATCCATTAATATATCTTTACACGTCCACAATAACCTCGGGAAAGGGACTTCCCCTTTTCGATATCACGTGAGAGCAGTATCTCACCGCCTTCGGAGTCCATTGGCAATACTCCGTATAATTTTTTATTTTTCATCGTGAGCCACATTTAAAATATGTCTTCACAATTGAGCCAAACAATATGGCGCCCTTTAAAGATATAGAAGTTGGATTGGAATCAGGCGGTAATTTATCTGCTTCCAATGTATCATCTAATGAAGATAATGGAGTGGAAATATCAGAAGTTGCCCGACCCTCCAAACGACGTCGAATATCGTTATCACCTGGAAGAAGCTCCAACTCTTCCGAAGATGAAATCTCAATAACCCCCCAAGCGGCAGCCCCGCAACAACCCCTCCTGCCGATCGTATCACGAATAAAGAAGAAGCTTGTAGACACTGGAAATAATGTCCAAAAGAAGCAGTCCGCTGATGCGGATCCAATTATCGCGAAAGATGCACTGGCTACAACCGCTCCATCGGACGGTTCATCATTTGCAACCCTGGGCCTTGCGCCATGGCTCGTAGGGTCCTTATCCACAATGGCTATCAAACGACCGACGGCAATCCAGAAAGCATGCATACCGGAGATTCTTAAGGGGAGGGATTGTATAGGTGGGAGCAGGACTGGTTCAGGGAAGACTGTTGCGTTTGCGGCGCCGATATTGCAAAAGTGGTCTGAGGATCCGTTTGGGATCTTTGCGGTGGTGTTGACACCAACGAGGTATGCACATAATAGCAGAAGGCTCTTTCTTCTTGTACCTGCTCAATTTTAAATTGTTATCACTGTCCCTCTACTTCTGCTAACTTGAGATCTATTAATACAGGGAACTGGCGTTACAAATTTTTGAACAAATCAAGGCCATATCAGCGCCGCAATCTCTCAAACCAATCCTTATCACTGGTGGAACTGAAATGCGCCCACAAGCCATTGCTCTCTCTCAGCGCCCCCACGTAGTGATTGCCACTCCTGGTCGTCTGGCGGATCACATCAACAGCTCCGGGAGAGACACTATCTGTGGTCTCAACCGCGCACGCTTTGTCGTTCTCGATGAAGCTGACCGCCTGCTAGAATCTGGACCGGGAAGCATGCTTGCCGACCTGGAAACCTGCCTCTCTGCGCTTCCCCCTTCGACAGCTCGTCAAACTCTGCTTTTCACAGCAACAGTCACCCCTGAAGTTCGAGCTCTCAAATCCATGCCTCGACCAGCGAGCAAACCTCCGATCTTCGTAACAGAAATATCAACCGAAAATCAAGCTACTATCCCACGTACTCTCAAGCAAAGCTATCTCCTGGTGCCCCTAACCCATCGTGAGGCCTTTCTCCACGTCCTTTTATCGACGGACGGTAATTCGTCGAAAGCGGCCATTATCTTTTGCAATCATACGAAAACTGCAGATCTCCTTGAACGTATGCTGCGACGACTTGGCCATAGGGCCACATCGCTGCATAGCCTTCTGCCACAATCAGAGCGTACTGCAAATCTCTCGCGCTTTCGTGCATCTGCCGCTCGTATATTAGTTGCTACTGACGTCGCTGCTCGTGGCCTGGATATCCCCAGCGTGAGTTTGGTAATTAACTTCGGCGTACCTCGCAATCCCGATGACTATGTGCATCGCGTTGGCCGAACTGCCAGAGCCGGGCGTGAAGGTGAGGCAGTTACTCTGGTTGGCCAACGCGATGTTCAGTTGGTTTTGGCCATTGAAGATCGTGTGGGGAGGAAGATGGAAGAATGGAAGGAGGAAGGAGTCAGCATTGAGGGTAGGATTGTACGAGGCGGGATTCTAAAGGAAGTTGGAGAGGCGAAGCGAGAGGCTACGGGAGAGATAGAAGAAGGGAGAGACGTCCTTGGCCGGAGGGTGAGGAAACTAAAGAAAGTCCGCTAGAACAATTTTATTTTTCCGCATTACTTTTACTCCTCGTCGTCGTCGTCGGCCTTATTTTTTATTTTTTTTTATTATTTTTTTTTTTTTGTTGAGTATTTCCATCTTCTTACTGGGTGGGCTTCCTAGCAATAGACAGGCAGTCTTTCAATTCATCTGCTGTTTAGGCGCTCGACAGACCCTCTTTTGCCGGCCACCTGTTTCAGCTCCGTTCGTCTCTTCCTGCTGCGGGATAGCTGGCTCGTCCAGTTTTCTTTCCTTACCCGACACGACACGACCTGTTCCCCGGCGGCCTCTTTCATTACAGTTGTCTCCCGAGTTTCTTGCTGGTGTCCAGTCACTGTCACTTCAGGAACCACAATCTCACTTGTAGCGTTGTCCTCTTGAACGGTCATACCGCCTGCCGCTGCGGTGGCGGCCGCGATTTTTCTTGGTCTTCTTCTCTCAACCGGTGGCTTCTTCGGTTGTCTTTCAGGCTTAGGAGCTATAATAGGCTCTGAACAGCCCCCATCTTCATCCGTTTGCCGGTTGGGGAACTTCTTGCTGTGGCTTCTTTCTTGCTCTCTTCGCTTTTGGTTTTTTCCGTTTTTTCTTCCAGCGTATCATTTCCCAAAACAGCATCTTCAACTTCCGGTGCCACTGAGACAACTGCTTGCTGGCTAGTCTTACTGTTCACTCATTTTACAGGCGGCTTTTTTCTGCGGTTCTTTCGGCTTAGGAACTATATACGCACGAAACACAGGCTCTACACCTTCCCGTGGCACTGGAGCATTTTCCGGCTGACGTTTCTTTTAAACTCTTTTTGCCGCTTGCTTTTATAGCTACTCTTCTGGCTTAGGGGCTACATTGATCCCCCAGAATAACTCCTTCATTGACCGATACTGCTGGAGCCACCGCTGGCTGGGTGATGTTCTTACTCCTTTTTGTAGGCAGCTTTCTTTGCCGTTTTTCTAGCTTTGGAGCTATATCAGCCCACTGAAAATTCACTTCACCTTCCATCACCACTGGAGCAACTGCTGGCTGAGGCTTCTTTCTAACTCTACTTGCCTCTGGCTTTTTCTGCCTTTCTTCCGGCTTGGGAGTAGCATCAATGTCGAGAACAGCATCTTCGCCATCCAATACCACTTGGGAAACTTTTGGCTGGGCCTTTTTCGTAGCTCTTTTTCCTGGAAACTTTGTTTTTTTAACCACCGGTTTTGGCTTGGTATTCATACCCAATTCTTCTCCTGTTGAGTCAGATCGGTTTGGCGGGTTCGGCGTCCGGTTCTTTTCTCATCATATTTGCTAATTCCTCCTTAAGGGGAGCAATCTGCGTCCCTAGAGAAAACCAATGTCCACTTGCCAGGGCTGTCCCTCTCATTGGTTTAAACTTCTTTGGCGGTGGCCCAGTTATATCCTTGTCCAATTCAGGAGCAACTTTCTCCCCTGAAGCCTGAATCTGACCTAATCCCACGGCAGTTAATGCCAGAAGCCTCTTAATATTTTTCAATCCGCTGCTTCTCTGCAATTTTCTCAGGGGTATCAATTGGATTAGCCACCGAAGCTATATCAGGTTCTTCCGGCTACTGTGTTTGTGGGCTAGGTGGTGGGCTATGAGCTCTCTTCCGCTTCTTCCCGTCTACGCCCATGGGGCCCGACTTAAGCTTTATGATTTTCGACGGACAATCCTCTACTTCGCCTTGTATATCTTCTTCTGTCTCTGCATCATCCACCACGTTTTCCTTGCTCTTCTCAGATTCCATTTTGTTGATATTGTCGCTGGCAATATCTTTTGCACTCTCCTCCACTGCGGGGACATCGGTTTCCATATCTGCTTCCACACTGACCGGGTCGATTGGATCTGCCTCGCTACTCTCCGCGGCCATCCTTACTCTCTCAGTGGGTCCTATCATCTTCTCCAACCACTCTGATTTTGGAATCCAGTTACCCTTCTCGATATCCCATGAAAACCGAGTGTCGGAAGTTCCGTCTTTGCTTGTTGGGTCCCCGGTAGCCTCATAGCGGTAAAATATCTCTTGACTGGTGTGATGTTTAAATTTTATTAGTTTTAAGTTCTTCGTTCCAAATTTACAGCAAACCTGGAGATACTTGAAGAGAATGGAATTGCACAAAAAATATGTTATCGTGCGCCCTCAAAAGACTCATCTGACCATGGTCTTTGGCCTTCCCAACCAAGTCTTTTGCGCCAATAACTCTGTCACTCACCCTTGCCTGGGTACTCGCCTCTGAACAGCATCAGACATCCCTCTGTCAAAGCACGCACCAAAGATCACATGTTAGTTTCTTTTATGCTTCTGAGCCCACGCGGGGGTTGGGAGGAATGAAGATTAAATTCATCGAGTAAATCGATTACACCAGTCTGACACTTACACTGGCTGCTCCTGATCCTCCAGAATCGGACTGTGTGAACAGCCTCTAGGCCTAAGGGATCCTCGACAGGGGATGTGCCCTCTCTGGCCCTCACCGCTTCTCGTTACAGGAGGCATTTCCCCCTATACTATTGAATGCCTCTTCTTTTCGCGTGTCGGAATATGTTTGATGTATTGGCAACGGGGCAAGAGGAGCAAAGAATCAAAAAAGCTGGATGATAAAGAAATGAAGCTGGAGAGAAATTTCAATGTTTATTTTCTTGGTGTTATGTGTGTGAGGAGAGAGCGCAGGGGAAGTTTCTGAAATGGTGGGATCTTGTTTGCTTTAACACACTGATTGCTGGGAAATTCTGATCGCTTTCAGGGTGAGTGAGAAAAGGAACTTCAAACATGATAGTCACTAAGAAGGGGCTGTAATAAAATATTTGGGAAAGGATCGATGAATAATATGTAACACACAGCGCTGGAGGATCAGGATAAAAATGGTCACAGCTTTCATCTACACATAAATCTCTTGTTTAGCAAATATACTTAAAATGTGTTCCTTTTTCTTTCACTTCGCAGCCTCTCTTCTCCTCTTCACTTGATTCACTGCTAGATCCTTACTCAATATCATTTTTCTTTTTCATCATCTGCTTTTCCCTGCGCGAGTTACTCAGTAGACTGACCCAGTTGTGCTCGTTCTCAAGTCATCCTGGGCGTGAACTTCTCATTGTCCTTGGGTTTCTTCACACCCTCAAAGGAATACAAACACTATTCACACTTTCTGTTTTGGAAGCAGACATAATAAGCCCTTGTCTTTCTGTGGTGTTCCTCTTTTCCATCTTTGTTCCTTTGACTGTTGACTGTTTTAACCTGTTTTCCTTGTTGTTTCTTTCTTGCTATGGTGTGTTGCTACTTTTTCCTCCACTGGATTCTGTAGAGTGTGAGAAAGAAGCCACTGTCTAACTTGTGGTTCATGAATTCAAGATCTGTCAAGAAATCAACCTACCAGTTTCTGACACCATATATATATGTATATCTGTGAATGGTGGACATTGGTTAAACAACAGTGACAAGCCTCAATTTACAGCAGGTTACCAATTACCTGCCAATCAAACATATGCCCCCTTTCTCCCCAGCGTACGACTTTTCTCCTTATGTCTTCTCTCTGCCACGAAGTTACTAGCTTCATGGCCAACGAACTGTGCATTCGAGATCCCAAGATCACAGAGCGAAAACTCAACACACGCACATCTGCCCCCCCCCCCCCCCCCCCCGGGGGCCTCTGCGGGTGATAACAGCGCAGAGATGGTCTTCGAAGTTGTAGTTTGGCCAGCTACACGCCGCAGCTCGTACAAATTTATACCCCACAGCTAGCAGCGGTGCCTGCAGCCAGGAAAGGGGGGAAGGGGTTACTTACAGGAGCGGCCTTCTGATGATGCTTATTGTCACCACCAACGCCAGCATCGCGAGGCTTTCCTTCGCCATCAATTTCCACATTGCTTTTTTGCTTCTTCTGCTCCTCTTTCCGCAGCAGCCACCGTCTTCTCTTTCGCTATCCGCTGCTGCTTCTCAGAAGCTGCCGCCCGCTTCTTGCCCACATACTTCACGTATATCCGCCGCATGCTCGACGCACTCGCGTTCAAAACTCCTGATGAAAAATGATCAAGCTGTGAAGGTAGGGAGAATTCATCTTTCCCGAGTAATTCTTCGTCCAGATATGACATTCGGCGATGATGTTTGAATAACAAAAGAATTTAAAAACTTGATATTCACCATGGGTTAAAACATGGAAATAATGTATAGCAAGGCACATAGCAAGTTAAAAACTTATTGGTTGCGCAAATTGCGAGGAATCTTTTGATATATGTGCAATCATGATCAGTGGCATTTTCTCTGCTTGAGAGGATCACTGAATAGAAGAAGTGTTTCAGTGGGCGGAGATTCAATAAGTCGTATTTCTCAGAAATGACAACATCCCGATGTATGTATGTCTCCACACCAGAGATGGTTGAAGTGAAAAGTGTGAAGAGTGAAGCAGTTGAGGTAAGGGCAGAATTACCAGGTTAGGACTTCCACGTGACTTGCAGGGCTCTAGATTCAGGGGTATTTTGAAGGTAACGTTTCCACATCTACGGAGCGCTACGACAAAGTATTAGGACGATCCAGGAGTAGATGAGTATCAAGAAGCATATCATAAATTACCTTGGTAGATGCGAAAACCGCTTCTCTATGAGGGCATTTCGCACTCCGTTGTCCAAAGTAACCGTCGCACTCCCCGGTAAAAATAGGATAGCCCAAGAGCAATTAGAAGACCACAATCGCAACTCATAATCATCTCCGTGAAGCCGGGCTTCAACCCATCGCCGTTTCATCCCATCCAATTCAGCGCGTTGAGATATCGTACAAGAAGAAAAGGGAAAAAGGGGAAAAAAGGAAAAAGAGAAAAAAAGAAGAAAGAAGAAGAATAAAAAAAAAAAAAAAAAAAAACAAGGGAAACCCAACTTAGCGAGTTTTCAACTACCAAGTCGGAAACTAAGCCCAGATCCAACCTTGCAAAATTCCCGAGATAATCGAAATCGAGCTTGTCCGCCCTGTTCATCCAGGATGTATGTGCCAGTAAACTTGTTCAATCGATCACCCAGTCCATTCCTCGTCTAGCGCATCATATTTAGTCGTAGTCTGCATCAGTTTCATCAGCCCATCAATCGCATCATCCTTCTCCGCAGCAAGCATCTGTTCCACAGCGCACATCTTCACGTTTTTCTTGATCATGATGATCGGGTCACCGGTCTGTGGAGGGCTGTGTGATTGAACGGGAGAGGCAGGGGTTTCGGGGGGGTTATCGTCGCCGTCACCGTGATCGCTGCTATGGTTGCCGTTGCCATTGCTTTTATTTTTGTGTATGCTTTCATTGGACACGCTGGCATCGGCGGGAGTCGCCTCGCCCTCCATCTTGTTGCTAGCAGTTGAGGCGGGTGGTGGGGAATGGATTGTATTTTTCGGTGCGTAAGGACCTGGGCGCAGAATGGGCGCTGGGAGGAGCTTGGGAATTTTGGCCTTTGGGGTCAGGTCCATAGCCTCGTCCTTGCCCTGTCGATGCTGCTGCTGCTGATGGAGCTGAATTCTGGTCGCGTTGATCGGGCGTGGGGAAGAGCGTAGTAGGTGGGAGATGGAAAGGCGATCGCGGCTATTTGCATGTGCCTCGAGCTCCGAGATACGACGGTCGATCTGGTTGTCTTTGACGTTTTTCATGTTTTTCATGGCAAACTGGACGCGACTGCGGAGTAGATCTGCTTTCTGTATGGTGGATGCAAACGGGGTCAGCAACAGAACTGTTAACACACTACGCGGATTGTAGCCGAGCAACAGTGGTCGTCAGGGTGCGGTTGCTCACCTGTTGGATAAAAGCCTTTCTCTCAGTGGGGTCCGTCGGCACGACTGAAGTGGTGGTAGTGGTGGTGGTGGTGGCTGCTTTCGGTTTTGTGGGGGAGGGTGCTGAGGGGTTGGGCAGGGACTTGTTCTCAGTCCCAAAGCTGAGATTAAGCAGGGAAGACATGGTGTCGCTTCTTTGTGAAGATGAGATTTTGGGTGGAGTGTTTTGATCAAGGAAAGGTGCGGTTTGAAGAAAGGCAGATGAAAGAGTCATCTGTGAATTTCTGATTAGTTTATGCTCCATCTATGCCAGTCTGTTGCAACCACAATTTTGGTTGCCTATTGCATGTATGTTGTCGACATCAAATAACGCTGAACACACCTGTTTATCAGTATCTGTGCTAGATTGAGTGTTACTCTCTTCATAGATATAGAATTCATCTTCTCGCCGGATCCTGTTGAATGAGCTCTTTGTCGAACTTGATCCATTCTGATCAAAGTCTACCTGGTCAATTGATCTTTTCTGGCCCGTCAGGACAGAAGAGGGTATCGGGGGCATGACGTCGCACAGAGCTTTAGATGTAGAGAGGTTCGACTTGGTTGTGCTCTGGGAAAGGGATCGAGTCAGAGACGCGTTGGTTGATTTGTCAACCAGAACGCGTCGTTCGGATTTCGTTGGACTTGGCTGTGACATTGTTGCAGAAATATACGTAGTTATATGATAAACAAAACGGAAGGGTGGCTTGCAGCAGGTATGGGGGGTATATACGGAGGCAGGTAACAAGTCGTGCGGGAGGGATGAGATGCGGGATACTCTATTACTATCTAGAATGGTTCAATCGTTGGACAAATAAAATAAAAAAAATTAAAATTAAAAAAAATAAATAAATAAATAAATAAAAAGATGCTCACGCCCAAGCACAGGGGAACGAAGGAATCAGCACAGGCAATGAATCCGCCTGTACCGGTTGAGCCCAGAAGAGAAGAAGAGAGAGGAGGTGCAGGACAAGAAAGGGGGTGGAAGAGCGTCGCGTTGCTAATCAACGAAAACAACGAGAGCAGTCAGCAGCAGCAACAACAACAACAACAACAACAACAACAACAACAACAACAATAGGGACCATGAGGGCTGGTCGTTCGCCTCTCACACGCTGCGGGTGCGCGTGCTGCGTGTTGCGTGCTGCGTGCAAAGTGTGGAGTGCGGAGTGCGGAGGTTGCGCCTAACCCTATTTAACGTGACGAACGGAAACGGTGGCTAAACAAATGGGCTTAACCAAGACCATGCGCGTGGGGCCGCAGCGAAGTCCGTCGTGAAATTCTTGCTTCCACTCCAATGAGAATGCATCGTTGCACGGTGGCAGGTGGGAATACATATCCATCAATCCACAACAACTACCTGTTATTATTGTGATATAATAGTTAAAAAGCAAAAGGGGGAGGAGAATCGAGGGACTGCGGGATTCCAGTGCTGTGGGATTCACAACATTGTCAGCTTAGCCCGCAAAGCGCTCCAACAGGTCGTTGAATCCGAACGGCAGATACGCCTTGAAGGTAGAGCTCTGCGAAGTCGAGAAGATGTTATATTCCGTTCAAGAGTGAGAGGCTGGGAAGCACCGCCGATGGAGGTGGTAATTAGAGAACGAAGAGCAAGATGCGAGTGGGGGTGAATTGTTTTAAAGCCAGCCGTGGGAAACATAGTTTTAACTATTTGCCAAACCTGTTGGCGGGGTAAAATGGCGATCAACTTCCATTTATTTAAGCAGAAGTGGATTGACTGGAGAAGGGATGCCTGCATATATTAAGAAAACTGTCCCTTTATTGCTTGTCTAAATGCGTAATTATAGTTGACGGATTGGAGAAATGTCGTAAATGAGTGCTCTGTCGTAATCTTGGAGATATAGCTCAAGTCCTTGTTCTAGCATTGGTTAAATTATTAACTCATAGCATTAAACTTAGGGACGCTTTGAAAAAAAAAAAAAATATTAGAACGACTCCTCTGCATCATCCCAACCATCCATTTGGATATTCAAGTCACAATCACCAACAGTCCACCAAGCCAGTCATTGGTGGTATTAACTGCAGGATCCCTAGTATCCTTCATACTGACTGGGAATCCATATTTACATAGAAAAAAAAAAAAAAAAAAAAAAAAAAAAAGTCAAATCACGTCCAGAAATCTCGCTCAAGGCCCGGCAATCTCTACCCCTCCACACCACTCACGCAAAAAGATAACACCACCAACCCCGCACCAAGATGTCACAATTGACCGTCGCAGCGAAGGCAAATGGCTCCTTTCTGCTACCAACTCTTCTGGCTATAAACTATGTCAAACAAAGCCTCCCGGGCACCGTTATCAACGTCGAGTTTGAAGATGTCGAATCCATCGGATCCCAAGGCGCAAAACTGGAGTTGAAGTCCGACGATGGGAAAGCCATATACGATGATGATGTCCTGCAGCATCTAGAGAATATATATGCACCCTTGCAGGCCGGAGACAAGGGGAAGGTCTGTTCAAATCCCCATTTTGGTCGTATCTTGTTTCGGTCCAGTCTCCCTGTTCGCTGCGAATCTACACTGCACTGGAACTAAATCTTTTCTTTTCCTTCCCAACTAGGTCGACGAGTGGGTGAAAAGGTCAACTGCCCTGCGGCCATTGGATTTCAAATCGCTCGACCAACCGATGAAAGAGCTGGATTCTCATCTCACTCTCCGTTCGTGCATCGTTGGTTACTCTCTTACCTTGGCCGACCTAGCCGTGTGGGGAACTCTACGGGGAAACAGAATTGCCATATCGGCCATTCGAAAGGCAGCTACAAATACAAGCCGTTGGTTTTCATTTATCGAAGCCTCGTATCCGTGGGTAAACATTGCTGTGGCTGAGTTAAGCGCCAGCGCTCAGAAGAGAAAGGCCGCTGCAAGCGCGGCCGGTGCAAGCTACAACATCGGCCTGCAAAATGTGGAGAATGGAGTTGTTACTCGTTTCCCACCAGAGCCTTCGGGATACCTGCATATCGGGCATGCCAAAGCAGCACTTCTGAATGATTATTTCGCCCATGAGCAGAACAAGGGAACCTTGATTTGCCGCTTCGACGACACCAATCCTTCCAAGGAGAATCAGGAATTCGAGGACGCGATCAAGCATGATTTATCCCTGTTGGGCATTTACCCGGACAAAACCTCCTTTTCAAGTGATTATTTCCAGGAAATGTATGAATACTGCATCCAAATTATCAAGGCTGGGAAAGCCTATGCGGACGACACCGCGAAGGAGGTGATGCAGGAGGAGCGGTTCAACGGCATCGAGAGCAAGCGCCGCAATGAAAGCATTGAGGACAACTTGGCACGATTTGCTGAAATGAAAACAGGCTCAGAGGAGGGCCAGCGGTGGTGTATTCGTGCAAAGATCTCAATTGACGACTTGAACAAGGCACTAAGGGACCCCGTCATCTACCGCTGCAACTTGGAGCCCCACCACCGAACGGGCACTACATGGAAAATCTATCCAACGTATGATTTCTGCGTGCCCATCCTGGATTCGCTAGAGGGCGTGACCCACGCACTGCGAACAACTGAGTATGGTGACCGGAATGCACAGTATGTGTGGATGCAGGAAGCCCTTGGCATCCGGAAAGTTCACATTTGGGACTTCTCCCGTGTCAACTTCATTCGGGCTGTGTTGTCTAAGAGAAAGCTCACAAAATTGGTCGAGGAGGGGGTTGTATGGGGCTGGGATGACCCGCGCATGCCTACCATTCGCGGAATCAGACGACGTGGTATGACAGTACCCGCCCTGCGCGAGTTCATCCTGAAGCAAGGGCCCAGCCGGAACGTTGTTAACCTGGACTGGACTCTTTTCTGGGCGACTAACCGCAAGTATATCGACCCTGTGGCCCCGCGCCATACCGCCATTGACAAGCAGGACGTGGTGCGCGTTACCGTAAAGGGGATCGAAGGTGTGCAGACTGCCGATAAACCAAAGCACATCAAGAACCCAGAACTAGGTTCCAAGAAGGTGATCTACAGCCCTAAGATTCTTCTGGAACAGGTGGACGCCGTCACATTCCAGAAGGACGAGGAGATTACGCTGATGAACTGGGGCAACGCGTTTGTGCGCAAGATCACCAGCGACCCAATGTCTGGTGGTAGAATCAGCAGCCTGGAACTTGAGTTGCATCTGGCGGGGGATGTCAAGAAGACGGATAAGAAGGTCACATGGTTGGCGGAGAAGGGGCAAAAACTTGTTCCCGTTGAACTTGTGGATTTTGACTATATCATTTCCAAGGATAAATTGGAGAAGGATGAGGACATCCATGACTTCCTGACGCCTAAGACGGAGTTCCGGTCTGAGGCGTTTGCGGATTGCAACGTTGCTGGCCTTGCGGAGGGGGATATTATTCAGTTTGAGCGGAAGGGATATTATAGATTGGATCGGCCGTATAAAGAGGGGAAACCGGCTGTTTTCTTCAATATTCCCACGGGTAAAACTGGATAGGGTCTAGAGTCTAGAGTCTATAGCCCAGATGCTGCAGTCCCTGGTTTTGCTTTTTCTTGCCAGATGGAGTCGAATGGAAGGGAAGCTGTCAATGTCTTTTCAGATTGTCATTTTGGCAGATCTCGTGCCACGCATGCGTGCCGATCTTGGTTCTTGACCAACCACCCCACTCGATCCGTGCAGCTCCCGTCATCTCATGTTTTGCGATATGACGGATGCACCACAAGCTAATAAAATAGGGGGAGAACCAGGGCGGGGGTTCCAGTTATCACTCTGTAGACTGACCAATTGTCCAATCACATACTTTTGAATGACAATACTTTTTGTAGATCCTTATTCTCACCAGTCGCCCGCTTTCCAGTCTCCTCAAGCAGTCAACTAGCTCTCTTTGCATTACATCGAGTTGTAGCACTCCTCCGTAGCTATTACATGAACGAACGACCTTACTGGCACGCGATCAAGAATGGCAGGTGATACACATCCAAAACGACCTAAGAGTTTTGCTTCTCATTAATTTTGAAATGATTATACAATGATTTGAAACGGGCTGTTAGCAATATATGATGCCGTACTGAGTAGTCGAGCAGTCATTCCTTCAAACATAGAAGATCGGAGTCGATCTTGATATTCTCGAGTTAGTTAAGCGGTTTTGGAGTTACACTCTAAATTAACATTAGTTTTCTGATTTGTCCCAGTCCCAGTCCCAGTCCCAGCCCCAAGCCACGGCGCTGGTAGCCCCCCACCGGGCCCCGTAGAGTCGATTGGCTAGTTTTGGAATCGCGAGGAACAACCTCTCCACATTGAGTAACAAGCCAATGAATGGGAGGGGAGGTAACTATCGTTGGTGCCGATCGACGATTATTTCGAGGGTTCACCAGCAAACAGAACATCGATGGGGCGGTGTCTTATCTCCAAGGACTCCCATAACTAGAGATCGACTCTGCCCGTTCTTCCGTATCTCCAAATAGTTATGAGGGAGGGTGTTGTAGTGAGGCAGCCTTTAACCTGGTAAAATTCACTTTGTATAGCTATTTATTTACTTACTTATTTTGGTTGGCTGCTGTTGTCGAGTGGCGGCAGGAAGGAGGATTCCAACGCTGACTACTCCGTAGTTTAACTATGCCCCTCCTCGTCTCTCCTCTCCCGCGTACGCTCCATTCCATCCAGTCCTTTGGTCTTTCAGACATTCCCCCCTGCTCTCTCGGTTGGTTGGCTGTATCAATAGACGTATAAATGGGAATGGGAGCAGACGACAACTAATCATGCTGGCGTAGTTAGTTAGTGAATCGCTACTGGCGCGCTGCCCCAGGATAAGCGGCTCAGCCTGACTGTCCCACATGACCTACCTCATTGCGGCCCTCCACAACAACCCGCAGACCAACCTTCCGACTTCTCCACAACTCCCTCTGGCCGTTGTCCCTCTTATTCTTATTAAACTACTCCTTTTTCTATTCATTCGTTCTTCCCTCCCCTCTCTTCCTCCTCCATTTGCTTCATCTCAATGCTAGCTGGACCCTCTTGTTGTCCCTAGAACGCCTCGTTCGTTGCCCGGCACCTCTATTATAGCTATCCTTAACTGCTGTTTCCCGGTGAAGCGCCCGCCATGCGATGGCTACTTTGTCCCCTCCTTGGGGCCGCCATCTTCCACTCCTTTCTAGTCGCAGCCTCCCGTCTTACTCCTCCAATATTGCCGTTGATCGTCCGGAACCCTTATCTTAGTACCTGGCTCGCCAATGCCAGAGAGGACCCGTGGTCCTCGTGGCCCATGTTCTACACGGGAGAGCATATGGGGCTCTCCCTGATGGCTTCCGTCCCGGACACCGGATTTGTATATCCACTGCTAGGACGTCCTCAGGATTCATTGACTCCAGTCACCTCGACGTCTGGGTAGGTTTTGGAACTGTTTTGACTCCCCATAATTGAGACTGTAACATGAGCATTTTTGTTAATAGACAAGCGCATTTATGCAGGTATAACATCTCATATCCAGAGTATCTCGGTGCTAAGTATGATGCTTCTACGACGAACCTGAGCTATTCCATCGCAGCCCCGAAAGGCGCATCCGCAGTGTCAGCAGATCCAATTCACATCACACTTTCATTCCTGTCGCCAATTACCCCGACTTCCACCCTTCGCCAGTCCATCCCTGCTGCGTATGTGACCGTGTTCGTCAAGGGAAACAGAAATGTTAATGTCTATATGGATTTGAATGGGCAGTGGGTCAGCGGTTATCGAAACGCTCGTATTGTATGGCAATTCGATCATATAGTTCCCGAAGATAAAATAAGGCCGCGTCTCAAGCAGTGGCAGGTCAAGCTGGAGACAGAGCAGCTGTTTTCGGAGAATAATGACCGTTCTGAATGGGGCACCCTGCACATTGTTGCACCTGAAGTAAGGCTGGTCCCAATTGTTTCTCATACAAGTGGCCTTGTTTTAGGCGAATATTGAAGAAAAGAAAATACTAACAATTAACCGGTCAGGACGTCCGATACGAGTCCGGAACTTCTGCTACTCTTCGCAAGAGGTTTGCAAGAATTGAGACTCTACAAAATGTCAACGACAAAGTTTTCCGACCCATTATGGACCAAGAACCTGTCTTTGCCTTTGCAAAGTCCTTCGTGCTCAACGAGACAATGTCAACAAACAATACTCTCGTCGAGGACAGTGTCACTTTTTCAATTGCCCATATCCAAGATCCCGTTGTTCAATTTGCTGCTGCTCGTGGCTTGACTATGATGAAACCGCTCTGGCAGTCTTGGTTTACAGATGCGAATAAACTTCTTCTGTTTCACCATTCTGATTTCAAAAATGCTTACGCGCTCGCTGCCAACTATTCTTCGCAGCTCGAAATTGATGCGTTTCTGTCTGGAGCTGAGGATTATGTGGACATCGTATCTCTTTCTGCAAGGCAGGTTCTCGGTGCAACCTCCTTCGCAGGGACGGCTGAAAACCCGATTCTGTTCCTGAAAGAGATTTCCTCCAATGGAAATTTCCAGACCGTTGACGTTATCTTCCCGTCTTTTCCGTTTTTCCTCTATACCAATCCTCGGTGGCTAGCTTATCTTTTGGAGCCATTGATAGAACATATGCTCAGCGGTCAATATCCCAATACCTACTCCATGCATGATCTGGGTGCTCATTTTCCCAATGCCACTGGCCACCCCGATGGCAGAGATGAGTATATGCCAGTCGAAGAATGTGGTAATATGTTGATAATGGGCCTAGCCGTCGTTAACTCACTGCGGTTTTCCGCGAAGCCTCCTGTTGAGGTCCTTGCAAAAAATGAAGACAAGGATAAAGACGTCAGCCTATTCCCACTCACAGATCTTGAATCTCGTGACGGTGTAGATAAACTCGATACCCCCTGGTCAATAATCCCTGACGCAGGTAACAGAGCTCAGAGGTGGGTAGAAAGGTCTTATAAATTATGGAAGCAGTGGACTGGATACTTGGTCGAATTTTCTTTACTCCCCGCCAATCAGCGTAAGTTTTGATCCTTGAAATTGCCCCACGGTTTCTGTAGGCAGACTAACGGATCTCTTATGTTTTTGTAGTATCTACCGATGATTTTGCTGGATGGCTGGCACTCCAGACGAACCTTGCACTCAAGGGTATTATTGGTATCAACGCCATGAGCCAGCTTTCATCTTTGATCGGAAATACAGATGATTCTACTTTCTACAAGGTACGTCTTCAGATAGGATCAAGAAATGAAAAGGAGGGACTGTTCTAACTCTAATGGATCTATTTAAATTAGAATATCTCTGACACCTACGTTATGAAATGGGAAGAGTATGGGTTCTCGCGGGATAAAACCCATGCTAAAGTCTCCTACGATTGGTACGGTTCTTGGACTACGCTATACAATCTCTACGCGGACTCCCTTCTTTGTTTCCACTTGGAAGATTCCTCTGGCAGTCTCCCGCAAGGGAATGGAGTCATGGACAAAAGCGACCCGCAGAAACCTCTTGATCCGCCAAAGGAGGGCCTCTCCGGTGGCTTCGTGCCCAAACGCGTTTACGTAAGACAGTCGAAATGGTACCATTACGTGCGACAAAAGTACGGGCTTCCGCTGGACAGCCGCCATCTCTACACCAAGACGGACTGGGAATTCTTTTCGATGGCAGTATCCAGCAAAACGGTCCGCGAGGAGATCCTTCAGTCCGTAGCTAAATGGGTCAACGAAACGGCCACGGATCGACCGCTCACTGACCTCCACAACACGGAGGGAAATGGTGGCTTCCCGGGTCCCAATTTCTTCGCTCGTCCTGTTGTTGGCGGGCATTTTTCCTTTCTTGCGCTTGAAAGGGCGTGTAATGGAAAAGCTATGGATGGGTTGAAGTTTTTGGATGATGAGGTTTGGGAAGACGGGCGGCCCAGGTGCCAAGGGGATGATTGCCTGAGCGACGATGACTATGACCATGATGAGGATTACGATGAAGACGATGGTGGCTTTGATGAGGGTTATGACGAGGATTACGATGACGAGGGCGACGAGGTTTCGCAGGTGATCGGACCGAAGGATAAACCTCAGTTTCGGATGGTGGCTAATCTCCCTAATACTGAAGATCATAAATGGGCTGGTCCCGGTGGAGAGTTTAGGCGCAGGAGTGCCCGTTTCGTTAACTAGATGAGTTCCTCAGCCTCCTGCCTTAATCTTCGTGGTGGTACTTCTGTTTGCATTTTATAGGGCTTCTGTTTCTCCTCTACAAGTCCTTGGGTAGTTATTCTTGCTCCCTCTGTTGGTTTTCTGCTTCCCCCTAATCCTTCCCCGCCACGTCCTACGGATTTTTATTGACGTCATGAGTCTTCATTTTCTTTGCTCTTGGATTAGTTGAAAGTTTCTCGCATTCTAGATGTCATTATCCATCATTACTGCCTTTGGTCTCTTGGAACCTCCCTTTTCTAAATCATCTATCCGCGAGTCTCCTGCATGGCATGCAAATTCCTTTTTACCATTATCATATTAGACGTTCTGAAATTTCTACATGTGACTTTGGCTTTTACCCCTTTTGCCGCTCTTTGGTTCCGAATTTCGTCCTGCGATGAACTTTTCCGGATCGAGTTTTGGTTGTTTTCCTTCGTACAACAGGTAAATTACCCAGCAAACGCATCTGCCAATAAGGTTCCCGGTTTCTAATCCAGGCCTGCACAGCTTCCCCTTCCTCGATCCTACATCGGGCGCGCACGTTCTTGGTTTCCACAGGATTTATGTGTTTATGTCTCTACGCACGCATAGAAGCATTGAATAGACCCGAGACCGCGGATGTATTCCTAATAAATGTATTCCTAATACCATTATCGCTGTGTTTTAACTATTAACAATAAATCTTTTGGATGGAGGTTCTTCAACATTTCTTGCTCTTTCCAGCCGCAGCGCGTCAACAACCTACACCGATCCCCCAAGTAGATAGATAACAAAAGAAAAGGGTGGAGCAGCACGATCTTCGATTCAAAATATCTGAATCTTTCGCAACGGCTCACTGCTTCCAAATGTATTAATTACCATTCTACCTCTAAAGTCCTTTTGGCTATCCATATATCCAAAACCTTGGCCCAGAGATTCGACTATTTGATTAACTAGAGTCTGATGTTAGAAATACTTGAGAAGTAAAAGGGGCATCGATTCCGAGCAGCTATTGAAAAAAAGGAGGAGATTGAAAACTGTACCAAGGAGAGGAAATCAAAAGACCACGAACGTTTTTTAAACCACCCATGAATAAGAGACTACTAATAATGAAACCATTTACAAAGTAGGGGTTGGGGGGTCAGGTCAACTAATTAAGATGAACATACCAAAACCCTTCTTCCAACGTGTTTCCCATGTTAACTCTCTGAGAAAGCAAAAACCATAATAACTAGGTGCAAGAAACATTTTTTTTTTTAAAAAAAAAAGAGAGAAAATCCCCACCACACATCCCAAATTACAGGCGGAGTTGTTTCCAAACTGCTCTGCTCCCAGACGGAATAAAAAAAGACCTCATTCATTCCCTCTTCACTTTGACTTCTGGAACCTCATAAGGATTCCTCTGCTCGTCCGGCTCACCCTTCACAACAGGAGAAATAGAATCGACACGTTCCCTTTTAGCACTGGGATCCCGCTTAACCACTGTACCAGTCGACTGTTCACTCGAACCAGAACTACCCCGAATTCCATCTTCCGCCGCCTGTTCCACTTCCCCCTCTTCACCCCCCTCCGCACTCAGGCTAGCAAACTCCATGAACTCTGTACCGTTGCCTGTTTTATTTATTTATTTATATTTTGTTTTCTCGTCAGCACGCTCGAATTGTAACGTACTTACTTATGTTCCTAGTTAGAAATGAGAGAGAGAGAAAGTGCTGCTTACTCGCGTCTTCGTATATAAACCGGAAAACCACATAGGGGACAGGAGGCCGATCAACCATGAAATACCTCGGGTCGAAATAGTCCCAGAATACGGGGTTGACGCCGAGGTCCAACGCCTTGCGTGCTCGATAGGCTTTGATTTCGATGGGTTTGGCGTGGAGAGAGAATAGCTCTTTTTCCAATGTCTTAGCTGTCCTCTTCCTCGTATTTGAGCTTGTCTTTGTCTCTGTTGTTGTGGTTGTTGTATCTGGATCTTCTACTTTTATGTCTGCCGCTGCTGTTGCGGACGTCCATTGTGACGTAGCACCGCCCCTTGTACCCGGCACCCTAAAACAAAAGTCCATCTCCCCCCTCCACTCGTCATCAACACCGCATCTCCACCTCACCATATGTTCGCCCCCAATCTCCATTTCAAAATACATAGCTTCGCACGTGTCACAGGGTGGTGGGTAGAGTGCATATTTGAATGACGTTGGGTATAACGGAATGTGGGCGGTTAGAACTGGGTAAGTGTTTGGTTCGAAGGACGCGGTGAGCTTAAGGAGCTGAGAAAAGAGAGAGGTTGTTGATGTTATATTCGGACGTGGGGCAGTAGTGAAGCACGCCTCGCTGCGTGGGCTTTCAATGGATTCGTGGAGGTCATAGGTGGGGATATGTTCGCTGAAGAACCCGGTGGCGTTGGCGGTGCTGGTGCTGGTGCTCGTGGGGTTGGTGGCGGAGAAGGTAGTGATGATGGGGGTGATTGTGACGTTGTGGAGAGTGGCCATTTTGCAATTCTTGTAGAAATGAAGTGAGAGAGGTAAGGATGCTAATTGAAAAGAAAGAAAAGGGGAGTTTGTTTAGAATTTGGGGACCTTGTTTGCAGTGGTTGTGGAGAATGCTCTGCTGAGATAGGAGCGTAGAAAAGGGGCATGAAGATATTGAATGTCTTTGAGTATAGACATATCCAACATGGTGGATATAAACGCACCGCTATTGGAGATGAGAGATTGAACTTGCCCAAAACTAAAGAAAACAAACACGGCACAGCCACGAAAAGGAGGATGGAAGGGAAGGGAAGGGACATCCTTTTAAAAGAAATACTGACATTGATGTCTCGATATAAAACGACAAGGAATGAAAAGTGAGAGGTTCTTAGATATCCTATCTGTCATCAAGCTCTCTTCATACCAACTTCCACAGAGAGAGATGTCTGCATATGCTGAGAGCTGCTGCTGTTTCTCTTCATCCATCATGAATCGAAGCGGCGATGCATGGTTTGCGGGAGGAGAGGAGATTGCATCCATATGCAACATCCATTGCTGTATGGCAAATGGAAGAGATTGAGTGGGAAAACGGAAGAATGGGTTATTAGTATGAAAAATGCTTCGCTCCGTTACATGCAGATATGTAAAGCAGGACAAGAAAGAGGGATTTAGAAATATCTAGAGATATCTTATCCTGGTGCTTATAATCGTCGCCACGATATTGAGCGGCAAAGCGTCACTTTAAAACACTTGAATGTTCAAAAAAAAAAAAAAAAATGATGGGGGAAGGGGAAGGGGTTAGATACCAGCCTATTGTATGTATACATGTTAGAAATAATTTGGAAGGTTATAATAGGAGACTCACAGTTCGGCAAAATGAGAGAAAAAGGAGAACGATTTTTTTTTTTGGGGGGGGGGTTTTTCATTTATATATATATAGAAAAAGAAGGGGGAAATATATTGAGAAAACATAAAAGCCCAAAAGTGAAAAGAAACGACAAGAAACGAAAGTCATCAATCAAGAATCTTTCTGACTCCCCTTCTCCATTAGAAACAAGATAAGTTGATGAACTTCCCGTATATTTTTCCTACAGCCTCCAAATTGTGTTTTTTATTCTGCCCTTCTCCTATTTCCCCTTCTCGTATCCGCCTTCCCGCCCTTCCGCCCTCCCACTGTATATGGTCTTGATTGAAAGAAAAGACGAAAAAAAGAGGAATAACGTCATTGCAGAGAACAGAGAAATAATACTAAAGAAAGGGAAAAAGCATAAGAAACAGGTAGGATTTTTTAGCTTGTAGGTTTTCTACAGTGGTTGAAATGGACAACAAGAGGTTTATATCATTTGTGCGCTGGAGAGACACAGAGCCAAGGAGGACACACATGCACTTGTCTTTTCCTTCCATTTTCCATATTTTTTTTGTTAACCCACTATGACAAGAACATGTCAGTTGCAAGTTGGGGAGTGGAGAAATGAAATTGAGAAAAACGAAGAGAAAAGAAAAAGAAGAAAGAAATGAATCTCTCCCAAACAATTTCACTTGCCACCGCCAAGGGCCGGGAAATTCTTCTCATCGACTCTGACGCTGGGGCCGGTGGGGTTGACACGGGAAGCTCCGCCACGAGGGGTACCACCACGGAACTCTCCACCTCGACCACGTCCGCCACCGCGTCCACCACGGTCGCCGCCACGGCCACGACCACGGGAATCCCCACCACGACCACCACGCGGCTGCTCGATGAAGCGCATGTCAACCTCGACAAACGCCTTTTCCTTGCGCGCCTTCTCGCGTCGGGCCTTCTCCTCCTTGCCCTTGATGTAGGCAGACTCGTCCTCGTCGCGTTTCAGCTCCTTGGCGGTCGCCCACTTCTTGTCAGCCTTGACGCCCTCGTTGGGCTTGCGGGCCTCCTTGACACCCAGGTCCTGGCGCCGCTGTTCGGCTTGTTCAGCAAGGTATTCATCGTATGACTTGACCCTCTCCTCGGGTTCGGCATCAGCTTCTGCTACATTGGCTTCCGCGCCTTTTTCTTCGCTCTTTGCAATGGCTTCGCCGGCCTGCTCGTCTTTCCAGGCAGAGTCACCCGCGTTGGAGCCCCAGCCCTGCTCGACCTGCTTGGAGGTCACGCTGCAAAACCAAGAGAAAGAGTAATGTTAATAACAGTCCTTATTGGAGAGAATTTCTCTCACCCAAAGCATTTTTTGGAAAATGTATGGAATGGCTTACGTTCTGTCAGAGCGATTGGTTCGGTCTCCTCGAAGGAGATGACCACGGTCATCGCGATTCTTCACAACGCCAGTTGGGATATGTTGATGGGGGCCATCAACGGGCCTGCCACGGTTTGATCGCGAACCAGCCTCACGGTCACGGAAAGCTGAAGGGACAGGATAATGCGCGTTAGAATAATTGTATACTCGCATACGCATAGATAGAACATGTAGATAAGGGTTTCATCGCCCCATCGACCACCGAAGTGTTGTATATATACCTTGCTCATTGCCACCATATCGTCCACCACGTCCTCCACGGTTAGAAGAACGCGCAAAGGTCTGGTTGCTTGCACGAGGGGGTTGGGAAAGGCCATCGCGCTTCCCGTGTCGCGGGCCGGTCTTGTCTACGGCAGAAGTGGGTGGCGATGGCTCCCGATCGGAATCCTCCTCGGGGTCATTACCTGCATGGGCCCATTATGTTAGTTCAACGAGTTTCTGTTTCGGATATATAACTGTAGACATAAATCTATATTTTATATCCACATATACGCCCATTCTTTGAATATATTCACGGGAAAATTGAAATGTTTTCGGAGAGTGGTTGGAAATTGCATACCAAGAAGCTCGTACAGGTTCTGTTTTGTAGGCGACGGGTTAAGAAAAACCGGGTCAGCAATATTAGCATCATTTTCCACAACACCACAAAACATTGCATGGCAAAAACTAAATTCATGACCGCAAAAATTGAAAACTTCATTTGTCCCTTTTTCTTTCCTTTACTTTTACAGAGTAACAAGCATCGATTGACATAAGTCTTCACGCGCAGGGACAATTCAATCAATTGCACATCATCCACAGCCATTGCTTTTTCGTACCTTGGACCGGACGTCCGACATGACGCCTGGTTTTTGTGGATATTGCCTTCCTTGGAAGGCTTTCTGTTATTGCAGCAATTCGGTAACGGTGGGAAAGGGGGAGTTGTAGAAGGGGGCCAGACGGAGCGGGCAGAAATCCTAGAAGGGGCAACAGGAATTCCGTGACCTCTGAAGAGGGCGGGGATGGATGCAGGTTGGGGAGAGAATGGGTGATGAATGGGAGAGGGACTGGGGAGTGGAGGTGAGATGGTTGATTTGCCTCTGGCTGGTTCGCAGGAGGAAGATGATTGCAGAGTTTGGTTGGCTGCGCTGGGTTTGCTAAGCGAATGTCTGGGCCGGAGCGACTGTCGGCCCGGGCGAGGCTTGGATCGGTTTGGTCGGGTTAGGGCTTAGGGTAAGCAAGTCACTTATATCGGCAGTTTGGCAACAAAAACCCAACTATTAGTTAGTTATTATCAGTTAATGGGGAATGAAAACAGGTTTTTTTTTTTTTTTATTGTGGGGTTTCATTCAAGTTATGTACTCCGCATGTACTCTGTACAATACATATACAGTCGTTGCGAGCTGATAATGAACTGGCAAATTTACCTCGACATAGGCCGCCCATACGCCCATAAAAAGAGAGAAAAGCAGAGAGAAAAAGGAAGAGGGAAAACCCAACGCTCATCAAATCATCCAGTCAACAAAGTAATAAAGATCAAAATAGCGAAAATAATATAGAGCAGTCATGATCATTAGAAAGCGCAAAAAAGAGTTGTGGTATCAAAACTTCCTCCCCCCTCCACCAAATAAAAAACCCCTTCCAAACGCCTTGCGATGACTTCGTGAAAATACTCTTTTCCCCATGATTCCCAACGCGCCAACCTGGTTGAACCATTTTTCGTTGTTTTAGGGAATCAGAAGACACACATGTATGGGCGGGTAGACTAGATATCCCAAAATAAACCCCAGTGCCAATTTCGCCTTCAAGGCGGGCAGCTTTTATTTCTTTCCTTCCATGAGCAAAAGTTGGGTTAGTGAAGGTGGTGAAGGAAGAAACAAAAGGGAGAAACAGCCAGCCATCAATTTCAAAACGCCGTAGAGTGTAGATTTCATCCTGTCGATCCGAAATATTTAATATATATATGAAAAGGGAGCTGTGAGTTGGGATGTGTTGGCGTGTGGATGGCGTGTGAATGTCAACATGTACGCATTTTTCACGCATTGTTACTGCCGTGCGTGGTTCTGACTGTAGCTGAACGGTGTCTGGAAGTGCATGCTGGCCGTCAAGCCAAATGGATCTGCATCTAGCATGGGATCGAAGTGATCAAAGAACGAACCTCCCCGTTCAAAGCACTCCACCTGGCCGCTATGGCCAGCAATAGCAGTAGCAGCCCGCTGCTCATTCCGCTGAGCCCGTCGAGACGAGATCGATGTCTCGTCATGGTAGCCGACCGTGTACGAAATGCCTTCCGCGGAATCGCCAGCATTGTCCGGCTCATCATCGTCCATGTCGACTTGGGCGTCATATTCCTGTTCTATACTTGTAGAAAATAAAAAAAGGAGTAAGGTATTAATTAAGATGAACAAGCGCCCGATTTATTAATTGGAGGGGAAGATGGGGGTTAGCTTGCCTAGCTGATCATAATGCTTTTGGAATGGTGACAGATAGTAACCTGAGCCAGGACGGCTTGGGTTCATCTGGCTACCTGGGGATATGTTCGGGTAGGAAGCCGTGGTTTGGTCTGCGGGATAAGAAGGGGTAGCTGAAATGGGACGGTGGGCGCTTGTACCACCGTTGTTGTTGTTGTTGTAACTGGCGAGTGGGTGTAATATTGGCGGTCGTTGGTGGGGCTGCAGATTATTATGTTGGAGCTGGGGTTGGATTTCTGCGCAGCGCGGGGACATACCGCCTTGTAGGCTGAAGATGGGCGACTTGGCGGCAGAAGGCGATGAGGCATGAGATTTAGGCGTAGGTTGTAGTTGTGGGGATCTCATGGTATAGGAATCCTCACGATGTGCCTGATGGATATTAGATTGGTCAAGCTTCTGTGGAATTCTGACCTTGTAACGATTGACAGACTGTCTGTTCATAGCGGTTCGTGAAAGGGGGGGCTTTCGGCTTATGGGTTGTCTAGCAGGTTTTACTGGTGGCAGATTGGGACTGCCATTTTTCAAACACAGCTCAGCCTGAACGTCGATGCCTAGCAATCGGAATGGAGGCAGTAGGTGGGCTTTAGTATATATTTTATTGGGAGTCTGACAGGTTCTAAGGTCATCACAAGATAGATACATACCCTTTTCCAGAAGAATGCGCTCCAGCAGCGAGTTTTTATAGCGAAGCATCAGACACTCGTCAGCGGCACTCCGGTGACTCTGTTGTAATGTCTGAAGAGTCTCCTCGTTGTGCTTGATGGTAGTCTCCAGCTGCTTTATATACTCGGTGCGACGCTCACGGAAAGCGGCTTGCGCCTGTCTATTCCTCTGCTTACGCTCTTCAGAGGTGGCATATATCTGAGACACCAACTTAGCATACAGTAGAAAATGAAAGAGACAACAGGAGACAACGTACGGGCTTTCGACCTCCCTTGCGCTTTTGCCTCTGGGCAGCATCTTGAATGACCGTTTCACCATCTGGTTCTGGTGTTGAGACTGATGAACTGCAAGAACCCTCAGGGTTGGGTTCAGATTTCGGAATTACCTCCTCCATTCTAATACCATCCGGCGAATTAATCTGGCTGACATTGACCCGAGATCCCATATCACGCAGAGAGGCGGAAGGGCGGGAGGGGTACAATCGGGCAATTGAGCAATGTGCACAGATTAACAGGCAAGATATAGAGGCAATAGAACGGGTTGAGTAGTAGACGGCCAGAAACCCGGGGCAGAGAAAGGGGAGGGCGTGAGGAGCGGAGAGAAGTGTGGAGGCGGCTTGCTGGGAACACCCGCGAAAGCACCGGGTGCGTCTAAGGCGCAGAAACGCGCGGCTGTAGGGCTAGATCTCAAATGTAAAACTATTGGGAAGGTTGAATGATCAAGACAGATGAGAACAGGGTACCCAATCCTTGGAAGATGAGCGCAGAGAGAGTCAAAGGTCGGCGTTAAGAATGTGGAGTTGATGCTGTGAGGTGAATTTATGATTAACTAAGAGAAACATGTGGGAAGCGGATGCGGGGAGGGTATCGGGGTCGTATCGGGGACGGTGTTCAAAGGCTAACCTCCGTTATTGGTAAGTACGGATAGTATACGGAGTATGTAAGTATGTGCGTATTATTACCCGCCGTACGTATGTTCTCTCTCCTTTATTGTTCCCACCCTTGTTATAATTGTATTGTTGTCTGTTGTAATTGCCTTTTTCCTTTTCTCTTTCTTCTCTTCTTCTTAACCCGTTATCACAAACTGGTCATGCCGCACGGAGCTGATTTGTGTGGGTCATTGGTTTCCTGATCATAAACTACACTTTGAGGAGAGGGGAAAGTGGACGCACTCTCATATCTCCTGTATTTCTTTTGCCTAATCCGATACATCCAATACCGCCGGAATATCTCGGTTGCCGTTAAATCCTCCGGTGGTCTGTGCCAGTTAACTCCCAGGTGTATTGTTACAGCTTCAATACAGCTCGCTTCGAGCCCCGCTGACTCTATCCCTAGCTCTCTCTTTGCTGCCCAGAATTGCAGGGTGCTCTTCTGTGGGCAATACCGATGGTTGTTGGATTGTCATTGGGCACATTTAGGATCCGAAGGCTAAATGAGCTGTTGTATCAAAAAGTTACAGTTTAACCCTAGATCCAGCCGGAACGTGGGAATTTGACATTTAATGGCGGATTAATTCCACCCTCCTTTCGGGTCCTTCAGCATTTGGGGAGTTGCGCAACTACTAGTAACAACTCGCATGGCAAACCTTGGAGAATTAACCAAAGACCTCAAGTGTTGTGCCGGATCATGTTCTCGACATTCGACACTAACCTGTCAGTGAGCCCAAGTCCTTGCAACCATCGGAATCACTACCTTTTGGCTTGTCCGCCCTGACCGCCCTCTGCCTAAGTGCCTTTTCCTCAAGCAGCCGATGACTTCTTCCCCCCCCCCACCCCCCGGGCCCCGGTGTACCGAATTGTAGCTTTCTGGAATGATTGGAGAGTGCAGTGACCGGCTCCGGTGTTAAAAACTAACTCAAGAGAGGACCGAAGGGTAGCCAGAAGAACCTCGGGACGTATTCCGAAGAACGCAGAAAGCATTACCTTACTTTCAAAGTACAGTGTATGGAATTGAGGCAAGGGACCGGAATAGCAAAGTTTGAGAAGCACTTCGAGGACGTTCAACTGTTTCATGAGAAAGTTCGTTAAACCCAAAGGCTTGGCAGGCGGGCCGCTCTGCTAGCGGAACTTTTGTCTGGACAATCACCACATCGGATATCTGGATAGACCTTGGAATTATTGGGGAATTATCGCTTCCAGATTAGCGCAGAGGGCTCTCGTTGTGTTCGCACCGTTCTCACCGCTGGATAATGTTTGATGCAGGGCGTTAACGATACGTTGAGGTTGTAGCATCGGATTAATATTTTTGCCAAAAAAAAATGGAAGAAAAACATCAAATACTGGGAGTCGAACTACCTTGTCTAAATGATCAAACGGCAACCACCCACATTAGCTATCGTCAAAAGTAGGCGGACTGAAGTATGATAATTAACCATTGCCGCATTAGACCCTTGTGAAAAGTATAGGCGATTGAATTTGGAAGCGAAAGCGTCATTGTATGAAACATCTAGACCACGCAACTGCAACGAATATTCTAGGAGATAGAGTCATGGGAAATGCCAGGATTTTCGTAGCCATATCGTCCCACCTTGTGCCATAATCTAAACATTTGGCTCAATTGTTCACTTGGGCCACAGAGTTGCAGAGCCAAAAGTAATATATAGTCAGCAGGCAATCCCAAACACCTGTTGGCTGTTGGAATGCCAACTACATCGAGTTGTAACTGCACACACGTATTTTAAGATGGACGACGAGGCGCTCCACCGACTTCATCATGATGTAGGTGTTATGTTCGGACAGCCTGGAAAGTTGGTTATTCTCGGAAGCGTGTCCTTTTTTTTTAACGTTTGCTGATACCTCTTCCGCTGCAAGTAGTTATGAATTCGAAGCATCTGCAATTTCCATACGGACGGCCGTTCCGGTAAAAAGTACGTTGGTAGGATTTGTGGATCCATGGATCAAGCATAAATATATGACCCTATCATTCTAACCTTCGGAGAACCCCATCCCGTTCTTTTGACCAACTCGAGTGACGCTCTCACTCATGAAGCGCAAAATTAGAATCAGGACGGAGGAGTCCATGGATGGAGTGCTAGGGTAAAAACAGCTATGGGAATCATGCCGCGGGAAAGGATTGTCAAGGCGGACAGACACAAATTGTTCGCAATTAAGAAAATCATGTAATTCGCGACCTCAACTTTCGGGTGCTCTCAGAACTAGCGCTGGAATCCCAAACTCACCATATCGATTTGACAAATCCAAGGGCCTACAGCTGGGTTATAAACGTAGATAGAGATGTTATGTATCAATGTCTGCTGTCTAACAGCCTTTGAAGGCGCACGGCTTCTGAGGATTGGTACATCGATCAAAAGCCTCACAATCAATGACTGAATTCTCACAATCCTTCTCACTTGACGTGCCCGAAGTGCCCCCCTAAATGACATCTAAGCCATAGTTCAAAGCAGGTGCAGAAGAAAAACCCGCGAATGTCACATCCCTAGGGAGCCCGCTGGTAGATCATCAGATGGGGTCCCACTCGCCAATCGTGACGCAAAAGCAGGGGCAGTGTCTTCAAACACCTAGCCAACTTGATGCTTTGGCGTTTTTGGTGGGGTTGTAGTTCAGGAATAATGAGTGCAGGTCGAAGAAAGTTGAGAGGAAGATCAATTTCGGATTTTAAATTTATACCCACTTTCCACTCGGAACTCCTGAAACGCTAAAACATGGCACCTCCCTCAACCTCATAACCACCATAACCGTTGGGTTAGGGTTGGTTAGAGGATTCGATAAATATGGATGAAAGAAACGCATCCCGAGATATATGCTAAATGGGGATGTTTGTGAGAGTATCCAATGGATGTGAGATATATCTGCAATATATGGCTGATTGGAGTGTTGTTTTACTGTGGTGACTTGAGAGATTGGGTAACTGCTAGTTAATCAACGCTGAAAGTTTCCCCAGTCAAAACCTTTGAACCTCAAGCAACACCTTTGACGTGCAATGATATACCCTTACGGTTGAAAAAATGGCTTGATATGAGAATACGAGAATTTCCTTTACCCACAGGGGCACGGTTAAACCACACAGTTTTTACCGTTTCACCATGGTTACGCCGTCCGATATTTAAATCTCGGTTCAGAAACGATCTCCTACAGTTGTTTAAAAAGGCTATTGCGATTATCAATGATCTTCCATTCGACATGTACAGTTTATGTTAAAGACATCTTACTCACAAGGAGACCTGGGTTCTATATTCTGGCCACAGTCATATAGATACCGGAGCTAATCTCTTCGTTTTTCCCTACATTTTTCCCAAGGGCGGCATGGTTTTTGGCTCCCCCGCCCAATAGCTAGTTGAATGTGTTCTCTGAGCTCAGTGAGCTGGGAGTTAGGATATAAAATAAATGCAACATTTTTCTCGTCATAATAAAATTTATTCAAAAAGCACCACTCTAGGAACTCCTAGTCTCGGTTATGGATACATCAGTTCTCGTAACGATTCCATTTTCAGGGGGTTGCAAATTCTCCATATTGATTATTCGTTCTTCGCTCTCAGTCGGATGACACTGTCCATCTTTGTGGAACTTGATGGATGTCAAGTGAATGTGATCGTCGTGATTTTGCATCCAAGCCAAACCGTCAGAGGCCAGATTATCACCTCCTTTTCGACGGCGAGTATTTTTAACGTACGTGTTTGTGTTCGGGTCTGGGCCATGTCGACTGGAGGTTGGAAAGAAGCGTGGGAAAAGGATGGAAAGAGGTTGCCGGATCATTGGCATGCAGGAGCAGATTATACCGGTGTGGATCTCCACGGTGCTCCAGCATGCGACGGGGATAGGACTCCCTAGCGTTTTGTGTGAGGAGGAGTTTAGCTCAAGTTCGTCCTTGAGAACGGCAGCAGGGAAAATATGAACGGGTCTACTCACATGTAACATCCTTTACATTAGCCGATGCAGCAATAGTGGTAGCTCGAAGGATACTTGTGATGCAAACACTGTCGTGGATAGATCAGCTTCGTTGATTCAATTTAGATGTACTGAACCAATCAAATAAGACCCTGCTTACAATGCACCAACAGCAAAAATCATGATCACCGCGATCTTATCCCTCGTCTTCAATTGGAGGCGAAGCACCTCCTGGATTGGGAGGATTAATATCATAAAGTCACTAAGAATATTGACCAACGTATATGATAGCCATGACGGGCGGTTGCTAATGCAGTTGTGGGGGATACTGCGATCCCAAAAGGATGCTACGGGTGTACACTGCCAAATTGTTGGAGGAATATATGCGATTCCCGTAGCCACAGTAAAGGTGATCATTAAATAGCATCCCCATCGGAAATACCTTCGTACGTAGAAGGCTCGCAAGTAGAGAAGTAGGATTGAGGTTTTGGTGAAACAGATAACGAATTTATACATCACCTGTGCGGTGAACACAAACTGCAGTACAATTCAGAAAGATGATGGAATCGGTGCCAGGAGCAAAAAGTCTCGAAATGAATGCCAAGCCGCAGCAGACACTTCAGGATTCCTACCTTCAGCGCTTGGATCATCTCGTCGTGAGTGAGATCCCATTCGTGTTTGCCGAATCCACTTTCCACGGCTGAGACGAGTTGAATCACTTAGTAAGATGAAACCTCACTGCTTATTACCGACGATGGTTAACTCACCCATAATGTGAGCAACGGAGAGCACGACCGCCGCGAACTGAAGAAATGTCAGCATGTTGATCAATGGGGATGCATCCACAAAAGCAGAACAGAAAACCTTCTTACCATTGCCGCAAAGATGGTCCAGTCGTCAGCACGAATACGGCCATGGGAATACCTCGCCGCCATACGAGTAACAACAAAGAGCCCGGAGATGATGACCATCACAACGCTGATATTCCATAGTTGCCATCCTTTGTTGGGAATCCCAGGGGTAGGGCGTCCAAAATTCGTCATACTAATCACGAAATGACCATTGAGAGAGGAATTGGGAAAGAATTCGGAAAACCTCGAACTACCATGAAGCTCCTAATCATAAATGATGAAAAGCAAAGAGGGTGACGATTGAGACCCTGAGAACATAAAACAGGGCAGATTGGTGGACTATTATGTTCAAAAGGTTTGGTGTTAGCTAAGTAGACCCAGCAAGCCATCATGACATGGAAACTTATTCGATTCTGGCGTTAGTTATCAACACTCATCTGAATTTGTCACTTTGGAAAGCTGGTTAGGCGACTCGGGTGATGGCGCCCGCGAAGAGAATATATGGGTTGTTAACTAAATAGCAAGAGCCGTTGGTGGCTTCGGTTAACAACCCGCCAACGCTTTCACACTCCGGAGTTGTGTTGCAAATATCGTTTGGAAAATTTAGGTTTAAACACTTAGATCCCATAGCCAAGGATCCAAGTGGAATGCATTTTGACCCTTTTTTTTTTTTTGCCGGAGTGACGGGTCAACAACAATCCCAAGATAATAGAGCATGATAGGGAACGGATACTCCAGAGATTCATCAAGAATATATGTGGGTCCAAGCAACAGTGTGGAGTGACCCATCTTCATCAGGGGGCGAAGGAGATCATTTCCCCAGAGAGTTTGGTAAAAGTGATGGAGAGAAATTGCGGGGAGAAGGAGGATTTAGTCCGGCTAAGTCGTTATACCAGCGTCTTACAGGGATATCCCCGAACTACCCCATTAGCAGCCAAGTAGTTCCACATCTCCTGCAGAGCCCTACCATGTCTTCACGTGGTGTGAGAGCAAAGACGCCACCGTCAGATTTATCAAAGCTTGCTGCTCGAATTGCATGGCAACTGCAAACGAAACAGCAAAATTCAGACTTTAAAAATTGTTGTATAATCCACCGCTTGTATAAAAAAAAAAAGGCGGAGATCCAGGAGCTGAAATGGAATTGTCTGCTTATTTCAGCGCATGGGGACCAGCTGGCAGTTGGCTGTTGCTGTGATCGAAAATGACGCCAAAGCAGTAGAACTCGCAGATGTAAAAACGTTAGCGACCAGGAAAACTTCAGAAGCATGTGTAACTGACCTTCTTTAGACGCGTTCCAAGATTGTTTTTCTCCGCAGATTGGAAAGGGGGTTGAGACGATAGTTCACTGGGGTTTGAGGTTGACCTCTTCCATCTAACTAGTTAATGCATGCTTATTAGTTAGTTAACTAATGCGCCACCCAATTATGCATTAAATGCGCCTCAACGCCTTTTGGAAATATGTAGGCCTAGTTAAATCCCGCGCCAAATTTCAAACGATTGAGTTAAGGTTGTGCCGAACCTCGTCCATGTAACTTGTCGTGGTTTAGTTAAGGATTCACTAATAAGTGGATTTAACATATTCGGGTTCGGCCAACCCTAATAATAGTAGTAGAACCCGACACTGGCTTTAAACCTGAGCATTTATTCCCCCAATAGAACGGTTCTGGTGAAGGATTCAAACCGAGCAGGTTTGGTGGCTCGGTTCACATGAGAAAGCATACAACTTGAAAACTGCTGGATATTTATGATATCTGGCTGTATGTCTCATCCAAAGGTCATCATCAGCCTCATCCGTATTGAGAACTGAGTAGTCGTTTTCCTCACTCATGCGCCACCGAATTGGGGTGATTGAAGCAGCTTAAGGGACTGCTTACGGCGCCACCCACCCCAGACCAAGTGATCCAAAAAGTGGTTAACGTTGGTTATTGGGGAAAATCCAGAACCCTTTCTCTTTTAACTCCGCGAAGTTCATGGTATCCAGATATCCTCGAGAAATCGCCAATATTGTTCAATTCCCTCCCGGTATGAAGGATGCTTGGCCGTCACTAAGAACAACCAGTCATGAACCACTCTGAGAAACTCAGATTGGCTTCTGCTTGCAAAATGCTGATATCTCATGATATCCGCGGTGGAGCCAAGTCCTCCCAAACACCTATTGCAGTCCCCAGCTCTCCTCTTGTTCACCTGGACAGAGATGTCATGGTAACTTTCAAGATTGCCCGCGAAATCTGTAATTTTGAAGATCACACTGCTTAGAAACCGTTGTCAACATCACTAATATTAACCCTGATTGCCATGAAACTCTTTCAGGTGCCCTCTGTGTTCATTGCCAAAGCTGCAAGACCTCTACTTTAATCACAACAAGGATGACACAGATGTTTTCTTGTGGTCAAGTGCCAGTTTTGACACCAAGCAGTGTGATTCCCCGCCCATTGGGTTTTAAGGCACAGTCATACCAGCTTACTATGGCTTTTCCCACTCTTAAACTTCCTATGGATGGGCCATCCTAGACGCTTACGGGTCCAGAGATTCTTAATCAAGTCCGTGTCTGACCTGTCTGTGCCGTCTGTCAGGGAGCTTTGGCAGCAAAACAAAAAAAAAAAAAAAAAAAAAAAAAGGGTCAACTGCACAGGAACAAATCATCAAAGATATATATGAAGGGTCCGCTATTTTTATGCACTGACAAGGTATGATGATTGGTGACTTACGTTTGAGAAATATTATTGGTAGAGCTGGACCAGAATCAGAGCTAATTAGTCCAAGCTGCAGAGAACTGATTGGATTCCCAAGGACTTTGATTTTAATGGATTGTCTCGAGACTGGGTTGGGGACGCAGAGAAGGGCAGAAACTATTCCTGGGGTCTATAACTCTACCCTTTATTTTGTTGCTATGACATGTGGAAGGTTGGTGAGAGGAACTTCTTCGGCTGGGCTGACTGGGTTTACCAGCTTGGGTTTTCGTGTTGGAGAAAGGCTCACACGGAGTCCTCAGTTTCGCCTAAACATGAAACCCAGTAAGAAGCTTCCGGAGTTTATTTCGAGAGGAGGATGATGAAGTTGGACAAACCAGGATCTGTATTAAGCTTTATTGATCCAACTCGTTAAAAACTGAACAGCATTTCTGTTTAGAGAGAGCGCGAGCTCCAAATGTGATTGCATGGAGCACCAGCGACATTTGAATGCTTCCTCTCCCAGTTTAGATGTCGGATTACCAGGTGAGCATATTACTCTATAGTAGAACTGAGCCATTCCAATCCTTCGTCTATGTTTTTACTAATTGTCAGAGATTCGTGAGATTTAGCACTTAGAATTCGTGTTGTGTGAGTCAACAAGATAATCATGCTGAAAACAATAAGCTATCCTGATCACTGAATAGAAAAGGCATAACTATCTAGGTTCTGATTTGTTGCAGAACAGCACAGTTCATCGAACTTCTAGAACACTGTGTACAATGGAGCGCTGTGATGGCTATCTATAATTTTCCAATTGCGAGTCGATTCCTGCATACCAAAACCCTCCATGAATGTCAAGATGACACCATTTGAAGGTGGGGCGTTGATTTTATTCCCCACACTTACTTCTCCCCACATTTCAAAACGAACAATCCCTGCCACTCGTATGATACATGATCCATCGTGTGGTCAGGTAACTACCTCACAAGAGAGAATGTGAAGCATTTCGGTGGGGTTGCCTTTACAATGGTCGTAGTTGAACGATCGTAGGGCATCATGGAAATCCCGCGGTTCTCCTGCCACAATCAACATATCCAAATTCAATTCACCATAATTATTAAGTACCAAGTGGATGATTTAGTTTTGAGAAGAAATCAGTGTTGTTTTAAATTTATTTTTCACACTCGGGTGATTCTTTAGATTTCCGTGAGGTCAGGGTGGACCTAGCCAGCGGGGAACGGCTTGACGAATCGAAATTGATCGGGAAGCGTTTGTATATCGACGGCACGCTAATAAACGCCTGTGAGAAGGCGTGCCTTGCAGATAGGGGTGAGCAGGATGTGATTAATCGATTGGAGTTGCCGGAGAATGCGGCTGTTGTGGTTGAGGCATGGACTTATGGGACGGATAGGATGCGGGATATGTCGAAGCGGCTGGTTATGGTGCGTATATTATAACCATTTTATCTCCACCCTAATTTCCCTCTTCGGTTTTAACGGTCAGGTAAAAGTGTAAAATCATTTCTCTTTCGGCTAAAAGTGCTATTTTTACATGCATCTTGGTAGTCATGCGGATGCAAACCACTAGGCATATCCGCTGGATCTATGTGTGGAGATGACAGATGACTTGGAGATACTTGGAATATATAACTTGCCATCTGGAGAAAATGACTGATATACATACCCCTGTTACCAAAGGGGTTAAGAAGTTTGACAGGTCAAAGATTCATGACACCAGCGAATATCATTCTGACCTTGTCTCCGATAATTATCGCACGGGGAATGCTGTGGTGACCCGCTCCCGAATCCTAGTTTTACGGGCCGTCGTCACTGTAGGCAACTAACGTGTATATATATTTTCGCCTCCCAATTTACTCAGGATGCAGCCATCAACTACGAAGTGCGTGCGACAGGGATCCTCTCAAGTACACCCATCAACAGGGGCGATTCAGTCCCTTACAGGACCCTGTGGCGCCGGGTGTTCTGACTCCCTACCACCAGCACCTATTCTCCCTGCGCATTGATCCAACCATAGACGGGTACGAGAACACCCATGTTGTCGAGGACTCCATTCCCATGCCTCTAAACAACCCCGAAATCCACAACTCATTCGGTTTCGGCTACATCACTTACCCAAATAACCGCCCAAGCCGAAAGCGAATTGGACACGGACATCACCAGGGTTCGTGTGTTCAAAATCACCAATGAAAACGTGCGCAACCCGGTCAGCAATGGGCCCGTCGGATATAAGTTTGTCCCACATTATTCGCAGATGTTGCTCGCGCACCCGATGTCACTACACGCCAAGAGATCGGAGTTTTGCTCGCACCCGCCCTGGGTTCCTAGATACAGTGATCGGGAGCTGTACAGTTCCAGCGATCATACGAAGTAGTTGCTTGGTGGGGTTTGGGATTGCGTCCTGGATTAAATACCATGCATCAGATGAATCAGCCGCCAATGTGCGGAATCAGGATATTGTGCTTTGGACGTTTGGCACGACACACAATTCGCGCATTGAGGATTGGCCGGTTATGCCAGCTGAGAAGATGCTTGTGTCATTGAAGCCAGTGAAGTTCTTTACGGGAAATCTGGTAGTTGATGTACCGATCAGTACGCAGGAGCAGAATATGAGAGTTCTTGTTGATGTTGGGGCCCAGAAGTGTTGCGCTCCGGATGGCGTGGAGGGAGAGAAGGCGGGAAAAGGATAACTACTAAGGGATTTGGAGGAGAGTTGTTATTTCCAACTTCAACTTCAATTAATTATTTCATGCCCACTGGAGAAGAGAATATATACGAATAGAACAAATTTAAAAAATAAAAAAAAAAAAAAAAAAAAAAAAAAACGCAATAAATAGAATCAGTCCTGTGTCTATGTCTAAGTAGCTTCGTATCTAAAATTCCATGGATTGTTGAACCGCGGCAAGTCCGAGTCCGGCCAAGCGCGGAGTGTCTAAGTGTCCGTCAAGAAAAAAACCCCCGAAGCTCAGCAGCAATCATTTGCCGAGATAATATCGTCGACGAGACACCAACAATAAACTGCGACAAAAACTGACCACTCCATTAAGAAAAAGTTTTTAGAATTCCAAAGTAATCTAGTTGACTGCTTGCTGTCACTGTTCCATTCCGTTGCGAACCCTCGTCTCAGCCTCCGATCCACTCCTCCTACCTTACCCCGCCTCTGAATTCGTCGTCGAGGATAAATAACAGAAATAAGGAGTGATGGCTGGCGAGGGTAAAAAGCTAGAGGCAGTTATAGATGTCCCTGCGGAATCCAGTACTGCTACTCCTGTTGTGGAAGCGAAAATAAATGAACAGAGCACAACGACCCTACAAGCCCAGGCAACCAATACCGCTCCTCCGCAAGCCAGAGCTACTCCTGTCGCTGCGGCGGCTACCAAAGAGGATGAGGAGGGATCAGACTGGGAGGATCTGGATGGTGAGTTCGGATGTATTTCCTTTGTCTTCTTGCTTTTCTCCCAAATTACTTGTCTTACCTACAGGGGTGAAAGCATTCTCTACCACATCAAGAGATCGAAACCTCCCAAAATATAAATTCACAGGATAATGTCCATGTATAAAATCATAGCAATCTAACTCACCTCTTCCAGACGTCCTTGACGATTTCTCCACCTTAAAAAAGCCATCCGCAGCCACACAACCCGCTTCCTCATCAGACAAACCCATCTCCACCTCAACAACAGCTCCCCAACCATCATCATCATCACCAACATCATCATACCTTGACAATAACGCCACCAAAGCTCCCGAATCCGACCTCGACGAAAATGCCTTCATCCAGCAACTGGAACAAGGCATGGCGGAGCTTATGGGCTCAGCCGGCGGCGACGGCGAACCAGACTGGGATGCTCTTGCGCAGAAAATGGCGCAGGGTAACATGGACCCTACAGACATTATGAAGTTGCTTATGGGTGACGGGGGTCCGGGCGCTTTGGCTGGAGGAGGAGAGGCAGATTTACCTGGTTTTGCTGGACTTGGTGATGATAAGAAGGATGGGAAGGGAACAGCGGAGGCTCCAAAAGCTGGTGCCGCTGCTGCTGCTGCTGCCTCCTCCTCCTCGCCAGGTGGCACTGGGAGTGGAAGTGGCAGTGATGGTAAAGTGGGTGATAAATTCCAAGAAACGATCCGCAAGACGATGGAGCGCATGCAGGTGTCTGGAGAGAAAGCTACGGCTGCCGCGACGGAGGATGGAGGGGATGATATGCTGGTCAAGCTGTTGAAGGCGATGGAATCAGGGGCTGGTGCAGGAGGGGGAAATGGCGAGGAGAGCCTCGATAAGATATTCATGGGTATTATGGAGCAGTTGTCGAATAAGGATATGCTATATGAACCCATGAAGGAGCTGCATAATAATTTTGGCCCGTGGCTGGAAGAGAATAGAGGCAAGGTTCCCAAGGAGGATATGGAGAGGTATGAATTGCAGGCGGTTGTTGTCAGGGAGATTGTGGAGAAGTTCGATGAGGAGGGGTATTCGGATGATAAGCCGGAGCATAGGGCCTACATTTGGGAGAAGATGCAGAAGGTATGATTTTGTTCTTTTTCCTTTCTTTTTTTTTATTTTTTTTTATTTTATTTTCCCTATTTCGTTTTCATTCAATGGGATATTTGAAGTGTCGCACTAACTAATTCGTGGTCATAGATGCAAGCTGCGGGCAGTCCTCCTGATGCCCTAGTGTCAAATCCGCTGGCGGATGAGCTTGGGATCCCAGGCACATTAGGTGGAGGGGGTGGCCCTGGGGATATACCAGAATGTCCTCAACAATGATAATTTGATAGAAATGTTCATCCAATTTATTTTCCTTCTTGTTCACATATCAATTGTTGTATTTGACTTCACCTGGGTCTATGAATTGCCCGTCATGTCTTCATGTCTTGCCAATTATTCCCTTTACTACACCTATCGTGTATTGTACATAAAAGAATCCGGTTACCCCTTCCCTTGAGCTGAAATGCCACATAAAGTTTCTACTGAGAATTAAGCCTTTCCCGCTACCAAGAACGCCACGCTAGATTGAAAAAAAAAAAAAATCCAAACACCGTTTGATGCCCTGTTCACATGCAAAAACTGTTTCAGAATATATCTAGCCCTGCGACGTATCCATGCCGTCATTTCCGTTGTCGTTCTCTCCTGATGATTTGGCCGGGCCATGGCCGTTGCCAATCAAATCGGCAAAGATAGTCTCGTAGTAATCCTCATCATCGTAATGGGAGCTTGGCGGACAAGGCTGCAGCGGTTGCTCTGTTTCCCGAGAGCTCTCCAGCTCCTCCAAAAATGCTTGATATTGCTCTTCCTGGGATATAAATTCCTCCAGGATGCGCTCCTCTACCGGTCATCATACGTTAGCATATATAGTTTGTATAACTGTGGACATATACGGCAAAAATGTTAAGAGGTGGTCTAACAAAGCAGAAAATGAAATGGATTATATCTACCTTCCACACCATCACCACGGCTCCCCCATCGCGAATCCACTCCCTGCCCATCTTCAAAACCCATCAAACCTTCCCCCCCCTCAACTTCCTCCATCATCTCACCAAAATCCGGAGCAGACCTCTCAATCTCCTCCTGATATCTACGCTGCTGCACAAGATAATTAATCATCTGCATCTGGTCGCTTCTCGCCTCAAATCTGCCCTCATCGCGACTACGTTTCACTTTATTCAGGAACATATCACGCTGCTTCTCACGGGATGCGTGCTGGTGCACGATCTGAGCGGAGGGGCTGCGGATCTGCGAAGCGTAGCGCTCGGCATATGACCGTCGGGAGAGTGAAGGGGATGAGGTTCTGCTTTTCTTGTTGTCGTCGACATGTTCTTTCATTGGTGGTGATTCGGGTTTTCTGTTGGCCATTGTTGTGTAGGAATGGGATCTGGGTAGCTTTGCATGGCGTGGGTTGAGTGGTGGGGGGGGAAGCGGTTGCGGTGGCAGCGAGAAGAGGTTTGCCGAGGGTGAAGGTTGGGCGAAAGTAGTAAACATCATTCCTACCAGCAGGGTAATATGCGTTGGAGGGAATCTATGTAGCTTGCTTTGTTGTCATTGGCATATGGGCCAGAATCATGCCTCTCACATCGATGTTCGAAAGAGTATTAAATGCTAGGAAGACGCGAAAGACTAATCGTCCGACACGCGTGTGATGGCGCTAGACCGTATTAGGCTAAAACGCTGAAGCCCTTCGGCCTTGGGTTTCAAGGCCAATTTCAACGTCAAGACAACGGCCCAAGCACTGTTTAAACATGTTAGATTGACTGGAATCGACTTGGTTTGCACCCCAGTCTAGTGGGTTCTTAATTATCATTTGATCGTCCTCGTTGTGGCAGAGACGTTATCTAGGTATGGATATCTTTTATCCATATTATCCCAAGTTTCTGTATGAGAACCATCTTCTGGGCAAATGGACTCCCGCCGTATTTGGCACAATCCTAGCATTCGAAAAACTATGGGATATATGAAGGACACAGATTTGCATCCTATCCATGGACTGAAGGCTATACTCCATTTAAGCTGCATCACAGAGCAATTCAAATTCGTCATCTAACACTATCACCACTTGGTGCGACGGTGATGTAGGGGCGAGAGCAGACTCTGAGGACGCAGCCGCTGTCCTTTGGACATGTTCGATAAAATATTTCATAGGTGCAGACTCCTGTGCTACGTTACAACTCTCTACAGAATTGTATTATGCAGCGATTAGCTTTCCAATTTCGTTTTGCACATTGCAGAGGAACTTGACTCTCTCTCACTCACATGCTCCAAGCTTGAATGGCTTCGAAGGACAGGAACATTCGGGATGGAAAAGCAGGTATTTGGTAATAGACTTGAAAACGCACCTCTCTCACTCTGACAATCTTGGTCGGTGAAATTGATGCCGTGGACTTCATTTACGATCTATCGAAACTTTTAGTTCTATTATGCAGAAGCGATTCCTTCACGGGACAGAGGAATGAAATGAAGTAACTGGAAAGATTTACCGTCTTGCATCTATCAAATAGGAGCTCACAGCTAAGAAATCAAAATCTGCATCTTTAGCTCAAGGGTCTCGGTAACGCTTGGTGCCATGAGAGCAACATATTGACGGAATATATTGACCTTCGTTGTCCGGCACTGTGGAAATCAGACTTCAGAATAGTAAGCAACGAATCCCTTGTTCCGAATTCCCTCCACCTGGATGTACTCACGAACATCTCACCGTCGACCTCAAATGGCTTGTCCCGGTGACCAGAATTCGTTATCTATCATTCAAAGGAATTCGTTCATATCAGCATCATAGTAAGATCGAATCCAGTTCAATGTTATCTGGGGAATAGGCATTGCTTTTCCCCTTCCGCGGGATATCTCCCTAGCCAAGTTAAGTGTCTGAACATCAACTTGATAGTTCCAACTCACCGCGGGCGCGACACCTGTCAACCCATGATTGAATACCTATATCAGCGGCGCATCAGCCTCCCCCAATGGGAAATGTATGAATCGCTGAATTATAGAAAGCATTTTTTTTTTTTAATGGACCTGTAGATTCTGATGCTGCCGAATACGCAGAGGATCGTGCAGCCTCTCCCACGCAGACGCGAGCGCAAGTTGTGCAACAACTAGTGACGTGTAACGATGATAGGACGGCATTGTCCTTGTGCAATTAGGACCCTTTTCTTTTTTTTTATATGGAATAATACGTAGAGATACCATTCACCTGCAGGTTGGGGGAAATACAGAACGTCAAGGAAATAAGCTTTTTCCAACATCCAATGTCAACTATAACTAATGGAAGGGAGATAGTGATTTTTTCTTGACCAAAAAGCCTCTGTAACGTACTAGCAAAGATATTGTGGGCTCCTTGACGTCTTCAAGCGCTGTAACCGACTAGGTCTCTCATTCTCTCTACACGATAAGTCAGAAAACACACAACATCTCCAAAAGGGAGCTATACTCGTAGTACTTAAATTTCCAAGAGAAGTTCTGTTCTCTGAGATGGTATTTAACCTGGATAAAATACTTAAAGACAATATAATGATGCCCAGACCTGTTTCCGTGCTCATGGCACAGACGTCCCGCCAGCAGCAAGGTCACCGCAGACGTAAAAATTCGAGTCGGTGCTTTCCGCCCCACCTTAACCCCTTGAAAGGCCCTCCGCATTTCTTAATCTAGCATCTGCATAACACGTTCTGCCAGAACAATCCGTCATACAAGGTCGCATCTTTCGTGAGGGGAGGGACGGGGTCTCGCTGACTTTTCATGGGTTTGACTAGGAGTTCCCTAAGGGTTTCACAATCCGTCACAGTGTTAGAGTGCTGTTTCACCAAAGAAGGTGTCAGGTCGGGGAGAAACACAGTGGGTGGGGTAAATGGACTTGCTGGAATGTTGGTGTGAAATTTATTGTCGTGTGTGAACATCCGCAGATCTCTCTCTCTCTCTCTCTCTCTCTCTCTCTTTTTTTTTTTTTTTTTTTTTTTTTTTTTTTTTTTTTTTTTTTGACCAATCTTGCAGGTTGAATTGGAGAAATACTTTACTATATAACATATGAAACAAATCAACCAATAAAATAATACAGCCGCCCTTCGCCCCTCCAGCCACGGCAGCTATTAGTTTATCACGTTTTTATCCTTGGGGGTTTATGAGCATGGATAGCCCCCTTTCAGTAGGTATGTTCCTTCTGGCAGGCCGATGATGGTGGCGCAATTCGAGAAAGGAAATTTCCCCAATCACAAAAGGTAAAGATTACAAATGCCAAAGAACCAACCAGACAGGGCTCGAGGGTGACTCTCGATCCAACCTGATCAGGGTTCTGTACCTGCATAACCATTGAGTCAGAGACGTGGGCTACGTGGTGGCTGCTGGATCGCCTCAGGGGTATAATAGTTCTACAGAAACATGGCGAACCGAGTGTTTCTCGGTACGCACGCTTGGGGACTGTGAATGTCATGGGCCTTCTTTTTCGACTCTCTTCTAAATCCTAACAAATTACCACACCACATGTTGGAGGTGCAACATCCTGGATACCCAATGATTTCCCAGAAATGCAGTGCCTGGAAATTTCAGCATCCTTTCATCTTCATCGTTGTTGTTTCGTCAGCCCTAACGGAGGCTTACGGGTACAACCCGTCCCATCTTTGCGTGCATGGATACATGGATTGGATTTGAGACTAGAAAAATAACAGAAAACAGGTGGAATCTGGAAATAGAAGAGTACGTGTTTCCGAAAAGTGAAAAATGATAAGGATACATCTTTTTCAAAATCTTAACCCGGTGCCTGGAACCCAATGCATGTAGGCATGGTTGATTGAGGGAGCCTTTGCGTTGAAATCGAATGTGGAAAAGACAAGAATTACAAGGGAAGAGATATCAACATCAATATTAAAATAGCTACTCAGTAAGTTTAGCGACTAGGCTGATAGATAATTAATTCCCAAGTTCTCATCGTAAGAGAATAAAGTAGAAAGAAAAAAAAAAAAAATTGTACATACAAACATACAAGGTATAATCCAACTGTATTGGGAGAAAGGCAGATTTGAGACCCAAGATGAAAAGAAGCAACATGCAGTAAACGAACAATACTATCTTCCCCAACCTCCCTGCTATCTAACCCCCATTTCATAACCACCTACCTCTCCTGGCGGAAACTCAAGGTAGATTATCCATTTAACACACACATGTTCAATAAAACATGTGGCTATTATCTCGCTAACGTTATCACTCTCGCTCTCGCCATGCTGAACCGGATAAGAAGTAAACCAACTTAACCCACCGCAAACATTGTCACAACATTGCATCGGAGTAATGAGGAAAGAAAGGATGAAGTTGGTTAGTTAATCTTTGGAATAAGAAGCAAATGAAAAGGAAAAATAATAACGTGCAGTGACTGATGAACGGGATATGTGATTGAGGGAGGATATCGCGTCCATCCCGTTATTGGATTCTTTTCTATTTCTGGAATGGACCTACATTTGTGTTTTGCGGTTGTGTGGTTGTGCGGTTGGTGTTAAGGCGCTGGATTGACCGCAGAGCAGAGCAAAAACAAGGGTCAATCAAATCATCCCACCTCTCTAAATGAAAAAAGAATGAATGAATGAATGAATGAAAGACAAAACCCGGAAGTATGAAAACAGATATTCGGTATAAATTTTGGTTTGATAAGGAATGTTTGAAGGGGAGGGGGGGAGGCCATTTCGGTGATGGAAAAACCATATTTTAACGGATCAAGGAAAGTGACAATATTATTATTATTATTATTATATCGCATACAGCCGAGGTCTGGTTGCATGCTCTCTTTCGTTTTTTGTTTGTTTTTCGCTTTTTCTTCTTTTTTCTTTTCGGTTTTCTTCGTGTAGAAATGAGAAAGGGGGAAAGGAGGGAAGGGTTGAAATGGCCTGGGGATAAGCCGGAAGGCGCACAGGAAGATATGGTTTTAAACGACAAGAGAGAAGAAAATCAAATGGGGTAGCAGTATCAGTATCAGTATTCCTACAGTAACAAAACAACAACAAAAACAACAACAAAACAAACAACAACATCAACCATATTCAAACACCACACTTATGAAGAGGGTAGACAGACGGAGACACGAGCCATGAACAAATACAGACAGACATGCAAATAAAGGCTGCAAATAAAGGCTGCAAATACAGGCAACATTTACCCACGCATGGGTTCCCACGAAATATATCATCCAGAGATGCAGTACGAGAGACGACAGGACCGGTGAGATGTCGCAATGGTCCATGAAATGCAAACAAAAAAAACAAAAAAAAAATAATAAAAGCCGAAAAAACAATAGGTGTCAAAACATTAGCGAAGCCCAATTCCTAAAGACACACACAACCTTTAGAAATTCGAAGATGCATTAAGCCCTCCCGGATGATGATATTGGTCCAGCGTCGACTTAAATGGAGAGCTCGAGGTCCCCGATGTCTCAAGGCTAGATGTCCCCACAGCAGTACCGGCATTCATTAAATCGTCCTCATCACCAGGCCCACGGAAGCTCCGCCTGGTATGCAACCTCCACACCACGAAGGCTAGGCCAGCCAGGGTAATAGAACCTCCGACACCCACGACAACGCCAATGATGACATTCTTGGGGGGGGTGCCTACGCCCGATGAGCCACCTGGGCCGCCAGCGTTGTTGCCCAGGCCGGGGGCGAGGGTTTGGCCGGGGGCTACGGTTGAGGCGGAGGTTTGTTGGACGGGGGTACCGCTGATGGTAACGGTGTTGGTGACGATGACGACGGAGGGACTGTTGGTTGTGGAAGGGACATTATTTGTTTCTGTGGGTTTCTGTTGGTCTTGGGTAGGTGTGGTGCTATCTGCAGTGGGGGTTGGAGTATCTGGAGGGGTAGAGGAGGATTGTGGTTGTGTCCGTGATGTGCTGGAGGGTGGTGTGGTCCTGGGTTCCGAGGTTGGATCGGGAGTCGACTCTGGTGGTGGTGGTGGTTGTTCACTGGTTGTCGGAGAGGTTTGAGCTGGTGGTTGCCGTTGAGTTGGGCTCTCAGTTGCTTGTGCTGAGTTGTCGTCGGAGGCGAGCTGTCGTTTTCTCACCTTTACATTTGGATATCCGTATCCAAATCCGCCAAAGAGCGCGTCAGGGCCGGCGTTAGCAACAGCTATGGCTAGCAGCAGGACTAAGAGCAAGAGGAGCGAAGAGGCAGACGTCCACCGCATTGTAACACGCGACTCACTGGTGGATGGACGGGAGAAATTGGGGGAGAGGCGCTACGGCCTTGAGTGATCAAACTCAGTTACCACGGAGGGAGTCCAGACAGTGATCAGGTGAAGGGTTAAGAAAAGATATATTAACCGAATGACAAAGAAAATTTACAGGGAATGGAGTAGAAAGAGAATGGGATGGCAATAGCTGGTAGAGGGGCAAAATGAAGGAATTGAGAAGGTCAGGTGAGAGAGACAGTAATGAGTGAGTGAGTGAGGTGAGGAAAGATGAAATAATAATAATAATAATAATAATAGGTGCAGGCGATTGAACCCAGTGACTAAAAAAGCAGCGCTCGATCCAGAATACCGGCCTGTATATAATACTGGGAATACTGTCATTTACAGAGCCCTCTCTGCTCCCCAGTGGTGGAATTGGCCCTGACTGACGTCTCCCCGCTTCTAGCCCTCGTATCGCATAATACCAGCGCCAGTATTCATACATAGCGCTGTTTTCATTTGACCCCTGTCCGATCACCAACCATTGGCTGGGCAAAGCCGTACCTGCCAGCGACATCAAACCTAAAGAGGCTAAGTTTAATGCCCTGCCGTAAAATGTCACGGAACTGGACTGGTAAACTATAACCTTATTGTATCCGGAAGACAGGAAGGGCTGTACGGCCCATCGCAAAGATACAATACAGTTAAGTAACAGAACACATGTATAAGCGGCTTACACGGGTGCCAAAATACCACCAATCATTGATTTATTTTCAAGCAACGCCACGCTTGTCCCGTGATGAGGTGCAAAATTGTTGCCGTATTATCAAGTTTAATTTTCGAGAATCACTAATCAACCAACTAGTTTAATCAACTTACTTAGTAGTTAGTTAAGTTCAACGGCGATTGCTGATCCCGTTGTTCAGAGACAGAGGGAAATCTCACACCCCCCCTTTATATATTAGCACTGGCAATCTGAAGTGCACCCACCTGACCTTGTTACATCTGCACATCCACCATCCTTGAACTTCGAGACCCCAAGAAATATATCCAGGAATGGGTACGGACGGTGGAAACGGCAACGGAAATCCTTCATTGGGAATCATCTTTGAGCAAGCATTCTATCGCGTCGTATTCCAGCAAGGAATATCATCCGGTTTCATACCAAACAGCCCGACATCCCTAGCACTCTTTGTGTTTTCGATAAGACCATGGAGGAAGCGTATGATATAAGTCTTCTCTTTGATTCTCTACTCCGCTTAAGGTTCCCAGCTAAACCTGGACCAAGGGCAGAAGAACATTCTGAAAGAGCCGCGATGTATATACATATATACCCGCCTTGCTGCCTACCAAGGTACCTAGGTAGCTTCCTATTGTGGTTCAGGACATGGGTAGTTCGAACTGGAAATCTCTTCTCTCTCGTGGAGTAATTACCATGGACTGGATATTCACTCACATACGTTTTCAGAAGAGGGCGGGTGTGCTTATTTTGCTTTTAATATGGAAGCAAACCGTGCGCAGATTGTGGGCCCGTGGTTATTATCAGGCCATCCGTGGGCACACGGTTAAGATGTACGGAGTATAAAGTGCAAGAAAGGATCCCAACAGCTTCTCTCTGAAGAAGACAACTCTTGTCATTATTCCCGAGGTCTTGTTGGGAGAACTCAAGCAATCATTGCTGAATTGTTTCAAATGTGAGCGATTGACTCTGAGGTGATGGTGAATTTTTTTTTTTTTTTAAATTTTTTTTTTTTTAAATTTTTTTTTTTTTCAAATATATCGCCCCACCCTTTGAAAGCATCACTCACCTCATCCAGTTGTCACCTTTCGAGCCATGCCAAATGTGACTTGTTAACAAATTATCTTGTGGATCCGCGGTGTGCTCCCAACGGAGCTATTTAAGACTCGAATCTGGGTCCCAGCTCAACTACACTCGCGGAAACACGGGGGAAAATGTATCCTATGGTATCAAGTCTGTACCAGCTATCTATATCTTTTGGTTTGATTGCTTTATAAGGGAGATCTGATGCCAGCGCCTCCATGCTCCAAAGAGCTATTTTATTTTATTTTAATTTTTTTACTTATTTTTTAACGCTTTTTAGTGGTAGGATCCAAGATCACATGTGAGAACATACGGTATATGTTTATTCCTAGCCATGAGACATACCAATGGTTCTAGGAACGGTGGATTGGAACAATGAGAGGGGTGGGGTTATAGATGGAATGAATAGATGGAATAGATGGTTTGGGGCAAGCTCATCATTCTCACGATAAACATGCGATGATTGCCATTGTACCATTGGAAGAACAGGAGTTTGTTCGTTTTCTCTGATTGATCTGTTATTATCTCTCTTTTCCTGCCATTCGTCGTTCTGTTCAATTCCCTCCACTTCTACTTCGATTCTTTTCTTCCCCACTCAGTGGGTGTAGTTATACGTGTACTTGTAGTATCGTGACATCTGATGACCATTGTTTCTTAACCTTTTTTTAATTGCCACAAAAAGTACCAGCGGCGACTGGTCGTGATATTTTTTTTTTTTTTTTTTTCCCTTCGTTTTTTCTAGACATAAGGAATATCTGTTTCAGCGAAATTTTCACATCTATAGTTGAAATCTCTCCCAGCTCTACTTGAATTAGTTAACCCTGCCCGCTCTTGAAGATATAACTATCGCTAGCAATCCCAGGACTTACACAACTCAACCCGCCTCTCGTTCGGCCACCTCAGCTTTTCTCTCGTAGATGACCTGACCTCGTTGATCTCGCAGTCCGGAATGGGATGAATCATCCGGCGGCAGCATTTCTATGGGATGGGTTTGTCAGCAGTCCCAGTCCCCCAAGTCCCAGCTCTAAGCCCTAAGCCCTAACCTGCCGAATCCGTCCACTCATAGAACTTCTTGCGTTTGACTCGAGTTAAACCATGAAACCAACCGGTCTACAGCGATTCTTCGGAATGTTATTACACAAAACAGCTAAGAGGACTAATTTAGCTGCTGAGTATGATCTCAATGCTTCAGTGAAAGGGTTTCCTTCTTCCCCCGGCCACCGGTCTCTTAATCAACTAATTATAACTATTGCGGGAAACCCGTCCAACGCCAGCGAGAAAACCGGTACAGACAGCCCCCGTTGGAACACCCGGCCTAGTGTCCGAACTTGCCCCGCCATCGACAACATTAACCCGGGCTCCAAATTTAACCTCGTCTCATATCGTATATGTGATCGTTCAGCGGTGACTCAATTGATCGGTTGCACACCGGCTTATTGATATCACCCCCTCCCGTTTCTAAGCAATTAAAAGCAACCTCCCTTCCCCGAGCCCAATTTGGTTGCATATATGACCGGCGATTTGTTTCTCAACGGCAAATAAAAAGGAAATTCGACGCTCTCGGTGAACATACACGGCGAAATAAACCCTTGAAACGAAGAGGCCGCCACAAATGTTCAAGATGGTTACTATTGTTCTGGGCGCGCAGTTTGGGGATGAAGGTTGGTCCAACCTAGCTACTTCTCTCTATTTCATTGCATTTAATAGCGAGGCAAGCAATTGTGACCATTTCAACTAACCGTGCCTAATCCTTCAAACTAAATAAAAAAAAAAAAAAATTAGGCAAAGGGAAAATCACAGATCTCCTATCTCAATCTGCTACGCTTTGTTGTCGAGCAGCTGGTGGCCATAGTGAGTTCAACCCCCCATTTTTCTTCTCTATCCCATCCCTATGTCTTCCTTCACCGGATCTCATTTGACATGAAAAGTATGGAAAAATAAAATAAAAAATGACTCACTCACCAATCGCCCTTCATCTATCCCCTAGATGCCGGTCACACTATTGTCCACGATGATATAACCTATGATTTCCACATCCTGCCCTCAGGCCTCATCTCACCCGACTGTATCAACTTGGTTGGCACCGGAACCGTCGTGCATGTCCCAAGTTTCTTCAAAGAGTTGGATGCGCTAAAAGCCAAGGGTCTGAAGGATGCTGATAAGAGGATATTCATCAGTGATCGGGCGCAAGTCTGCTTTGATCTCCACTCCGTTGTCGACGGGCTGGAAGAAGCGATTTTGGCGGGAAAGAAGGTTGGCACGACAGGGAAGGGAATTGGACCTTGCTATAGCGATAAGGCATCTAGGAGAGGCGTGAGGATTGGAGAGGTGTTAGAGAAGGGTGTTGTGGAGAGCAAACTTCGGGCCCTTGAAGCGGGGTATCGAAGACAGTTTGGAGAGTTGAAGTATGACCTCGAAGATGAGGTTAAGAGGTTTCACGTATGTCCACACATTGTTTCCTGTTTCTTTCTCTGAACAAAAAGAAAAAATAGGAAAAAAAGAAAAAAGGAAAAGAAAAAGAGAGGGACTGTTCTTCGTAGCAAATGTGCTGATATGAGATGTACTCGTAAAGGAATACCGCACCAAACTCCAGCCCTACGTTGTCGACCAAATGGCCTTCATGCACAAACATCGCTCTTCCCCTTCAGTTCTCGTTGAGGGCGCCAACGCTCTCCTGCTCGACATCGACCACGGCACTTACCCCTACGTAACCTCCTCCTGCACTGGCCTGGGGGGAGCAATCCAAGGCCTAACCCTCAACCCAACCTCGATAAAATCCATAGTCGGCGTGGTAAAAGCATACAGCACGCGCGTAGGCTCCGGCCCCTTCCCCACTGAACAGAACAACGCCGTGGGCGAAAAGTTGCAAAGAGCCGGCCGCGAATTCGGCGTCACAACCGGCCGTCGACGTCGCTGCGGCTGGCTCGATATGGTCATGTGTCGCTACAGCAATGCCATCAACCATTACACCGTCATCAACCTGACAAAGTTGGATATTCTTGACGACTTCGACGAGATTAAAGTCGCGGTTGCGTACCAGCTGGATGGGAAGCTCCTAGAATCGTTCCCCGCACAGGCTGATGTGTTGGATAAGGTTGAGGTGAAGTATGTCACTCTCCCCGGCTGGAAGTCGAACACCATGGGTGCGACCAAGTGGGAACATCTTCCGACAAATGCGCAGCGCTATGTCGAGTTCATTGAGAGGGAGATGGGTGGTGTGCCGATTAGGTGGATCGGGACTGGGCCCGCGAGAAACCATATGATTGAGCGCATATGATATATCTGTTAGGATAATTCTTCTTTTTTCCTACTTTCTTTTGTTTTATATTTCTTCTTCCGCAGCCCTGACGAAGTCCTTCTACTGGATTGCGTTACTCCGGCATTGCTTTTCTCTATAGATATTGAGGTTTTTTTTTTTTTTTTTTTTTTTTTTTTTTGGATTTCTTTCTATAGGTTGTGTCTGTCTCCAGAATCATATGGATCGAATTTCAGAGGTAGCCGTGGCCTTTTTTTTTGTTGCTCTTTTTCCTTTTCTCTGCTACAGTATATCTTTCCCCTTGTAGTATTCTCCTGTCCACATTTTTGATTCTCATGTATGCACATATCACAGTGTTTGTTAATGTATAGAGTAATGAGTCGAGGAAGGTAACAGGCAGACGAGTCTCTATATCTGTTAGACTACCTGGCAAAAATGCCCAATCGCCAGCAGTCTATACTGGACGGAGGACAAGTTCAGTTCCATAGGGGTCACCTGATCCCTAACAATATCATGAGATTGACATGATATTTAACATCGACTAATATTGGACAATAAATATCGTATGAACAATCAATGGTCAGGACGCGCTCTTTAAAGCCTGAAGCGATTGAGCTAAACTCAGCAAAGCAAATGAAAAATGAGATATATCCATCCGTAGATGCAATTTCAAATCAATCCGGGCCCAAATCACCCTGCCCAATGCACAGCCTTCCGTCATCCGCCAACGTCGATTTTCGACCAGCCATGAGAAGCTCCTGGCGTGACAACAAGTCGGTATCCCGTTTATACTGCCGTTCGTTTGCTGCCTCCAGCTCCTTTAGCCTTCGAGATTCAGAGGTTACACGTGCGTCAAAGGTGCCCTGTTGGACCGCAGCGGAGGATTTCTGGTACTCAAGCTGCAGCCTGCCTTCCTCCTTCGTGGCTTCGAGACGGAGCTGATTGAGGGCACGCTGTTGCTGTAGATCTGCGTTTCGCTGCTGATCTGCGATCCGCTGGCGCTGTGCAGCTGCGTTGGCTTCGAGGCGCAGTTGTAGCCCTGCGGAGTTAACAGCGATCGCGTCGCGGTTTTCAGCTACTTCGCGATCCTGCTGGAGTCGGAGACTATGTGTTTGTTTCATGACGAGTTTCTGTTGTTTGGCAACTTCCATTTCACACTTTAGAGCTAGCTGGTGCTCTTCGTCTCGTTCTTGCAGACGACGTTCCCGTACTTTTTGCCTCTTGTCTTCTGCGAGGATGTCTGCAGGTGCTCCAACCATGTCTGGCGGTTGAGGGCCGTATTGCCTGTAAAACACGTCCTTGCATCCGTTGGCCTTCAGGATATGTAAAAGGTCCGGTGCATATTCTTTGGAGCTTTGCTGCATGTCTTTGGCAATGTACATTGTAGGTGAGAATATAAAGCCGCCTTGGGAATAGAAATTTCTCTCATCATTGATACGCTTCCAAAGCCCACTGGCAAGAAGCGCTTTTGTTACGTTTGTGCAGCCAGTTGGATTATCCAGGGCATGCATAAGAATCGACTTGCCGCCTCTGCTAAGAGTAAGTTCAGCCTTTCCGGTCACAAGGGCATCTATGGTCTGTCTCAGCCTTCCAAACCCAGTCACAGAATCAGCTGCTGATTTGAGACAAAGTTCTGCCAATCCACTACGACCATCGTGAATCATTGACGGGAAGTTTGGATCATGTCCATAGTCAATTAGCAGCTTAACAGCACCGGTGTGCAATTCACGCGCAGCTTCATGAATGCTTCCATCATCGACAGTAGCATTTGCATTTAACAAGTGGCGCATTGTGGCTAGTTGTCCGCGTCTGCTGGCGTAAAATAGAGGAGTCCGGCCGTGCGCGTCGCATATCGAAACATCAGCGCCATGCTGAATGAGCTTGAGCACCATATCCGGTGTTCTCTCCATTGCTGCAATTAGTAAGGGAGTCTGGCAAGATCCTGTTGATTGGAAGTTTGGATTTGCTAAAGAAATAGAGCGTTAGAGAACCTTCCATTTAGACGTTGAAACCAAAATTTCTAGACATACCTTCATTTTTCAGAAGGCAATCAATAATATATGGACTAACCTTCTGTTGAGGCTGAAGAAACGCCCACAGAAGGAGGGAAACCTGTTCATAACCTTCCTTGGACTCGATAACATATGGAATTGTTTGATCAGCCAGAATACCAGCCCTCAAAAGAGCCTCGAGGATTTTAGTTCCACGGGGCCACTTTCTTAATGCAGCAAATGTGACAGGTTCCTGTTGCAGTCCATCGGCATCATACAGTGAGCCATTCAAATCCGGAATACCTCCAGGAATCTGGGAAAATAATTCGATTAGTTTAAGGGTAGCATCTTCTGGTAAGTTTGATGACATGATAGTCGAAAATGCTGCAGGGAGACTTCTGGGCGATTGAAGAGAGTCTAAAAGTCGCTTCACTAGAACTGGGCTATTCTTTTCGATTGCCAGCTTGAGAGCTCGGCCATCTTGATAGTCAGCGTTAGCTCCAAATCGAATCAAGATATCCACAGCATCTGTTGCTTCGCTGATAATGCCAAAATTTTCGACGGATATGGCCAGAGCGTGGTCAATCATATCCCCACAAGCTCCATTTGCTAGCAGCTGCTGGATTACCAATAATCCAGGGGAAGACAACCAAAACGTTCCTGACGAAACAAGCTGTTTGAAGACATCATTGATAGCATTTCGATCGGAGACAGCTTCCAACAATATTTTCAGCATTGCGGCATCCATTAACATAGCTGCGTGGAGAAGAGGGAAGTTGTTAGAATGATGTACAGAAGCGCCATTTTTCAGCAATAGCTGGAGAGTCTCAGTATCATAAGGATTCTCCTGTACTACATCGGCAAGGGCGCTATGGAGGTGTTGTCCTCTAAACCCTGACTCGAGAACCTTGGATGTATATTGATATCGCTCAGCGCCTTGCAGATTCCAGCTGGAGTTAAACGCTGTCTCCAGCGCCTCTTTTGTAACATCTTCTTCTAAAAGGAGATCCAGGACGTCAAAAGAGCGAGTCTCGACGGATGCACGAAGGGCTTGTCCATTTTCGTAATTAACAGAGGCACCAAACCTCAAAATCAGTTTCGCAAATGAAACGTCTGATTTCAGTTTCACTGCTTCAGCTAAAAACTTGTTTATAGCTGTTGGCATCCGATCGCGACCAGCCGCTAATAGGATTGTCGCTATTTGATGTTTAGCTTTCACATCGGCTTCCAGGAGAATATCTAAAGCCGCACTTATGGTTTCAGTGGATGGTGCATGAGAAACCAGGAGTTCCAGCTGTTTCTCGTCAGACTTCTTTACTGCTTTTTGGACCGCAGCGCCGTTTTTGAAATTTACGTTGGCACCGTATTTCAAAAGCAGCTCGATGAGCGATGGATGGCTCCATGGCAACCTTTGCACGGTTAAAAGACCAGAATTAAGTGTCTCACCTTTGACCCCAGCTTCAAGGAGTCTGTGGCATATGGTGTATTGAATGGAGCAGTCTTGTAGATTAAGAGCTAGAGGGAATGCAAGGTTTAGACTCGTATGAGATGGATTGTATGACAAGAGGAGTTGAAGAAGGTCAGAATTCCCTTGTTTAGTGGCCATTTCGATCGGTTTTCCGTTGTTGGAATTCACATCAGCAGCACCTTTATCGAGAAGTAATTGCAACAAAGGGATATCCACAGGTTTGTCGTTAATTACATAGAGGAGGCCCTCATCGACAACCGGGCCACGGGCACCAGCAGAAACAAGCAGATCCAGTATGGTAAATCTCAGATCGGAATTGGGCAGACCAAGCGCAGGTATAATTCCTTGGGCGAGAGACGCAGGTGAAGGAACGCCTTTTAAGAGTATGTTTAGGATACCAACATCGCCTGCCCTTGCTGATTCTTGGAAACATTTCCCTCCGCAAATATTCACATCAATTCCATGCCGCACAAACTCGTAAATAAGAGGCTCTTTCTCCTCCACAAAATTGGACATCACAGCTCTAACTAAAGCATTATCCACTTCCTCACCCCTAGCTCCGGCTGATAAGAGGCTGATTGCCATAGACAGACGGGGTTTAGAAGGGACGGCTTCTAACAAGGTAAAACATAGTTCTAGAGACTCTTTCGAAGGGCGGCCTTTGAGAAGAAGTTCGAACAATGGCAAGGACACTGAAGAAACTGCACAGCGGAGCGCATGTGCGTTATCGTAATCAACGGAGGCTTGCTTGCTAATGAAATATTCGACAATTGCAAGATCATTCCGCTGAACTGCATCGATTAGACAAGGCTGAAGTGCATATCCACAAGCCCCCCGCTCAACAAGTGTTGAAATGACCGCCAGTTGTTTCGATGAGGGTATATTAGACGAGATTTTGGGGAACATCGTTACTAAGTGAGAGGCATGCTGCTTGTCAATGCGACCACTGAATAAGCTCGCTAACAATTTTGTATTTCCAAGTTTAATTGCATGGACGATAGCCTCGGCAGAATTGTACGTCACGGATGCACCATGTGTGACGAGCAATGAGGTGACATGCTCATCACTCCTCTCAACTGCTTTCAGCAACGTTTTTGAAACCACTTCTCCATTTGCGCCACCACAAAGAAGAGCCTCGACTAGGATTCTTTGAATATCGGAACTGGATTCTGTTATGTGGAAGGCGATGTCCACAGCGCCATCAAGAGAATCTTTCGAAGGTGGACGATCTGCTAAAATAAGTGCAACCACAATGTCCACGTTCCCTGAGCGAACGGCGTTCTCCAAAACTTCAGGCAGATCACCATTTGCACCATTTTTCAAAAGCGCTGAAGCCATATCAAGGCTCCCGGAAGCGACAGCGGTGGGTAACACTTGATCAAGACACGAAACGGCCATGCGCTTCTCAGCACTTAGAAACAGGTCGATCAGCGGGGTGTCGCCGCGTACCGCTGCGTCTAGGAATGCTTGTTGGCAGGAATTTGGGTCCCCACCATTTTGAAGCAGCATCTTGGTGCATTCCAAATCCCGTCCCGATACCGCAACATATAAAGCTTCGTTCAACCCATCCTCATCAGAGTATTGACTCAAAACGTACACCATAGATGGCTGGCGCATGCCCACTGCTGATATCAACAGAGAATTTATAGTTCTCTTCATCGTCTGCTGTTGGTGTTTAAACAGGTGCTTCTCAAGTTTCGCGTCATCGGCTTTAGCCAGTAGGTAATCGAGGACTCCAGGAGAACCATTAGTTAGAACTATTCGTTCTATAACTGTGTGAATTTCGTCATTGTTAAACCGGAGTTTGCTGGGCTGTCGACGGAAAATATGTGACTTGGATGCAAAAGTCTCCTGGCGCTTCTGCATCAAAAGGCCCTCAGCTATGATATCATCTCCTTCACAGGTGAATGATAAATGCTCCTTTCGAAGTCTCGGGTATAATTTGTTCAAAGAAACGACGGCATTTGGGGACAATTGTTCAAGCCGTGCTTGAGAAACGCGGTTGGAAACTGCCATCACCGACTGTATCTTAAGCTCATCCCCAGAGTTGGTGAGTGTCCATATAGATGAGCGAAGTAGAATAGCAGACCTACGAGCTCAATCCACGTTCTCGGATGAGATTATGAGGAAACGGCATCAAAATTTTTCTGCACCAGGCAGGATCTTGACAAGACACTGATTGTTATACTGATTACTATGTAGGAGTCGGTGTCGTAGCAGCTCTTTGTATGTGTTAGGGGGGGGGAGAAGGGGTTGACCAGAGAGAGTCAAAGGAACTGTGCAATGCATTATACATTGTTTTAAAACAATAGCAAAACTATATTTATTCTATAAATAATAAAGAACAGGCTGATATCAACACTGACAGTCACTGCGCAATCGTTTCTGTAGCCGCCCAGTGACGTTGCCAGGACCCCGTGTGAATGGAGATCGATTGAAGTTGTACGTGGAACCCTGAACTCAGTGGGGAATAACTTTACAGATGGGTTTAGTGGGCGCTTGCATGCCGCCAAGACACACGACGCCTCGAGTCAGAGCTGTCCATACGGTACGCAGTTAATCGCTGGACAGAAAACGAAAAGAGCAGGGTTTGTATTTGCTGGAAGTTACCGCGATTTTATTTTATTTTGGTCTTTAGGAAATTTTTGATACGGATTTCCACCAATTATATTCGAAAGAACTCGGTTGGTTGCTGGAACAAAGCGGAGATTTACATTTCTTGGACAAACTCTGGATCATCATTCATGCGGAACGACCTGGAAAGGCGAGGAACAACATCACATGCAAGGATTCAGGAAAGAGAAAGAAAAAGGGAATGTTCATTGCTGGATATAATAACACAGCCTTAAAAATGCTCGCGAATATTTGGAGGTGCAAAATATTTATTTGAACGGCAACATTTTGATTCAACATGAAAGGGAGCTTTTACCGCAGTAACACATGGATCGAAGGGAATATAAAATGGCGTGATAAGAAAACAAAATGGGACGAACATGATTACAAGGGTTGCCAGATGCACAATAGGACCATGACTGTACACTCTGGGAAAATAGATAGGGGAAGAGAAGAGATTCAAGAGATGATCAAAGGTCGACATTATGAGGTAAGACATGGAAGAAATGAAGCAACCATGAGTAATACATAATAATCACTCTCAGCCGTAAATAAAAAAAAAGCAAACACCGCCTTTTCACCCATAGAATCCCATTAGACAAAAGTCTACCCATTCTGAAAAATAAAACCCGAAGAAGCTGTAAGAAGAACGAGCGGACGTACACTAGCAACTAAACGTGACAATCCCCCATCCCCCATCCCATGTCTATGATCCATCGCCAGCGAAAGCGCAGAGATATAACATGAGATGATACTCTATACTGCGCGAGGATGGGAGGGGGGTAAAAAAAGAAGAAGAAGAAAAGAGTCGAAGAAAGTTTGGTGCTGGAATCCATCAGACTTCATGTCGCACTTCGTTTAAACCCAGCTAGGAATGATAGCGTTGCATAACTAGCATTGCAGGTTCAGACAAATCTCCGCCGGTCATCAATTCAAGAATCTAAGTCGAAGGGGTTACCGCGATTCTGCCTGGTATTCGAAACACGCCCTCCAAAGCTCCGGTTAGAGTCCCGGCCCCGGCCGCCACCGAAGGAGCCACGACCACCGCCACCGTAGGAGTTACGGCCGCCGTTGAAGGAGCCACGACCGCCACCACTGAAGGAGCCACGACCACCACCACCGAAGGAGCCACGACCACCGCCACCGTAGGAGCCACGACCGCCGCCATTGTAGGAGCCACGACCGCCGCCATTGTAGGAGCCACGACCGCCGCCATTGTAGGAGCCACGACCACCGCCAAAAGAGTTACGATTGCCGCCAGAGAAGCCAGGATTGCTGGAGTAACCACGAGAGCGATAAGAATCACGAGAACCGTAGGAATTAATAGACCCATAAGACCCTCGGGGGTTGGAGGAACCAGGAGCGTCATCGTTTTCCACAAATTTCTTATCATTTAGACCTGGAATATTAATATAACCGAGTTTGGCGGCGCTCGCGCTGGAGAACGTAGGTGGGTCCTTCAGACCCCAACCGTGTGTAGAGAGTTGATTGATGTAGTGGACAACTGCATATTTATCTCTTATTTGGGCCATGGTGCCCAAGTATGCGGCATACGCTTGATTTTTTTGCTTGATGGGAACCGCCTTGAAACCATCCTTGACCTTGGAGAATATATCGGAAACATGAGGCGGGTGCCCATCTTCTGTGGTCATGTCAGCTGATGCAGTAAGGAGGCTCGAACTATCGGATTGTATTGGAAGGCCATAGAGTTGGCGGCGGATATGGTCGCTCTCCAACTTTAGACTGAAAATCCACCCCTCTCCCTTTTTATTAGCACGAGCTGTTCGTCCGAGGCGGTGGATGTAAGTTTCTCTATCTCGTGGGACGCCAATCTGGATCACATGCGTGACATCAGGAAAATCCATTCCACGGGCTGTAACGTCGGAAGAGAAGAGCATCGCAGAGCTCGCTTGGCGGAATAGGCCTGAGGATCTTGTCCTCTGTTCCTGACTCAAGCGGGAATGCATCTCGAAGCACTGAAAATCAGGAAGGGGATGACCCGAATTCGAAGACAAATCATATCTCATTGCTGAAAAAGCTTGTCTCGCCAGGCCGACCTCAGCAGTAGAATTGAAATACACGATCGCTTTAAAGGGTTTGACGTTGTCAGGATCATTTTTATGTTTTTCAATGTATTTTTTCGCTAGCTCAAAAATGGCTGGGAGCTGATTCTCCATTCCACGGAGGTAAACTAGCTTTTGAGGAACGGTTAAATGCGTTGGTGTTTCATCTTCTTTAACTGTCTTGACAAAAGTAAAATCCGGTTTCATCGTCTGGCGCACCATATCCATAACCTCTCTTGGGACGGTGGCAGAAAACATAAGAGTTTGTCGGTCGACATCTTGACGACGTGGTAGATAGCTTTGAAGCTCTTTAATATCCGGGGCAAATCCGATATCAAGAAGACGATCGGCTTCGTCAAGGACCAATGCACTTAATTTTGGGGCAGCAACACCACTATTTGGGTCGGAGAATATGTCAATAAGACGTCCTGGAGTACCCACAAGGATATGACATCCTTCGCGTTGAATCCGCATCAAGCCTTCACGTTTCCTCGTACCACCTACAGCTGTCTGGACAATAACACTGGTGTTCGACACAAGTTTTTTTGCTTCTACCGCAATTTGTTCGGCAAGCTCGCGGGTTGGGGAAATAATAAGGGCTCGGATATCCGAGGCATTGGATCGTGAACGGTTGTTCCTCGCCCGCTGAGATAGCTGCACATCTTTTAGAATATTCTGCACAACTGGAATAAGGAAAGCAAGTGTTTTGCCAGTTCCAGTTTTTGCCTGGGCAAGGCTTCATTGTTTCAGTTAGCAAGATGGTAAAAATAAGACTTGAGCCAACGTGAGAAAAGTGGCGGGTGATAGACAAATCGCTTACACATCGGAACCATTCAATGTAGCATTTATTGTCATCCTCTGCACCTCTGTCATAGTTGTGATATTCATCTTATTGGTCACTACCCGGATGACATTGTCACTAACCAGCCCATCGGTGGCCAATTCGGAAAATTGTGTGTATTCGGTTGGGGCCTCAGCTTCTTTCACAGCAGAGGCAGCTTGAGAAGATCTGAGGGCTGGATACGGATGGAACGCTCTGATAGTAAGGACAGAGGGATGTTGAGCTATCCGAGATGAAATTATTGGCCGCTGAGTGCCTTTCTGGATTCTGAGTGAGCGGATAATACATGGTCGTATAGTGCGTGTGAGGATATTTCCTCGACGGACAGGACCCAGCATTCTGAGGGTTCCCTTGAAAAACAGATGTTGAGAAATCAACGACCACACAAAACACAGCAAAGCACCAAGACAACACAATGCAGCTCAGAGAGTATAAAGAAAAGACACTGAGGTGAACAGAGGGACCATGGAAGAGAAAGGGTGGTGTTCTTGGACGACAAAAATGATGAAAGCTGCAGATTTTATTTTTGTTATTGGATTTTTTTTTTTGCTGACTGGAAAAACAAAACTCCGTGAAATTTTCGACGGATGGGTGCTTCATCATTACTAAAAGGAGCACGTGAAGGGCTGAGGCTAACCCTTAGAATCCGCCCCAACCAAGAGTGTAACTATTCAACCAATTTGTTCAAATGGCTTTTCAATGAGAAGAATCTATTTAATTAACGCTTAACAGCGTAGAAAATGATCTTTTATTCCTATGTATGGGCATCAGAAACAGCGTTTGACTTTTTTAGAAGAAATCTCTATGACTAAATAGCTGGTATAAAAATCATCTCACCTTCTTCAGCTGCCTTGATATGAGCTGCTTTGCATCATTAAAGAAGGCATATAACAAGCAGATTGAGATGCTTATGCAGAATCACATTAATCACATTACAAAACTCAAGTTTTTACTGGCATATCAAGCAGCATATGACACAGTGAGGACACTTGATGTGGATGAACTAAGTGTCAAAAGGAACCGTGAGAAGCACCATTACTAATATCGTAAGAGAGTGGGAGGATAGGCGCTGCGAGCGCTGAGGAGGGAAGAGGATAGCAATGGGTGGAACCATAGGTGTAGGATTGAATAGTAGCTAACCACTGAATCTCTTGAAAGGATTTCAGGGGATTCAGGGTGTTTATATATGAATAGGTGACAATAGGGTTTACCCCTAATCTTCCATATCAGCTAATTATACATAGTGCTGCTATATTAGCAAAGAAAAACACAGAGCTGAGAGCTATCAACATCAGACAGAAATAAAAGAGAGAAAAATCATATTTTTATATAGTTAAAAAAGAAATTTTAACAGCTTAACACATATTAGCTAGGGCTGCTAGACCTCAAAAACTTGATCAATGTAACTACAGAGTATCAGAATCATGAGATCTAGTACAACCACAAAACTTAGCATGATCATGAGATTTAGTCAAAAGACCTCTTTTAGGCATTGATATCTCTTATGTCTTATATCAGATCTAATCAAAGACCTTGAAGGCAAATGAAAGGTCCTGCGGTGGAGTTGATGCCGGCAATGGAAGCGTGTTGGACATATGGATAGTGCGGCGTGTGGTTATTGAAGGCTTTACGCGGCAGGGTTTGTCCGGCTAGCGACGCCGGTCAAGGAATTTCACTTTGCTTCTTGTCCCATTTCCCTGCTTTGGAAATTGAAGATGCCCTGAGCAAAAAGAGAGCCAGCCTGGCTTAATATGGCTTGATTGGAAGGTGACAAGTGAAACGATTTGTGCCGAGACCACGAGCAGACAAGTCAGGTCTCACTTTGAAAAAGTTCGGCTACGGGACAGAAGCCAAATCTGACCGACTGAACCTTTTGCGGAAGTGACGAATAGGTCATAGCTTGAGTCGTCACATTACATTACCGTCTCTCCCGCTGTGCGAATGTACAATGAGATGCCATTTGCGTCTGTTCGGATAGTCCAGCTCTACTATCTTCCAGCTCTCATTTCTGGTGCAAATCTGATTTAAATCTCCCATTCCGTTCTCTAGATCGCTGATATGCAGTTTGAGGGTGCTTGCCAAACTCCACGTGCTTCTGGTTTGCATTCGCGATCTTTTTATGCCACTGGAAACCGGGGTGATCCGCTAATGGCTGTGTGTCATCACTCAATCTCTTTTATTCCTGTGAAATGTTTGGTTCCAGGTGTAGATAAGTGCAATCAATCATGTCCGTTTCGAGATTTCAAATTTGAAGACCCTCAGTTGGTTCCCACCTATAAAGTTCAACTGTAATATGCAGAGAATTACCGGGGGAAGTTGGGCCATAGATTGTGGTACAATCTTCATAATGTTGACAAGACCTGATCAGAGAGGTGTTTTAACGAAGTGGCAATCCAACTTCTTTCGGGAAGAACCACTCCCTGTTCAAGGACATCCTAGTAGAGTTAAAAGGCTTCACCTATCCCCCAAAGAGGGATCCGCTAACCAGGATCGTCCCTATCCCTGCATTTCCACTTGTTTCAACCAAGTCCACTGCAGGTGGATATCGTCCTCGAAAACCAAAACGGTCAACTTTTTTTTGGCTGACTTGCGATTATTGGCGCGGAGAATTAAACTGAAACAAACTTTTTCCAGTCGCTTTTCCAACAATTCACGCTGTCTTGCTTTATGGGGGAGGACCTAACCCAATGAGGGAAAAGACCTTCCACATGTTGTGGAGACCAAGAACATTCGTCGATGCTACATCCACTTGGTGCTAACGAAATAGTGGCTATGAGGTATGCAGGAAGATTTCCCTGAAGCACCATATCCATTTGATGCTGGCCTCAAAGGTTAATCAACAACACAATTTCCTCTCAGGAGTCGGAAGAAAGAATGCGGGGGAATCAGCAAAAGAAAACAGTTAGGTTCTCTAGATTTAAGTCTATTTTAAAAACATAGAAATTATTATAATAATAAGCAGGGTGATACAATGGCAAAAACCAAAGGGGCATGCAGACAGGTATATATTTTCGTAAATTCATTCAAGTTTATCCAAGTGCTCCAATCTCGTTAGCACAACCTGTTTGCTCGTTTCTTCAATCTCGCCGGCGAGAAACACTTCGTCGAGAATGGCATAAACCTGGACATAGATAATAAATTATTTCGAACGTTAGCCATCAATTATCACCAACAACTCGAAGCAGGTAGATATTTAGTCCGGAAATTTCTTGAACTTCAATCAAACCTGCCTGTGAACCTAAATATCCTCCTAAATTCCCCGTCCTCGAAACAATAACGCAAAACGCACCTTGTAAAAATTGAAAACCAAATCAAGCTCGCAGACATTGCCGAAAAACTGATCGAGGACCTCCACAAAGAAATGTATGGCTTCCAAATACGCCAATTCATTGTCATTTGCATCGACGCCGACGCAGAAAAATAGACCTGCATAACGTCTGTAAACGATCTTTGTGCTGAGACGGAACTCGACAAAGTTGGACTGATACTTTTGATCACGAGGGGCGATAAGTCGGTGGACCTGCAGGTCTATTTAGATTTCTATGCCGGAAACGCCGCTTGGTGGTGCTGGATATGAGTAAAGGAGAGGGAGGGGGGGTTTAATGTCTCGGGGTTGCTGGGATAGAGACGCACCTCGCCCTTTAGCTTCACTTTCTCATCATCCTAGAACACGTTAGCTACAACCACTACATCAGATACACAAATCATTAAGAATGGGTCACATACATTATATGGCGCATACCACTTGGCCAGACGAGTTTTGCCCCTTTCAGCGTCAGTGAGCTAATAGCCACGCAGGCATCTGCAATAAGGGACACATACTGCCTGTTCTGAATCAGGATGAAAGAGAGAACCATCCCGCAAATAGATAGCCTGGTACCAAATCTAGGAAGTGGGCTAATGCTTCATGAGGCTGCGCGTTGAGTTGTGAGAGTTGGAGATGCTTCCTCAGAGCTACGATTTCCCCGGGTTATCTCCCACGGTTCTGCCGATACTCACCGCCCGGCTCCATATCGGCGGAGGTTGATAAACCAAGCTATAGCGTGGCCCCAGTGTAGAGATGAATTGATTGCTATAGATATGATATGTGCAAAAGATACATAGGCAACTTCTTGCATATTAATCCAAACAGTAATAGCTACAAACCACTGGTATACCTCACCGTAAATCTACCGTAGAGTGTTCAAGACACCTGAAAATCTATAACTAGACTCGCGGAAAATATACTTTCGCCCGCTATAAGCGTGACATTTCGTACCAAATTGCACTGCCTCGTTGTATTAGACTTCGACGTAAGCTATAATACTACAGCCCTGAGTCTCCCTATCATTTCTTGATTCATCAAGATCTTGCCCAGGATAAACAGGCATAAGGAACATAACATTGACTCAGTAGAATCGATAGCAGTTTTCACTTCTCGATACCGACCTTCCTATCCGTGACAACATCCTCATCCTCCGCCACAGAAGAACTCTCATCCGAGCTTTCATACGCCCGTTCCGGCTCTCCATTGTAAACTACAAACCAGCCAATCTCCGAAGCAGGGGCTAGCTCATCCTTAAGCTTTTTAAATACCTCGGTCCCCGCCGTTGACAGGCCCGGATCCAGCTGTACAATTTCTTGCAGACTCAATCCCAGCCCTGTACGGGACAGTGCTTTCGCCCCCATGGTCAGAGTTTTCGCTGAAACATATGCATATGGCTGGCTCACGGCATCAGCACTAAGGTCATCGGGGTCGTACTGCTCAATGAGTTGGAGGTCGGGTAGATGGGTAAGTATGTTGGGGTCGATGTGCTTGAATGAGTCGAGGATGACAGCATTTGTAATTGGATGCTGAAGGTACTCAGCGGCTGCGTCGACGATGTTAGCGATTGCGATGTATGCGCGGATACCGTATGCTGATGGGCTAGCGATGCGGTTCCAGCGGAAGCCGTACAGGATGTAGGTGACCATATTGTAGAGAGGAGAGTGGTAATATTGAGGTGAGGTTAGCTCAACTGCTAAGATGCCTATCGGGGCGATTCTTTGGGAGGTCAGTAAGTGAAGGAAGCTCTTGAATTAACTTAAATTAGTGTTCATGCTGGGGATGATGATATTCCTTTTTCTTCATCGTTTTGGAAGCATCAAAAAGACACAACCTCCAGGAGACAGATGTCTCGTGTGGTGTGACATCTTACGCAGTAGCCAGCATATTGGCAAGGGTTTGGCTTGGGTATTTAGTGGATACTGCCGCTACCAATGCCTCCCCATATATAAATAGTTTAGATTTCGGGTTATTTCACCACGCAGAGCGATATGTTCTAGCCGCTTGTTAGATCACATGATAGATCCAATAAGACGCATTGGGCGTTCCGCGATGCGACAGGTACCCGCACGTGATCCCGCGTACCGTGTATTTAGTCTAGCTAAGTTCCTCTCTCTATGTATATTCCTGGGAGGAAGTATATTTCTAGTGAAATGGGGACGTATTCGCCGTGGGAAAAGGGAGAACAGAAATAATTAATATTTTACTTGAATATAAATTCGTGACTGGACAATTAAACTCCCCAGGCATAAAAATATATACTTTCGACCCAACCTGTCGGAGACTATAGTAAACCATATGCTTTTAATGTCATTGTTCGTTAACCGCAAATCGTGAATAAGGCGGAAATGAAGCTTGAATTCGACTGGATCCCATACCTCTAGAAATTCAGGGGGATCTCCCCGAGATACGCACATCCACCAATCATCATCATCATCATCATCTTGATTTCTTATCTTCCGTAAAATACTGGCTTCTAACACTAGAGTATTCGTCAACTAAGACAAGATCATCATCTGACACATCGTCTCGTCGTGAGCGCCGTATGCGTTTCTTCGACTTGGAGTCCTGGATTCTCCGGTTCACCTCACCTAGGTTATCCTTCGATATCGTAGACAAGGGCCTGAGTAAAGTATCGTGGAGAAAGAAGCTGATGCTGCCGGATCGGCTATCCCTACTTTCGCTTCTACTCCGGCTCCCTGATTGACTCGGAGGCATGCTCTTCAGTCGAGATTGATACACATCATCGTGAGAGTCCTCACGAACAAGTTTTTCCGATTCGAAATCCGGGATAATTTCTGGACCAAATGTGTTGACCACCTCCACAACTTGGGAAGACAATGCCTGCCGCTCTGCTCGCAACTTGACCAGAGAGTTGGCGGACCCGGGGTGCAATGCCACTAAAAGTGGAGGCAGAGACTTCAGAACATCGGTGCCTATCTCACCGATACGCAAACCGGCAAAGGAGACTGAAATCATGAGGCCTGCAAAGAACATTGAAAAACACCATAACGGGACAATATCAGGAATATAATTCCTGAGGTCAATCCACCACGGAACAACATTTGCGTATTGTCCCTCGTGGCGACAGTAATAAAGCCAGACAGTCGCAATTGCTGTATACCAGATATACAATGCGGGAGCCAGCCCCATTGCTACGATGATTTTCCAACTTCCGACTACGTCACGGCCTTCTAGTTTCACGACTGATGAGACCAGTGCTTGGCGTTGCTTTTTAACCGACACTATTTTTGTAATGACGAACACCGGCCAGAATAAAGCAACCGACGGTAATGTTGCTAATGCTAATGCGAGGTATTCACCAATACGGCAAAGTAAGATTGCAAAGACCAACCACCACGTCCGCTGCTCAACATCCCCCCATTCGACTTGGTGATCCCGGATACCTAAGGATCTCAATCGCCGATTGTAGTCTAGCACGTTTTTTTTTTCAGCTGGAGAACTTTAGGTTCTTCTTTAAACTGCGTGTAGCCTTTAAGAAGATTTCTGTTAAGCTCAACAACAACAGGTAGAGGGAGTTTCATCCGCAGAGGCTTGTATACTCTTCTAGTAGCTTGAATGACCATAAGTGTCTCATGGTCGGGAGCTTGTTGAGTGACAGCGGCAAGGGCTTCTTGGATTGTTTCCAGTAATGACCCCACGGCGTTACGTTTCAGATGGCCGCCTGCCTTGAATGCATCGATCTGGTCTGGGTGAACTTAAACGGGATTGCCAAACTCTATTTCGGCGCGGGAGCGGAACTTATTAGGATGGAAGTAATTCATGCCGCAAGGAATTATGCTCAAGCCGCAGTCAGGTTGACGCGCAAGGGTACCTAGGGCAATGATAGCCACGCCGGCCTTCAATGGGAGGAAACTAGGGCGATCATGGCTTCCACCTTCGGGGAAAATGCCAACACAGCCACCGCTGCAAAGCTTGCGACAAACCGCGTCGAACATTTGGCTTTGGTCAACCAACGGTGCAACCTTGAAGGGAGTCCCTTCGCGCAATGGCTTGTGGAGTGGGTGCCCATTTTCAAAATCCTTGAAAGGCTTTCGGAGACGCAATTCCTCAGGTCCAAGGATCTCAGCGATAGTTTGCTGCTCGACACTCGTGCCCTCCACTTTGGGCAGAACAATCAAACCCCCTTCCATGAATTGGCCGTTGGTGAAATCTGTTTCTTGCCCGCGGATAAGAGTGGGGTCATTTTTGGGATCAGGAATGTATATTTTACCCTCAGCGGGTTTGACAAGGTCCGTAGATCTCACAACAGATACTGCTCCCATCAGACGTGTCATTGTGCCAATGTACGGCTCGCGCAAAGTCTTTTCAGCAGTGAGAAATGAAGTACGACGACCGGCATAGTATCTTAAATTGCGCATTAATATAGCGGAATCAACGAACTGGTTGGCATGAGGTTCGGCCACAACGATTACCGGACCATTCTTGGGAATCCGCCATGTCCCTCGACAGTAGATCTCACGGAAGAAAATGTCAAGACATAATGAGAAAACCCATATTCCGAAGTCGTAGAGCCACGGTATCATATAGCTTTTGGACAATGGAAATACCTGGTGATGAATGCACGGGGCCTTCCACTGGAAATTTTGATTGATGCTTTAAAACAACATCTTCCCTGTCCAAATCAAGCTCGAACTTTATAAATTGCTGTTACTGGAGGTAGAGATCGGCTATGTAAACATGTAACTAGGGGCTATATATTTAGGTAACTAGCCGACGCTCACCCGATTTGCTGGGGATTTAACGATTAGTTACGGCCCGTCCATAATCGGAGGCCCGCAGAGATAATATCATCCCGCTTTGCGCTTTGTATTGATCTTGACAAGATATAAAAAATGTGCGAAGATATTAAAACATGCCTAGGTAATTGTTTCTTCATTGATGCCGCTGAACCACGGAATGGAACCACAATTGCACACTGTTACAGTGGCCAATCGATAGTTAACAACGCCCTCAGCTCGCGACGGCGCCCCGTCCGTCTGCTTTTTACTGTAGCATATACTCTGTATCACTCTCTAATTGACTCGTAGGTAGAGACTGGCATTGCCACTGAGCGCATGGCGCCTTGTATCTCATATCTTCAAGCAGCCTGTGCCACGTCTAAAGCGGTTATTAGAGGATATTAATATGGGACTAAATACATATCGCTACGAAATGTCACAGATAATTGGCGGTCATAAACGCCCTCCTATCAACTCCGCTATCCAGCGTAACTTTTTCGCTAAACACTGACTTTTCAAGGGGCCGTCTTGACATCCATCCCATTCCACAGAGAGAAGGAAAGCTCATCAAGCCTGAGAAGAATGCGGAGAATAAGTCCTGGATCCTTTTCACCAGGATCCACATTTTGGCCTCATACTTGATAGTCAATTGTACAACTGTACGGCCTACCGCTGGTCTGAGGTTCTGGCACTACGATTCTGTAAGAATTTGCAAAATGGTGGCGGCCATTTAAATAAGAGAAATTCGTGGTGAGAAGAACTGCCAAACACAAAATAAAAAACTGCCTGTAGTCTCAGGTCGAGCGTAACAATCTCACAAGAATTAAGACCAGCAGAGATGGCAACCGACTGTGGATCAATCCACCGCCATAGCCCTTGAGCGCATTGAATATCTACGTGTGTTTGGGTCAGCTCATTGATATTTAAATGCCTGGGTAACGTGGTTTCCTAGTGACTCTGCAGGCCTATTTGCGCTTGAAAATAAAGTTCGATTTTCTTTGGACATTTATCTAATTTTTTAGGCTTATATGAACTTGGGTAGTTAGTAGGTAGTGAAGGTTTTGATGAGTCTGTAAATGTGTGTCAAGGTAGATTTCCTCAACTTTCATCAGGGTGAGGGCCTAGTTAGTTAGTTACGCAGTATGAGAGCCTGTGATGTGATAGCAATCTTACCGTGGGGCGAGTTATTCAGGTCGGTCTGGTCGCTAGCAACCAAGGAAGATATATTTGGGATTGTATTGCCTTTTCTATCATGGCCAATGTCCTTTGGATGCTGTCTGAGACTTTGCTTGAAGAGAGATGGTGGTAGGCTGAAAGCCCTGGCTCCTTGGCCTTTTCTGCGTTCCTCTTGAAGGTGTGTCGCCTCCGCTCAAACTGTGGCTAATGTACGGATATGATCTGGTTTTTGCAATTTACTGTATTATTGTCTAATTATTCTCCAACATAGTCAATACGAGTCACGAATTCGTTCCGTAATTGCTTTTCCAAGCCTCATCAAAAGTTGCTTTGTCAACAGCGAAGTCTCGAATATAATCTCTTTCCAGGTCATGGGTCTTTTTGCCCAGGAGAACCAAACTATGTAACGGTTTCCCCATATCGACGTCACATAGCTCTTTCAAAGTTCCAACGACAAGTTGTTGGTTTGGTGCACCAACACGAGCAGCACCCACAGCAAGGCTATCAGGTCCGTAAACGCCTTCCTTCCTTTCTTCCTCTATCTCTAACATCTGACTGGCACACTGCGAAACAGTCATGTATCTTGGTGGTTCATATATCTTCCTTCCCCGCTCCATATTCTCTATCGATTGCTCTTTAACTTTAATATCGAGGAGCATCAAAGTGTGGAATCCCAGCTGGACGTTTTCCTTCACTCGATCGTAGAACGACGACGGCTTCCACGTTTCTGTGAAAAATACCATACTCACAGTCTGGCCGAAGTTATAGAGCTGGAGGCCGGTGCATCCTATAGCTGACAATATCGACGCATTTGGGATTGATCTTGTTGCAATCCCGAGTTCGCGGGCGCGCAGGACGAGGTCTGTGTGAGTTGTAGCTCTAATTTTTGGGCATAACTGTGAGTCTGCAAACCTTGGGGTTTGGTAAAGACTATTTTCCCTGGGCTACCTTACCCAAATGGATCTCCAACCACCAGGAACGCGACATCTACCTGATCAGCGCCTTGGAGTATATCATCGCTGCCAGTCTCGACCAATTCGCGATCTGCTACAATGACGGGACGTCCATAGAAGGCCTCCTACTGAATCAATTGTGGTCCATGTTAGAATAATAAAGATAACACCGAATATCTTGTGAGCGCAGCACGCACTATTTTTTCCTTGTCCACAAGCAATATGCTGGTGTAAGCTTCAAGGTATACCCTTTCGGCCTTCTTGACAATTTCCAGCCCTCGAACAGTGATGTCAGTCTCATCTGCGAGACCTAATCCGACAAGATACAGCATGGTGAACGTGTGAAAAATTTTGACACAGTAAGTTGCGGTGCTATGAATATTTTATTATTATTATTTTTTTTTTGATCAGGAACCAATCATGGGCTTCGGGAGAAGGAACATTTGAGATTCCGACAGCCGATCAGATCTTATCAATCTTGCTTATTAAGCCACCCAATCCGTGGAACTTGGTACCACATGTGTTCAGAAGCTCCTGGGCAACGTCGAACGTCCGCGATTGACAACAACGGACATAATCATGATCTATTGATGCCCATTCTTTCGTAAGTGCTGAACGGTTTCAGCTATTGGGGCGGGCTGTGGTTGTGTCCCTGGGGCCTCCTTTACTGCGATTCACCTTACATTGCCAGTGTCGCACGCAGAGAGTTGAGCCGCCAAGATGGCTGAACGATCGCCCAAGTACCGTCAGGAGATTCAGCAGGTAAGAATACAGTTCCTTTCATGCTGAGATATCTGTGAAGGTTTGGGAAGGTCTTGCCTCTGGTCTACTGGTTCTCATGTTCAACGGCATCTTCGGAGGAATCTGTGTCCCCTCAATATCAAATCAACGCCCAACTATCAAAATTTGCCGTTCTTGCAGAAGCCTATTATGTCCTTCTTTAAAATGGCCCATAAGGGATGCCGAAACATAATAGGTGACATCTTAAAGTTATCATAAGAGGGTTGGATTACCGGCCTCCCTACGATACCTAGATGAACCTCCACTCAAAGCTCTCCAAACTGTCTTTCATAAGCCGACCGGGATTAGTTTGGTCATGAGAGTTTACATGACTCACCTCCCCATAGGAGTATTTTGCTAGACTGGAAGAGCAATGACCATGTCTATTGATATGGTGCAGAATCAGCAATGTTTGCAGCATGGAACGAGTGGCATTGTTAGATGATTTGAACAAGTGTGGGTGAGAGGTTGAAGCATCATCTTTCAGCATGAAAGTGTTGAATCATATAAATTGGCCGCACAGGAGTGTTTTCATGAAAAGTGATGTTTTCTTTTTCAGGGAAACACCCTTTTGTTCTCTCCCTCACAGATCGCCTTGGTTACCTGACATGGGATGATTTTTTTTTTCAAACCTTGTTTTGCAACACCTGAGAGTCTTCTCTACCACCCCACCAAATTGTTTGTTTGGCTCTTTTCTTAACTATCCATTAAAGTGGGCCCCCTCAGCTCCAGCTCCTTTTGAAGTTAGTTACACCATCGTTCACAATGTTTTTTACGTGGGACTCCTCTAGCAAGTTGTCTGAGATTCTCCCCAGTGAAGGGCCTTCTAGACCTTTGAACCAGGAGCTTGACACACTGTCAGGTTGCGAAGATCACGGCGGCAATGTACCTCAAGATGACTTTGACGCGGACACAGATGGGGATGGGGACCAGCACGAGAATGAAGACCAGAATGAAGACGAAGAGACGTGGGAAGAATGGAATGCCAGATTTACTAACACCTTGAGCCAGATGATGTTTGTTTCCGGAGAAACGGCGGAACCATCAGCTGAAACTACCACTCTCATCGAGGAAATTGTGCGTCAACAGGTTATTGAGATGGTAAGCGTTCGCCTATTTCACTTCTATGTTCTGATAAAGCTGACCTCTGATCAAAGCTTAGCCGAAGCACTGCCTTGGCAGCACGACGGGGCAATCGATCAATTTCCACTGATGATCTCATTTTTCTTATCCGCCACGACAAGGCTAAAGTATCACGGCTCAAGACTTTCTTATCTTGGAAAGACGTCCGGAAAAACGTCAAGGACTCAGATGACAAGGGTGGTGCTGACGCAGCGGATTTTGGGGCTGGCGATGACCCCTTAGCTGGAGCCGGTGTTGCAGGCCCGTCAGATGTTGCCGCGAAACCTAAAAACAAACGAGCCAAAGTAGGTTTGCCTTGGGATCTCAACAATTTATACTCAGTTCAAGTTCCAGAACGTGAGGATGAGGAAGATGAAGAGGAAGAGGAACAGAATTACGCCACCCTCCAACGTCTCGCAAACGCAGATGAACGCACGAAGAATATGACGCGTGAAGAATACGTATTCTGGTCCGATTGTCGACAAGCATCCTTTACATTCCGCAAGGCCAAGAGATTCCGAGAATGGGCGGGTTTCGGAATTGTGACGGACTTCAGACCCAACGATGACATTGTTGACATTCTTGGTTTCCTCACTTTTGAAATCGTGCAGACATTGACCGAAGAGGCTTTGAAAGTGAAGGAGCAGGAAGACCGAGGGAAGAAAGGCCGAGGAGCTTCGGATGATGGTGAAAAGACCAAAAAGCGCAAACGGGAGACGGGGCTTTTCGACCCCCCTGAGGAAGGGAGAACACCCATTGAGCCAAGACACATCCATGAAGCATACCGTAAGCTACAGGCAACCCCGTACAAAGCGATCGCAATGTTGCTCCATGGAGGACGCGCCCCTGTACGAACTCCTCTACGACTTGTAAGTTACAATTTCTGTTGCTCGTTTATCTGCGAATTCTTGTGCTGGTGTTCCAATCCTAGTGCTAACCTTTCCCGCTTCTACAGATCTGAAGCTGCTGGCTACGGTTAGGACGATATGACAAGTTTGGTGTTTTGATGTTTTCCGGAGGACTTCCTCATCATGTTTTGCTAAGGAGCATTTGGTTTGGCTTTGGACTTTTACCTCGGAGTGCTTGGGGTTACGGAGAATTCTCTGGAATTGGACCTCGTGTGCCTGTATAAATATTTAGTATTGTAATTTGATATTATATTCTGGATAAGTTTAATTAGAATTGCTATGGGGGTTTGTTTGTTGTTTTTAGTTTTTTTGTCCCATGGCTGTACAGGAATAGATGTTGGTGTTGGACTTAAGGAAGGATATGGAAGCATAACAAAATGATCCGCAAATGTCTGTAATAAATTAAATTGATCAAAACCAAATTTGATGGCTAGCGAAATCTATATTCGTTAAAAGGCATCCCATTTTATGCATCCGTTTTTATTTAGGCTTGCATGGCATATATATCACCCAAAACGACTCGTATCTCCCTCAAGAATTTAGATACCTCCTCTTCCGTCCCGATAGTAATCCTCAAACATCCCTCACAGCCATATTCATCCCCCCGAAACCGCACAACAACCCCTTTCGTCTCTGCAAGGACCTTATACGCAATCAACGCCACCTCATTGCAAGGTTTGCCACCCTGTTCAGCAGGCTTATCAAGAACCTCAAAGAGCAGGAAATTCGAATCCATGCCGCCCAGGAACCGGCCAATTCCAGGTACGTTGGACAGCTCGACAGCCAACCGTTTCCGCTGCGCAAGAAGCTTTTCCATGTTCTTCTTCATAAGCGCAAGATTCTCCGGCGCTAATGCGGCCTTCGCCAGCGCACTGGTGGGACTCGATACGTTATACGGAGCTTTCAGGCTATTCAACAACCGTGCAATTTCAGGACTCGTGAAAGCCACTCCCAGCCTGATACCTGCCAGTCCAAATGCCTTGCTCAGCGTCTGCATGACTACCAGATTCGGCCACTCGGTTACCCATTCCGCCAAACTTGAGCCTTCGGGTGCAAAGTCGATATACGCCTCGTCTACCACCACTATCCCATTCCATGTTGGGTGTTCGAGGACTTTCTGAATATCTACCTTGTGGATTAGATATGCTGTTGGGTTCCCTGGGGAGCAGATGTAAACGATTTTTATGGAGGGGTTTGCAGATAAAACTTCGTTGATGGCGTCTGGGCGGAGGCGGAAATTGTTGGCTGTGTCGAGAGGTACTTTGACAATGCTGACATCGTTAACTTGTGCACTGACGGAGTACATGCCGTAGGTTGGGGGGCAGGTAAGAATCTGGTCCTGGCCTGGTCTGCAGAAGCAGCGCAGCAGGGCGTCGATAGCTTCATCTGAACCGACACCTACGAAGAGGTTGTCTGGTGTCAGCGCCTTTTGTGTGTGTACATGTGTGTTTCGTAGATTGCATAGGAGTTGTTTTAGCTCAATTTGGTGACTATTCAGCAAAAAGTATTGTTAGAGTTAAGGCGGACTTATATGCAGTCTGGGTTGAGCTTACGGATCAGGGTATCTATTCAAGCCTAAAAAGTCGATATCTGGTGCTGGTGATGAATTCTGGTCATTTGTCGTCGGCTCACCACCCTTCTGTAATTTCCCTTCAGATGTCAAGACAATTCCTGGTCCGTAGGCATTTTCGTTCGCATCCAGCAGAACATTTGTCCCATCGTCTTTGTAGTCACTTACTCATTTATACGTTAGCTGATATGTTAGCTCTCTTTTTCGGAACTGCGGTCAAACAATGGGGGCTTACTCTCTTGCACATCGGTATGGCTTCAATTGCAGAATATTGGGCCTCGCACATTTTGACAGGTCGAATGGAAGAGTTTTCTTTGCCATGGTTGGCGCTGGTGGTGGTTGGTTTGATAGTGAGGACGTTGTGGGTTCGGTGGCGGGGGAAGTCATAAAGCAAATTCAGATTTATTAACTGGTTTTGGGATAACCATGTGGAAACTTTACAAATTACAAAGAGGTAACCGTCCACGAAAAAATAGCTGACTGTATTGATACTTTCTTCATAATTGTTAGATTCATATAACTATGCTAAGTCTATGTTAATGTTACTGGTATAAATCTATCGTTTTTGTCCATTTCCCACCATTTCAACGCCGTATGCCATTGGATATGCATAATCAAGACTGTATACAAAAGACATAAATATCCCCAAAAGAAATCATGTTCAAAGATGTTTTATTCCTTCTTATCTGGGTGGGAAGCGTCTTCTTCATGCTCTCGTTTGGCAGAAGCGTGTTTCCCCTGTTTTTCTCTGAGGTATCGCCATCCTCTTCCAACACCAGCGGTGAATAGACTCTTTATGCTCTGGCTTGTGCTCGGCCAGGATATCGTCTTCTTGATCGATTTATTTACTTCGTCTGGAAGGAACTCATCAGCAGCAATCTTCTGCTCGAACTTGCCTCCCACTCGGTGACGGACTCGGTCTGGGTCTTCATCATTGCTCTCTTGCATCATCTTATCAAACTCCGCTCCTGGGATTTGGAATCGTGACTGAAATTGGAAGAATAGCTTTTCTCGGAATGATTGGGGTAGTCTTCGAACCATATTTCCTCTTTTGAAAGGGTCCATATCTTGGGCTAAACCAGCATTTATTTCCGGGTTATCAACCCAGTCTGGGTCACTGCATTGGGGATCATTAAAAGCGACATTTGGTAATGCCTCGATTAAGGATGCATACAGCCGGCGAAAGTTACCCATTTGTGAGGACACAATGTTGTTAACCTTGCGCGGATCTTCTGTGGCAAAGGACATCCGAGGGTCGCCTCTATAACTAATGCCAGCGATGGTGCTATACAGCTGATGTTCAGTAAAATTTGGGGGAAGTAACAGCAATGCCACACGGACTGCTGAAAGCAGGTTCATTTGGTTTGCAAGGCGGACTTTCGGGTGGTCTCGGAGAATTTTCACAGGCTTGTGGAGTCTGCCTGCAAGGTAAAGCGTGTCCCAATCACTGAGATCCTTACATAGGGTGTCAATATTGACGACTCCATATTTTATAAGGGTTCCATTCACAGTAACGTAGGGGTTGAAGTAAACGCCAGCGCCCCATTTTTCCTGGACCTGGGAAACTACGTAAGAGCCTAGCGATCCCAGACCAGAGTAGTGATCGCGATGCTCATTCAAGTTGAGCGAATGCCAATGCTGGCTATACGAGACCCCAAATATAAAATCGATCATCTTCCCGCTGTTGTTTTGACCCGTCTGGATGGCTTGGGGAGGGGCAGGATGAGAGCTCCCAGCGGGAGCAGCGGATCTATTGGACTGTGGGAATACCCCTGAGCCGTATGCAAACGCATATCGGATTGGTGCCTTGAACTGCCAAAGTATCTGCCTTAGGGCCTCTTTAAATTCTTCATCGATAATCATATGTTGGTTTACTCCGAAATTTTTTGAGGGCAGTTCCGAGAACGTGGAGATAGTAAAGTCGGGATTGTCGTACCAGTTGGTGGTGGACGTGGATGAGGGAGTCGAGGAGCCAGAAGAGGAGACATCCAGAGAGGAAATCGAAGGAATGTTTGGGTTCTTGTGTGGTACGGAAGCATTGAAGCTAGGAGGAGGTCCCCCGTCCTGATGAGGGGTTGATGAAGACTCAGTAGAGAGGAAGCAGTAGTTTTTCGGATTTCGGCTGGAACATGATGGAACAGCCGGAATGAAGATGCGGAGATGAGACGGCGATACTAGTCGCGGCCTGACCAAGAGGAGCTAGTAGAAGTTGGAAAGAAAATTAGTCTTATTCAAGCTGAGGGTTCCAATAATGGGGTTAGAAAAGCCCATACAGGTCGATGCGATATAGACATTTTGGATCGATAACGTTGGAGGAACAGCCAGAGCTTCAAGTGGTTGAAGCTAAGGGGACCATGGGCATTCAACTTCAAACCATTTCAACAGAAATCCATATAGTGCAGCAAAAGTAAGAATAAGCAACTGAGTCCGGTATGATGGTATGATTCTATGTAGCAGTAGAAGAGAGAGAATTGGTCGAGGGAGATAAATAAATTATCGGCTTCAAGCATCGTAGAATAGCTTACGCTTATGTAAACATTTTTTTGGGAGATCACGTGATAAAGCGCCATCACCTGACTGCGACCGCGTCAACGCGACCGACCAAGGCTTGGACGTTCCGCTTGGAAACATTCCCAAACAAATTCTCGAGAACGAGGGTAAACAAATCGCAAAACAGTCAGATTGCGGCTGGATCGCCGCCCCAACAGAGCCTTTGGGACTTTAGATCTTTTATATTTATTTTTGGATAAACTTGGACAACTCTTATGTTTATTCAGGCTTAGAACGACTAATTCAGTCATGAGTGGGATAGGAATGGAGACTGTCGCCGCTAGGCTAGCAAGCTTCTATGCCTCAAATCAGCCGGCACAAGACGGTGGATTATCGGACGCAAAGATTACAGAATACGTCAGTTGGCCTCATGAAAGGCCGGTACCTGAAGATGTATGTATCTACATATTGTTCAGTCTTCTTCGTTTCTTTTGCATGCTGATTAAACTAACTGGTGACACTGTAGCTTGCCCAAGCCGGATTCTACTTCAAACCAACGGCTCTTAGCCCGGACAATACCGCTTGTTTTCTCTGTGAAAGAGCACTCGACGGTTGGGAAGAGGATGACGATCCAATTACAGAACATCTGAAACACTCGAGTGAATGTGGGTGGGCTGTTATAATGAATATTGTGCGGCAATCCTCCAATCCGGCAGAAATAGAAGATCCCACCAGCGCGAGAATCGTGGAGGCAAGGAGAGCCACTTTTGCGTCGCTATGGCCCCACGAGGGTAAAAGAGGTTGGATCTGCAAAACAGAAAAGGTCGGTTCTTGACCAAGAAATGTATTTTGCTTGGAGCCCCGCTAACCGCGACCTCTGTCAGCTCGTTGAAGCGGGCTGGTATTTCTGTGCCCACGAAGAGAGTGACGATTTCGTAAGCTGCGCTTACTGTAAGCTATCGTTAGATGGCTGGGAACCCAAGGATGATCCTTTGTAAGCAAACTCCCACTCTATATCATCCATCGACTTGCTAACATGAGAGAAGCGAGGAACATTACCGCAGGTCTTCAGACTGCTCCTTTTTTCATTTTGCGTCAAAGAAACCTGCCAAGGCGACCCGCGGGAAAAAGTCACGAATATCAAAGTCCTCGCGCCTATCTGCACAGTCTGTCGCCACAACAGTATCAGAAGCGCCCACCGTAGATTTGGATGATGAAATCGATCAAAGTGCACTCTCTCAATCAACTACAAAAGCTCCAAAGGCGGCAAGGAAGCCAACGAAATCGAAAGGAAGGAAAACTAAATCTAAAAAGGGAGATGCAGTTGAGACAAGCAGCCAAGCAGATATGGAGAGTAACAATGGTGATGCCGCAGAGTTATCTCAGCCAAAGAGGACCACGAGGGGGAAGAAAAGGGACAGCGATGCCATGAACGAAGCCGACGAACTTCAGAGTGAAAAGAATTATACGTCTTCAGAGCCCTCTACCAAAAGAAGGACTACAAGATCAGAAAGCACCACCGCAAACCGTCCTGCCAGTACAACCATCGACCGAACCAATTTGGTGGCACCGGATGAGCAGCCCGCTATTATGGAGGAAAAACAACCAAGGGCACGGAAACCAAAGCGAGTCTCTTCGACAGCTCGAAAACCATCTGTTGTTTCTAACGCATCCCTGAAACCCAAAATTCCCGATGACTCTGAGATTGACTCTCAATTAGAAGCGGGTCTATCCGCAGATATTGAGGTTGAGGGAAAATTGGCATCGGAACATGAGCAAATAGTTGAGAACACAGAGGAAGGACGGCGCATTTCAACCTCATCGGCCGCATCGACCCGACCATCAAGACCAGCAGTTATTGAAACTAGTGATCTCGAGGAAGAGGTCCATATCAAAATCCAAAAAGGCCAGCGGAAGAAGAACGGGGTTAAAAAGAAGCCCGCTTCCAAGAAAATTTCACGCGTTCGTGCTGAACAAGCTCCTGTCAGTACAGCAACCGATGAAGTTGCGAATGCTAATTATGAACCTCCCCCAATCGACACATTACAATCCACTTCGAAAGGGACGATCGGATCTGATTTGGTGATGGAAGATGCAGTTGTTAATGATCGAGAGGATGAGAGCCATAGAGATCCCCAGCCAAATAACGTTCCTAAAAAGGTTGGGCGGCCAAAAGGCTCAGTCGCTAATTCAAAGAAGTCAAAGAAGAAACCACAAGGCAACGAACCTGCAGTGACTGAAGAGTCTGTTTATATGCCTTCTGATCTCCACGAATCTCCCACGCCAACCAAATCAAGAGTGGACCCACACGTAGATCAGGAGAACCGAAAAACAACCACTATACCACGGAAGGTCGCTTTTGAAGCTTCTGGGAATCAAGCTGCCTCTTCCATAGGGAATGGTGCTCAGCAGGGGGTGAACAGCCCAAGAATGTTTGAACTCCCATCTGAAAGGATAGAACGCGCTTCCAACAACCCGACCCCCCCAACTGCACCTGTGCATGGGTCTACGCCATCGCCATCCCCACAATCGTCAGATGCAGAGAACCGTCCACCTTCAAGCCGACCATCTACCAACCGACCCACTTCGTCAGTTTTCAAGCCGCAGATAGCGTTTATGCCACTTGCAACTAGTACACCCAATAATTCGCCATCGAAGATACATTCCCGGTCAGGACAGCTCATTACCTCCTGTCCATGGAACCCTGTGGACCCAGAAGAAATTTTCTTATCGGATTCAATGAACAAAGAGAATGCAAATATCAATGATTTGCTTCACCCTGTTAAAGGCGATTTGACAAGCCCGGAGAAAAAGATGACCGTGGAAGAATGGATCATGTGGAACGCGAAGAACGGGGAAACAAAGCTTCGCAGTGAGTGTGAACGATTAGTTGGTATATTTGAAAGGGAGGGCGGAAAGGCCATGATGGCTCTTGAAGGGATTGAGTGTGCTGATTAAGCTCGATAATAATCCAAGTCAGCGATAATGTTTTTCTTTGGTTTTTTTCTTCCTTGTTCTGGGACGGCACGCACCGGGGGGAGACAATGGATGAGCATGGATATTTTTGATCATCCACCTTGCGTTTATTTCCTAGTAGAGTGTTATGGCGTTTGATTTTGCTTTTATTCCCTTCCCATCTGCACAAATGTAGCATGTATATCAACCATAGCAAATAAACAACCCGAACGCCAGGGTATATTTAAAATAGTCGCCTTCAAAAGATTCAAAAATGGCAAAGGAGCGTCTCCGCATTTTAAGAAATTATCCCCAGTCTACCCTCCCAACTGTCCTCCTGCTTAACCCCCCTTTTCCTCCGTTTCTCATTCCTCTTCCTACGTTTTTCCTCCCTCTCTCTCGCCTCCTCCTCCTCCCTCGTCTTCAACCTCTCCCCAAGATCTAACTGTCCCGCCTTCCGCTCCTCTTCCTCCACCATCCTCTTCTTATGTGACAACCATCTCAACCTCTGCCGGACATCTTCCACAGTAGCCTTGACAACCTCCCCACTCTGCCCCGTCGCAATCAGATGCTGTTTGCTATTCAAATGCTCAACAAACTGCATGTTATCCTTGTACGTAAGGTCGCAATCCGGGCAGTAGAATCCGGCTCCACGACCCCTTTTGCCTACGGCAGACCCAGCGGGTATGATGGTGGTCTTACCAACCATCGATGCGACATTTAGCCGTTCAGACCGAGAGCTCGTGGCTTCGAGAGAGCTAAAGTCGACGGGGGCATGGTATTTTTTCCCGGCTAGCTTGGCTTCGTACCGTGCTTTGGACTCTTCTTTGGACTTGGCTTCAGTTGCGGCGGCCTTTTGCGCATATTCTTCGCGATCCCATGTTTTCCGGAAGGAGGTGTCTGATGTGGAAGTACCGTATGCGGTCGCTTTCTTGGTAGGATCTGGCATGGTGGGTGGAGGTGGGATGTTCCTTGGTTCTTTTGCAAGGCAAGGGGATAAAAGAAATGGAAATACAAACAATTGGATGCCTTTTTCGAATATGGTGTGCTATTGGTCTGATTCAATTTAAGGGGGACAAATGTATCACAAATCCACTGTTGATTCAACTGGGGACTTTGGGATTTATGAGTTTTAAAGCTTCGTTGGAAGCTCGCAACGAAGCTGACAAGTTTATTGCCTGATTGCACACGGCTTTATCAGATCAAAGTTGGAGGTCACGTGTTTCGGCGTCTCTTTACCTGCTGTTCAACTTGCAATTCAATTTCCATGAATCACCCTTATACGCACAATCAAAAACCCAGAATTCGCAGGGTGAGACTTTAGAACAACGTTTATGAGTCGCATATCGATGATAGGATGGATGTTAGACGGTAATCCAATCGAGCAATTCATTAACGGGAACGTGGTCTCCTGAGAGTGTAAACTCGATTACTTGTTCGCATTTGTCAATAACCACTAAATGCCAGCTGTCAATGCTAGAGCCCTAATGCAGTCGTTTAACTTTCTCAAAATTTCCGGGGGCTGGAAATGTTTCTCCTCGTACTCTGCAGCCTCTGATTGGAGTTCCTGTCCTACTGGAGACCACTGGTAACGCAGTCTGGATAGCAGACTAGGTATCTGTTAAAGCCACAGCCCCAGCCTAATTGAAGGCAACAAAATATTTCCATGGCATAGCAGTTTATATAATGTCACAAGCTGTCTGTTTATCTTTATTTTCAATTTTTTTCTTCCATTTATCTTTTTCCAACATCTATGAGCTTGAAAACCAGGGTTTCCCGCATGGACCTTGCGCGCATATTATTTTTGCTTCATACTGTACATACTTCGCATTTAAAATGATGCGATCCACTAACAAGATGCTCCCCAAATCATCATCCCCATTCATGGATCTTCCCACGGAGTTACATGCGCAAATTACATCTTATCTGTCATATCCGGATGCTTTGGCTTTGAAACACACAAATACCTATTTCTATGCGCTCGTCCAAACAGGCCTCGTGCTTAAAGTCAACTGGATACTCGAGCGTTGTCGGTTAAAACTTCGAGTTCCTTTTTCGACCTGCGAGTTCCGTACAGATCAGACTTTCTGCAATCGAGAGATTCGAGAAATCATGCAGACTCGACGAAGGCATCAGGAATGCAAACCCGGTACAGGAGGATGCTTGGTCGTGGAAGGCTCGAGTTGTGGTGGGCGGACGCCATTTTGGCTGTTGAGAAAGAGTAAACTGTTTCTGTGGATGTGGAGGGGGATTACTCTTGATTATCTTGGTCAGGTTTTGCGATATACCTGCAGTCAGGGACATACGCTAATCTTCAATAGCTTTAATCCTCGGATTATTTGTGTGCATTATCGCCATCTCTTTTGTTCCGGCATCTAGGTAAGAGTGTTTTCTGAGTTGATTCACATAAATGTTTTGACTTCATGCTGAGGAATTCCAGGATTATATCCACAGAGGAAGCATAATGACCTATAAGGGATTTGGCCCTTACATCATAATATCATTTCTTGGTGATTCTATTATTTCTATTGTTCCTAATCAATCTTTGGAATGTCAGAATCTGTATATTTTCATTGGGTTCTTCACAAAATTATTTAAACCTATATGCTTTCTTTTTGCATGCCATAATTCGCATAATTTGCACAATGATACCCATTTTTCGCATCATTGTCTCTTGCTCGGGTACTTGTGTATATCTTCGATCCTGAATCCCAGATTTTTTCTGGAGACTACCGAAACAAAGGCCATTTGCCATCATCGTCAACTCAGGGCTTGTAGCGTTTTTTACAACCCCAAGAGACATAATTCTCCCCTCTCCATCGTGGAGTTCAAAAATTGCACGGAGAACTCATTGGTTGAAAGGAAATCAAGATACACTGAAGAGTTGAAAGTTACATCCACATGCGAGACTGACAGCTTTGAATTGAACGTTGAAGCTATGCTGAAATCGGGATTATTCCGACGAGAAGCCAGAGCTCCACCAATCCACGGACTATTTTGCATCAAACATTAACTAAATCATCAGTAACATGACACATCTCAAAGAAAGCCAGAATATTTATTGAGTCATAATGGCAGACATCATTTCCACTTCACTGTTGGCATTGGCATTGCTGTTCCCTGGTGGACAAAATAAATTTATAAGATGGATTATATTATTACGGAATACTGTGTTGGGTTCCGCTCCTCCTTTCGGCATGTTGGATACAACTACTGTTTCGATGTCGGCCCGAAACTTTGCCAAGATCCCGTCCAACCCTAGCGAACAAGACCGGGGAATTCGCCTTCTGGACAGGCGCCGAAATTTGATGCTAGCTTGGAATATAAATACCTACAACGTTGGAGCATCTCACCTTTCCCTTCGGCAGTTTAATGTACTCAGACATTGCGATATCTTCGACGAATATGATGCAAGCAGCCCAAAAAAACCAAGCGAGCTATGGGTTTCTCTGCGTGCGGGAAAATACCCCTTGGACGATTATCGCCAACATGTTAACAAGGTGTTCTCCCTTGGCCTAAAGGACAACCTCAACTACGCCGCTGGAGAGTAACAAGCTCACAAGAGTTTTGGACCTATTTATACAAATGCCTCAATATTGTTCCAAATTTCTCATCCAATATCAACCGTGCTTGTGAAGATTCTTTGCCTTTAAGCCGCTGTACTTTGTTTTTCGAAGGTGTTAGGTTGAACTACACTGAAAATTTTTCTCAGGAAAAGATCTAATCGTAGTAGCTCTCATCGGACTTCCGGGAAGGAGATGGCTTGGAAAGAGTTTGTGACATGGGCACAACTTGCAGAGAGAGTTCGAGTTGTTAGAAGTGCTTTGCTTCAAAATGGGTTTCAAGGAAGGTGATTGTGTTGGTGCTCTATTTGTACCGTAGTTATTTTACTCGCATCTGCTTCTATGGGCACAATTTTCTCTTCAATTTCATCTGATTCGGGAGTAGAGGTATGTCATTGAGCCGGATTTCCTGTTTCATAGCAGATCAACTCTAAATCCGCTATTCAGTGATGCGTGACCCGATTACAGCAATAGAACCGCCTATAGTTTTTGCGGATAGCGATATGACATACAAGGGAAAAAGGAGTTCCTTGAATGAGAAGATAACGGCAATCACAGATCGGCTATATAAATCCACGAAGATCTTCGTCATCCCGATGGTGACTCAAAGCCGAGCCAAATTCCCTTTGGTGGCAGAGTTAATGTCAAAGGCGTTTGTCTGACTGTGAACTGGGTGTCATTTTCTCATCCCCTTTATATGCTATTACATCTGTGCTGTTTGGGGCGATGTGTGATATTGATGTCCTCCATTATTTTGCTTTGGATGATCGGCCTATTCTCATTTTTTATATTTTTGACTACGGACGTTATTCATAAACCTGAACCGGCGTAATCTCTCCCTTATATGCCCTAACTTACCCAAATATCCCCTTCCTTCTCCTCACCCCCTGCAACATTCAGATCTTTGCATCGCACTTAAATACCTAGCTTTCGTCATTTCCCGAAGTAACCGTTTGCTCTGGCGTTCCCCCCCCCCCCCCCCCCCCCCCCCCAATTTCTAGTTGTGAGCTTCACAGCTATTGCTCCAGATTTATACAATTCCTGTGAAGCTCTGTTTCCGGAACGGCGTGGAATTGTGTTGTTTGGAATCTGACCCCATGCATCTTTGGGGCTGCAGTGGAAGCGGCTCGATTACTTTTATTCGAAGTCACATATAAGTCCATGCCATGCTGGTCCGATGGGTGTGGAGATATAGTTATTGGGGGATATCTACGGGCATTGCGTCCGGAGAGGGGAGGCGGTCCCAGATGATCAAGTTCAAGGGTGTTGCTGTAGGCCCGGCAGTAATTGAAGATCTTCTGATGGCTCACAGACATTACGGAGGGTTTTGAGGCAACTGGAAACTCAAGGAAATAAGAAAGGGGTTGTGGCTCGTGATGAGTGGTGTGTAAGGACGAAGCTATAGGGATAGCTATCCTTGACATTTGTAATCTTATTAATATTCTTGATGAACTTGCTTTCGAGACGCAAGCTATGGAAAGGAAAGTAAAATTCCTCCAGTGCCTTAGTTGGTTGATGGACCATGCATAGGACGAAATCAACTGTTGTGGAAATGATAGGTGATACAAACTTGCTCCAAGCTCTCTTTTTATTACCTTCCCGGGGGTATCATGCAGCCCCGAAGGGTGAAAAAAAAAAAAAAATAAGAAAGAAACTATCTCTAATTCATTTTCCTTTTGCATCTTCCGTATCTCTTTCTTTCCGTCAAATCCTTAAGTCAACCTGTATTTGGTTGAAACCTTGAAAGGCAAACAGAATTAGGTAAATAATGCATCGGGAGGCACGCCTTCTCTTGCGAGTATTAACATGCACTTGAGAAATGGATCTTTGCAATCTGGGAGAAAGAATGGGGTCAAAAGACCGCAGAAGTCGCATAGCTTACATGTTCAACGGTCCATTGATACAGCTAAGAATGAAAGCTGAAAAGAGGTAAAAACATACAGAGATCCTGCACCGGGCGGGCATTCTGCTCACCATGAATAAATAGCAAATGAGGACGAAAATTGCCTGAAAAACACAAACCTTGCAAATCCGCCTGCTAGCTCTTGGTATCTAGTAGTCAAGAGAGACAGGTTCCTAGATGGGTTTGTGGGTGCCTAGTTCATTACTCTCCCATCCCAAGACTCCCTTTTCATCGGGGTGGATATAGAGCACAAAACAAATTTAATGGCCTCGAACTCCAGTCTGCCAGCCATAAATAACTAGGCGCGGGTAGCTAGTCCATCGGGGACTTTAGATATCCGGTACGGGAGCGATTTAAGTAACCCAGCGGTAGCTGGCGTACCTTCCAGCTGTTTCACTCTTTCGGATGATCTTGACCACCTGCCCTCGTCGCAAACCTAGATATTTCGCCACAGGATCTCCACTCTGGATACGTGGAAGCTGAGACTCCTTCAACCGGTATCGCTGAAGGAGCCGTTTCTTTTCCTCTGCGCTTAGAAGAATATGTTTGGGTACGAGTTCATGATGGGTAATATTGACTAGGAGTTCCTGTTCCTGGAAGTGCTCACAGAACCGGCCTGGTATGCTGTTCAACACTCGCATTGCGGATGGAGAAATTGGCGTCTGGCTGATGAATATTCCGGTGTGGTAGTTTTGTTCGTCGATGAAATGATTAAATGCGCGCACTTGCTTTGTCCCTACGCTCTGTATATCGGCGCAGAATTCGACGTAAATGGTACCGCATTCGGGGACTGGGTTAGGTTTCGATACTGTGGGGAGGGGTGTGTATTTCTCCATCATCGCCTGTGAGGGACGCGCGCTGATTTTCATTTTATTGCGACTACCCACCAAATTCCCAAAATCGTCAGTGGAACATACGACAAAAAAATAAAAGACCAATTATACATCAACAGTAGAGATTATGTTGCACATACTCAGGAAACCCAAGAGCATCTGAGTATCGCGTTCTGAATTCTTCGAGAGGAATTTTTATCTCCTCCTCAGTCACTTCATAGCCCTGAACATAGTCCCCACCACGCGTCAGCAGCTGCATATCGATTACGCGAGATGAGGGATAGGCCCATACCCGATCAGCTAGCATCTCGAAAACGGTCCTCCATGTGCGCCAGAGCTTTGTCATTTCACGGTCTGCTTCCGCAGACGCCCTCGAGTATTCCTCATCAGCCATACTCGAGGAGCTTGTTTGAGCGCAAAAAGTTCGTTTATGCCAGGGAAACAAATGACTGGGATGAAGCCGGCGGGTATAATGCTGTGCAAAAGGCTGGCTAGGGCTGTAAGTGAACTGCGATGTTGTTTTTCCCGGCGTTCTTCTTTCTCTTCGCTGTTGTTTTGTTGAATGAAGAAGTTCTTCAAACCTTAACTAGCCTTTCGCAAAAATTGGTGGGAGCGCCCAAAAAGGTTAAGCTGGGCTGGGCGCACAGACCAAGCCCCCATCGTACTGCGGCCAAATTTTTCCACCTACGAACCTCGCTTCATTAATTATTCCCAGGCCACCCTGAGGTTGCTCTGCTCTTGCGCATTACAGCCCAATTTAGGCACTGAACCACCCTGTGTTGTCCCGCCTCGTTCATTACCACTCAATATACGGCGTGCCCAGGCTCTGTCCGGCATATCTTTTATCTATCATGGCGGGCGCAGGCAAAGCCCCGGCTCCGGCTGAGCACCAGAAGAGACCTGAGAACCCCAGTGAAGAGGCCTACAAAGCCAGCTTGGCTCAGGCGGAGCAGGAATTGTCCTCGGTACAGAAAAGAATGGTATGTGTCACCCTTGGCGACATCGGGAACCTCTACATTTGGTCTATAAATTAAAACCCTGTACTTAATATTTACCGTGCATGGTTTTATATAGGAAGACGTAAAAGCCAAAATCAACTTGGCACAACCAAACAACCAGGACTCACCCGCTGCTAAGAGACAGCGAGAATTACGTACGGAATTGGCAGCCATTCGTCAGCAACAGCAGGGTTTCAAGGCCTCCCGTAGCGCTGTCCAGGAGAAGATGAACGCCCTAGATGCCACCATCAAAGCCCGTGTGGCTGAGCAGAAAGCTTCCCGCTCCCGTGTTTCCTTTAAAAACGTTGATGAAATCGACCGGGAAATCGAACGGCTCGAGAAGCAAGTTGACTCGGGCACCATGAAGTTGGTAGACGAAAGGAAGAACCTTGCAGAGATTTCGAATCTCAGGAAGCAACGGAAAGGGTTCTCTGGCTTTGATGAAGCTCAAAAGGTTATCGATGACTTGAAGTCACAGCTTAGCGACTTAAAGAAGACCCTAGACAACCCGGAGGCCAAGGCCCTCAGCGATAGATACTCCAAGATTCAGAAGGAGCTGGACGCTATCAAAGCTGAACAGGACTCTGCGTTTAAGAACCTGAACGCCCTCAGGGACGAACGCACCAAAATTCACGGCGAACAGCAAAAGGCCTACGCTGCCGTACGCGAAATCAAAGATAACTATTACAAGGCCCGCAGAGCATATAAGGAGTACGAGGATGAAGTTTTCCGCATCCGTCGTGAGCGTCAAAAGGCCGAGCGAGAGTCATACGAGCGGGAGAGAAAGAAAAAAATTGCCGATAAAAAGTTGGAAGAGGCTTCTCGACCGGCTTTCACTGATGAGATCATGACAGCCCAGGGTCTCATCCGACACTTCAACCCGTCTTACGATTTCTCTGCTCTAGGCCTGGAAAGAGATTGGAAATCGCAAAGTGGCGGCTACCGTGCCGAAGTGGGACGAACTGTCGACGCATCCGATCTTAAGGGCATAAAGGTTATAAAGAAAGATGATCGCGAAGAAAACTACTTTATGGGAGGCACTGGTGGAAAGAAAGGCAAGAAGGGCAAGAAGAATTCCGCAGCCAGCTCCCCAGCTCCAACCCAGTTCAACCTAAGCTTTGGCGTTATCGAAGACTTGGCAAGCATCAAAATAGACCCTCCAATTAGTCAGGCTGACGTTCCAGCTCTAATTGAGAAACTCGCTGAAAAGATCACGAACTGGAAGAGCCAACAGGCTGCTAAAACTGCAGAGGTGAGAATCTAACTTTCAACTTTATGAAGTACATACCTTCCCGTGCAACTCACTGACACTTTTAACAGAACATTAAGAAGGCCCAAGAAGAAATCGACCGTCTCAATGAGGAAGATGCTAACACCAAGGAGAAGCATGCGACGGATACTGCACGCAAGCCTGCGCTTAAGAGCGAAGGTACAAACGGACACGTCTCAGCTGAGGCAGAGCTTAAACAGGAAAATGACGCTGTTGTTGCCGACGCTTCTGAAGAGCTCCAGAAAACCTCTCTGGAGGCCTGATTGCATACACGACATTTAGGTCAGACTCCGGAATGGATTCTGGTGTGAAATTTGCGGACACCATTATCCCAATTTTGTTTCCATTTCTTGGATAATTCATTCTTTGCTACCCCATTTTTATTTAAAAAAAAATTAAAATTAAAATAGTGAGTGTAATATGAGGCCTTTTTAAATCCGCGGAAGGGTAAAAAAGCAACAAAGTGGTAGGATGGATTGTTTTGTTCCGTTTCTTGCTACGTCATTTTACCGTTTGGCGACCCTTATACCTGCCTGTCTTTCCACGTACACCTAGTCTTCATTCCTTTTGATGTTGATCTATATTTATACGTGTTTTTTATTTACCCTACGTCCTAAGCGTGATATTTGATTATGGAGCATGTTGTGCCCTTGCGTTGTTTTCTATTCCTTTCCTATCCTTTCCTCTCCTTTGTTACATATCTCAATATCTCATATTTTCATCAATACCGTTATGTTGACACATCATTGACACATCATTCTCACTTCTTTTCAAGTAATGTAAGAGTTTGACTCACTACTCTTACATCCCAATGTTTGGATTTTAACAATACTTGCACCAACTAATCATACTCAATCCAATACGGCTTCCACAACTGGATTTTCGTTATCCCAATTAACCCAACGACGGAAATTTATCACGGAGATACCAATTCACGTAGATCAGGGAACTGGGAATCCTCGGAAAAGCGAACTGACCATGAGAGCAATTAAACCACTGACGCTCACTTCCTCCAACAAAACCATGGACATTGCCACTCTCATATGCCCACAATCTACCGACCTCTCCTACGAAGAACCCCTCCATTTTGGGTGGGCAATACAGGATCGAACCTAGAGAAGCCAGACTCTTTACAGTTTTCATAATATGCCGTAAAATTGAGCCATAGCTAAACAACTATGGGATGCCTACGTACTTCTTCGAATTCCACCGGTCCTCCACACGTTCATCTAGCCCAGTTAACCGTGATTTAAGTATGGGTAAATCTCGACATGGTTATAAGGAAATGCACACTGGTGGATGTGCGTCGTATAAGCACGGGAATTGAACCGGATATTTAGCATGTAATGGATAAGGGTTGCGATACTTCAGGCTGCTTGGGGGATGCGGACAGTTGAAATAGATATGTATGCACCTTTGCGAATATCAACCTTGCCATCCTCACTTTTCTGGGCTGACAGTCTGAACGCCGCATTTTAAGAAATATTTTTATTTTTATTTTTATTTTAAATTTATTATTTATTTATATAATTGCTTCTGCGAGAAATAGATAACTATATATTGAACACACTATTAGTAGGAAAAGGAGAAAACCTATGCTGGGAGACTTCCCCCAAGCAGCAAGATTGTGGTGGTTACTGGTGACGGCTCGGATATTGTGCCTGACTCATTCATAACCTCAATTCTATAGGATCCTCAATACAATTCACCCTCGTGTAGGATAAAGAAGAAGAAGAAAAAGAACAAGAAGAAAGAAGCATGAAGCTAACCAAATCAAGGAGAATTAGCCTCTCTTTTGTCAAACAGGCATTACCTCTCAACTCCAAAGTTCTGATCAAACTCAGAAGATGCTCAATGCACATTTCTCAGTGTTGAGAGTCCAATATCAGCAATGATAGCAATAACAATAATAAGAACAAGAACGAGGATACTCACCATTCCATGGCAATAGAATTTGTCAAATGTGACGTGACCAACGAGACAAGCTGCAGAATCTGATCGAGAAAGCAGAGGAAATGTTGAAGATGTGCCAGATATGTAACTACATGCCACGCACCAGAAATTTTGAACTGGTAGAGTATTTATGTATCCCATATTGGTTGGATAACCATTCATTCCCTTTCACTATTTATAAAAGAGCATGAGTGAAATTGGAGAACAGTCTTTCTGCAGAAAAAGTAGCAGCAATAGCAATGGCCAGATAGCTGAAGATAGTATTTGCATCACCCCTATAGTCAGATCCGACCTCTGGATGAACAGCAAGCGTGATAAATTTCTACGCAACGCTGAACAGCAATATATCACATCCGATAAAGTTCACGCGAATGATGCTCTGCGCGCTGCGTGGGATGCAACAAGCAAGGGTGTTGTTCTTCCCATAGCTTCCATCGCTGGATCTGGACGGAGAGTATATGCCAAGTCACTGTACGCTGCATCAAAGTGCGCCGTTGTTGGATTTGTGAGATCCATGGGGCCAAAGAGGCAGCTTGGTGTGAAGGTTGTGGGGGTTTGCCCTAGGTGTGTTCTTTCATTTTGTTTCCTCTCTACCTTCAGGGGGTGGTTATCTTCGTCCCCAACGCACTACCACACTGCAGAGTGGATGCATATAAAATATGCTTGTTGGCTAACATTGTTTTCCTGTTGTGTTTCAAGAACACGGGATTAGAGATACCCCTATCTGGGACGATGAGGAAGCATTACTGGCGTGTCTACATGCCTGGTAGAAAGGATGCGCTAGAGCCGGAGCGCATTGCTATGGGCCTAAACCCAGAAGGGTGCATACGTTTGCGGGTACTGTGTTTTTGGGAGACTGACAAGGTAAGCACTGTGATGTTTGTTATTAAGGGGCTTGAGAGTGACACTGAGACGATGGGAACATCAGGGACTTCTGCCCGGTGAGGATATGACTAAGACTCTGACAAAGGAGGAATTCTGCTGAATGTTCTCTTGAGGTCTCTTCAGCCTCCGCCCCGTTGATAGTTAGGCTTGCAAGAAGAGCGCACACAGGACATTTCAGGAGCGGAGATATAAAGAATATGCAACAAGGTTTTCTCTGTCTGTTAACTATGCTGATGAGGAATAAGCATTCCCCATCTCATTGAAGACAAAATTGTAGTTCTGGAGAAAGCGTACATATACACGAATTCCATTGGTGAGTAGAGTCTTGCATAAGGAGAGGCAAAATTGACAAGTATATACTTAACAACACATGCAAAAAAAAAAAAAAAAAAAAAAAGAAAGAAAGAAATAATATGAAGATTCAGTGATGAACAATATACAATTATGATAAGGTGAGAGCGAAAAATGAGATTTATAGGCACTACAAATAAGGGGAATACAGAACAGGCGGCCTCATTGAATAGAAGACACCAATGCAGTTACCAAGTAAAACGATCAGAAATATGCAACAGCAGCGAAACGAAAAGAACGCGACAGAAACCGTTCTAGTGACGGAATGGAAGCTGCCAGAACTCTGGCCATGGATATCCCAGCAGCACAGCTCTCGAGTTTAACTTCGGTATATATGACAAAGGCGCAAGACGACAACTCTTCCATGTCAAGAGACCGAGCGAGGTCCCCAACAACACCCGTAGAGTGATACATATAACTATATGCCCATAGTTATACCATGAGTTCCCCTTCCCTTCCCTTTCCTTTCCTTTGCGTTCCCTCCCCTTTCTTCTTTCTCAATTAGAAGAGGAAATCCAAGCAGCAGCAGCATGCTAGACCAGCTAATAGACCGGCGCAAACACTAGTTCCCGCTCCACGAGTAGTGTCTCTGTTGTCGACATAATGCCCCTGTGGCGGCGGTCCACACTGGGGTCCATAGTACATGGGTTGTTGCTGATAGCCTTGCTGCGGAGGGTAATATTGTCCTGGTGGTGGTGGCGGTGGTGGTTGTTGTCCGTACTGTTGGGGCTGGTTGTAGTATTGTGCAGCGGTGTTGGATGGGGACGGAGCATACGGAGCTGCTGGCGAGTTATAGGGCCCTGCGTCCTGGTAGGTTGCAGGTGGGTAGGAAGGGGGAGGAATGATCTGCAATAGAAAATTTTAAGAGATTTAGTAAGTTGGTTCTTCCTTTGTGCTGGAGGCTGTTGGTTGGGGTTATACGAACGTGTTTATTATCGGACATTTTCTATTTCTGATAGGCTGCAGATGTGTCTAGGTGTCTTCTCTTGCTCCCCGCGTACTTTTATCAGTCAAAGGCGCGATTTATAGCTTTATAGGGCGTGGTTCTACGACTAGCCACACTGGGTCTGGGGTCTGGGGTCTGGGTCTGGATCCGGTTGGTATGGAGATGACTAGATGACACTAAACTTAAGCTGTTGAGCGTGCGAACTAAGAAGCCAGTCTTGACGGGTGTTCTATAGATTCCACAAGAAGATGAGGAGGATTATCCAAGAGGTGATGAGGTGAAGGAAGTGGGTTGATTGTTGGCTGAAGGGCAGGGAGCCAAGCCCCAGTCCATTCAGCCACACTGCGGACCCCACAGCCGCGTCATCATTGGTGACTTGAGCCCCGAACCAACGGTCACAGCCAAGAAAAGCCCCAAGGTTTACGACTCCGGATTTTCATTGGACTTCTTCTTCCTGGAAGCTGACGAACTTTTAACTCCAGATCCAAGGTTGTGTATGTAATTATTGGAAAAACGAAAAGATTAGTTAGTTGAAGAGAAAGTCAAGCCCAACTATAAAGGAAATATCTGTGGATTAATATCCCGAGATGCACTCTCTCTGCGCATAGGGATACATTTTCGCGCTTGACATCGTTTCACGTCACGGTAAAAGAGAAATTCGACAAAGCCCGACTTCCAACCAGTACGATTATTCGGAAACCTAAAGCGACCTTACCCCTTGACCCCAACCTCGCTGCGTTTGCCTCCCACAACGCAGCCATGCAAAACCAGCCATATCCTGCTCGCTAAAATAAACAAAATAAATAAATTTCAAACAAAAAAGAAAAAGAGAAAGAAAGAAAGAAAGAAAGAAAGAAAAGCAGCAGGCAAGTTTCCCCGTTGGAGAGGATTAACCTCATTGGGTGTGTCTCCAGAGAAACCACTCTGCCTTGGCTGTTCCTGGTAATCCGTCGGGAGTGCGGAGTGCATTCCAGTCATATATACCGTGACGTAGCATTCAGATATCGGTACAGAAAGTTCCTGCCCGTCTCAAGTTTGGTTCGGAAAGGCCTTAGTGCACATGATGCAACCCCGTTTGCAGCGGCGGCGTGTTTAAAAGCAAACATTATCTCTACTTATATGTCACGAATCCACGGCAGCTCACAGATTGACGCAACAAAGACTGCCTCGTTTTCTCCAGGCTTTATCAATGGTGCACATGTCGACTCGGAGCTCTGCCGCCCCCATATTCGTTCGGATTCGTGGTCCTGTAAGACCCGGAAGGCTTACTCTTTGTCCTCCGGGGCGAGTGCGACCCGGACGACACCTCCTCAAACACTTCAATAACATCATCTGAACTCGAAGAGGTACTCCCGCTCATGACGTCTACCACCTCCGGCCGCCGTCTGCGTGACTGGGAGTGTTGAGCTCTGCTATCTGCCGTCACCGTAGTCGTGTCATCGACGACGGCAGTAGTGCGGCCTCCAAAGATAAGAAAAAGGACCCATATAAATAAGACGAAGCCGCCAACCGTTCCAATGACTATTCCTACGACGACGCCGGGGGAGGAGGTGAAGGAGGAGTACGTTGAGGGTATCGAGATCATCTGTTCACGGCGGTGTAATTTGGAGGAGGAGGAGGAGGAAAGGGAAATTGATCGGGCCATTTCTCTAGATCTGGAGAGGAAGGATCCAGCGACGGATGAGAAGGAGGCTGATAATACATTGAGACGGTGTAATATATTGGGTCCTTTCTGGGGATTGAAGGAGTGATTGGACCATCCGATCTTGTTGGCGAGTGATTGGAGACCGCCAGCAGCAATGGCGGATAATGGTACAGGTGCCATCTGAGTTTAAAATTTTCTCTCTATCATGAGATGGGAAATTCTACTAGATAAATTAATCCATCAAAGATATATTAACCTACATAAATACTCTATTCCCGAAACGTTGAGAACTAGGGGGTTTTGAGAAGTATCTATGGTAAGGACAATGTTTCCAATAGGAATATCTGTCTAAGATAATCATCGAATGGTGAGAAAGAATGTCGATAGATAAACAACGAGCTAGAAACGAAAGAAAATTAAAAGAGAAGCAAGAATTGGGAGAATTGGGAGAATTGGGAGAATTGGGAGAAAAATGAAGCTGGTGTGCAATAGAAAGAGTATTTCTGGATTGGGGACAAAGCCCAGCCTCGTGTTTTAGTTTAGGATGGCGGGGGATGACATATTGGGCTTGGCGTTCCCCGCATGGCTTAAGTTAACTACAACCCGGTGGCTGGGGCTTGGGGGGTGGCTAGTGCAGCCAAGCCTCTGCCCTACATGAGTCGGATGTTGAACTGCGAAGGGATGGCAATTGGATAGACACGGGTCAAGGCTGATGAGGGACAGGAACAGTAGAAGCAGTCACTCCGCCCGATTCAGCCAATTAAAGAAGTTCCCACGGTGACTAAGAAATATCCAGTAACTAGTTATGCACGGATGTGTGACTCCCAGACAAAAGCTATCCTGGCTTGGGTATCTAATGGCAAGTATACGAATGAATGTTCATGTGACTGTGCAGTTATATATATGCATACAAAGACCCAAGATGAAGAACTGTGGAGCCAGGAAATAAATATGCAAAGTACAAATTTAGTAAATATTATCTACGCTGTCATATCCCCATCCTCAGCATTCTCTCCATCCGTTTCTACCGGAGCTTCCGCAGTATCTGCTGTAGTGGCCACAGCAGGGGTGTGCCCATTTTGGCCATTTGTAGCCACGTCTATCACCTCGGATGGTTGCTCGGTGGTTGATGTGACAGCTGCCCGTCGTTTTTGTGTGGTGTTCACCAGCGGCGTGTCATCGTCATACAGCCGGAGTAGCATGGCTCGTCGTTCTTCCTTAGGCAGCATGAGGTTTAATGAGTACATGCTTCTCCAGAGCGGAAGGACCCTTCGCTCCCTAAATATATAAAATTAAGTAAAAATTACCGACAACAAACGAATTCCTGAGTGATAACGTACCGGAAGCCATCTTCATTGTTTGTAGGCTCGACTCGTAACACACAGCATCCCATATCAATATCCCTTGCCCATTCACCAATCTCTCCTAGCTGCTTCCAACCACCATCGTTTACCTTGGGGAACATCTCAATTAATAGCTTCCGCAAAGTCTCCTTTTGATATATCTTAACCACACGGCGGGGCCCAACCCAGGATTCCAGAATAGCAAGTCCATCGGTCTGAATGCGCCATGGGCAAACGTCTTCTCTTTGCACATCTTGTTTGACAAACATTTTAACACCGGAATGCACGAACTTGATTCCGGCTCCTTCGTTAGCGGTAAGGATATCACGAGATAGAGTACTGGTATAATATATTGTTTTTGCTGCGCGACCTTGAGAATTCCGAACCATGAAGCGGTCTCTCGGGAATTGCGGTGATATATCATAAAAGTTGAATATCTGATCAAACTCTGCGCTCTGAGGATCTAGATATTTGAATGGCTCCTCCATTGGCTGGCCAGGTTTTCGCTTGCCAGGAAGAGACGGCGCTGTAGATATCGTGGATATCTCCTGCGCAGGAGCAGCTTGTGTGCTGTCCTCCGGTTTTACTGTGGCATCCTGCCCATTGTGATTGATTGTTTCTTCGGTGGTTTTCTCAGGAGAAGGGACGGTCGGTGGGGTGAAATGGGTACCGACTACTTTTTGCCGTTTGTTTGCAGGATCTTCGCCTGATTGATCAATGGTTCTTTTCGGTACGCTCTGCGTTGACGGTGCTGAAGTAACTTCCGATACAGCGAGGGGTGCTTCATCCAACGTGGTTACTGCATCAACCGGCTCCCTGGTTGCATTTTGATCGGCTCCTGTTTCTGTCGTCGCTGTAGAAACTGCAGTGGACTTTTTACTCCCCTCAGGCCTTGCCTTAATGTCACTCCTCTTTTCTAGCACGGCGATGAAGAATGCACCAGTATCTTGTTGATGCGGATAAATACGCATGCAACGAGATAAATCGATACCTTCCTCCTCGGAGGGAGAGAACATGCCTTCCACCATCCTGCTAAGCGTCTCATCGCCTTGGGAGACGGCATCTTCTACATCTTTCCAGTTGGTCCATGTTCTTCCTTGCTTGTCCATGACACTCCAACTCTTCAGACCTGGGAACCTTTTCAGAGTGGGCAATTCATTGCTGCAATCCATGATGTGGACCTTGCTTGGACCACCGCAACGGTCAATAACACTCGCAATTACCGCTTCATTTTCAACGGGATTCATGCTGCATGTCGAGTACACTACTCGCCCTCCAACTTTCAGCATTTGTAAAGCCCGAGTAAGTATTCGACACTGCGTCGTATGTAAACCAAGTGCATTGGATGGGTTCCAGTCTTTCCATACATTGACATTCTTGCGTGAGGTTCCATCACCTGAGCAGGGGACATCGGCCAAAATCCGATCAAATTTCAGGTACCTATTCCTCACAGGTTTGCCTTCTGGTGGAGGCAAAGATGGCAATTTAATAGAAGGATACATTGTAGCGTCATGATTCGTAACGATCAGATTCGGCGAATTAAGGCGTTTCATTTGATGGATTAGTAAATGGGCGCGTTTGTAGTCATTATCGTTAGCTATGAGCAAACCCACCGATCTCCCATCGTCGTCCAAGCCGTCCAATTCTATTTTTCCATTAAGCAGCCTAGGAACGTCTGGGGCTCCCTCTTTTCTTTGAGTCTCAGCGCCATACTCCAGTTTCGCTGCAATCTCTGCCATTCTTTCCTCTTCTCCTGCATGAACCATTTCCATCAGCTGTGCTGATTTGCTCCCTGGTGCAGCACACATATCCAATACGGTCATGTTGGGACGTACATCCAGCAGCAGCGGCGGAATCATGCTCACTACTTCTTGGCGACTAATATTTCCAACTTCTGTTTCTGCGACGAGGAATTTTTGGAATGAAGCAAATGGCGCAAAACGGCGGATCACACTTTTTGGAGTTGTCATTGACCATGCTAATTGGTAGGGATACCAGGGCACGGGTTGGGGAGGATCGACTGGGTTGCCCTCATGGGTGATTGATGTGATCTTAGGAATATAGAAGTCTTTCAGACGTTCTTGCACAGCAAGGGCATGGCTGTATTTAGGAAAATCAGAGGCATGTCATCTTGTTAGCGCTGGTACGTCGAAAGTAGAAAGTTTAAGATGAGATCGATGGATTAACCAACCTTTTGGATCCAGTGAAACGGAAGCTGTTAGGCAGGTCCCGTCTAAGAGCAGCCCAAAATTCATCCTTTTCATCATCAGGAACAATATGGAGGCCGTTGTAATAATTTTCATATTTTTCATTCTCCCTAACCAATATCGTGGAGAAATCTGGTCGACGACCGCGATTGCCCGCACCACCACCGCTCTTAGGAGCTGAGTCAGAATGAAGGAAACTATGGACAGGGGAATTGGCCTACACTTACTTTTTTATTCCCGCGTTTGCCCATGTTCAGTGATATTTTTCTTGAATCGATGTTCACCGCAGTATCATAGACTTGAGCTTGAAATTTGAAGCTTGTAGGAGGACTATGGAAAAACGTCGGCCCGCTAGGATTTTGGGCTCCAGAGATCACAAAGTAATTACTCCGTACCCTGATGTAATAACTAACTAGTTATAGTTAATAATGATAAAGAAGTTTTATATATTTTAATATTCAAGAAAATATCAGCTCTAGAATGCAACTAGATTTACAACAAGATGCTTTTAGCAATCATTCATTATCAAAGTCATCATGATTCTTTTATTAAACTCAGAACACACTAGTTACATTATTTGCAGATAACCGGGCCCTAGAGGCTTAGTAAGCTACCGCTCACCTGCAACCTGCTGGTCGGGCCCTCTTACGAGGGCCCGCCAGCTCAACCGTAATCCGCCATCTCAACGTTACTGCCTGCCTATACCCATGACATTCAGCTAATTTTTCAACGAATTGCTCTATATTTTATATATACAAGTAGATTATAGTGTAAATGAATTATCTCTGAGATTTCCTTGTAAATTTGGTGGCATTCACATAAATGCCTTTATCTCTGCAATACCTCTTAAGTTCCTTCATAACCCTCTTCCATTTTGGCCGCAATTTCTCCAATGCCTCCTCCATATCAACCTTCTTATTAATTGCCGTCATTTTGCGGCAGTAGCTTGCGGATATGACACCTCCCTTATTAACCACCCTCCGCGAGCCGCGGAGGCGGCGTTCTCGAGCCAGCGTGGCAGCAGAGGTTTGAGCTAGCTCCTCCTGCAAAAGAGCCACTGTATTGGCCATTGCAATACTACCCTTATAAAGCTTTTGTAATCCCATATAAATATAGTCCGCGTCATAGTTGTCATCCTCCTCCAAATCCTCCAGTTTCCGCTTATATCGATTGAATTGGTGTATGGTGGAAGGAGTATACCAGGTCTCTGAGTCGGTGGAAACAGACCCCTTGGATTCCATAGGAGTTGATTCAAACTCACGTAATTTATTAAGGACAACTGACGGATTGAATGGAACCAGACCAGTTGCTTTCCATCCTTGCTTGATTGTATGAACCTTGAACGTTGCTTTCCAAATAGAGGTGATAGCATGAAGAAATTCAACCTTTGTGAACTTCTCACAACCACGTCGCGTAGCTTCCTCGACTGCGGCAGAATGATGATGTTTAAAAGCCTGAAAAACACCAACGTCCAGAGGCTGTAAAAGATGACTAGTGTGAGGAATTAAATAGAAAGGTATGATGTTGTGCTTGTCACAAAAAGTCATAAATTCGAGGGTGCAATGGGAATCAAATCCATCTAATAGAAGCAGACGGTGGGTTCCTTTGATGCGGGCTTTGGTGGAGCGATGGAAGTGCTGAATCCATTGAAAAGAGATCTGATCATTATTATAGCCAGTGTCGGACGTAGCTATCATGGCATCCTTCTCTATTTCATCTGTCCACCGCTCTTGTAGCTGCTTTGCAGTGAGAATATATAAAGGAGGGATAGTAAAGCCATCAGTTGCAATCCCTTCAATGATTGTAAGAGTTTCCCTGTTATTTGAACTGCCAACATAGGTTCTCCTCCGAGGATCTCGCGTTATAATCCACTGATCACGGCCGATTCCTATTCTGAACCCCGTTTCATCAAAGTTGTAGACATCACAGTCCTGGATCCCATGCTTCTCTTTTATCTCCTTAAAGCGGTTAAACCAATCAAGAATGAATGAAGGTTAGTGAGCCTGTTTCCGCAGTATATCAATGGTCTTTTGCTTGCGTACATTATACTCTGGATGACGTTGAAGGAATCTTTTGACCCAGTGCTCTCCAAGCCCGGGTGGAGGTGTGGTGAGATCGGTATGACTCTGCGCAAGTAGAAATTTGGCAGCACCAAAGATCATTGAATGATTGAGAGGTAGGCCTAGCTTATCTAGGGATTCTATATAGAAACAGAGTGATTTTTCCTGGCCAGATGATAATAGTCAATTAGCAGGGGTTCATTCAATTTGAGAGACGCGACCATTATAACGATTCAGCAGCCGGGAGTAGGGAACTTCAAATTTTCACGCCAATGCTTTAATATTGGGATTTTCAACATTGGATATTGAAGATAATGCATCTGCGATCTTATTCTCTATTAAAATATATGTAGAAGACATCACGTTGGGTGGTTATTGCATATTAAGAACAGGGATTTGCAAAAATAATCATATTTTGAAAATAATCGCGTTGAGATGGCGGGCCCTCGTAAGAGGGCCCGACCAGCAGGTTGCAGGTGAGCGGTAGCTTACTAAGCCTCTAGGGCCCGGTTAGATAACCAGTTAGTTAATTAGAGCCTTAAAGTCTACTAATCAATTGACTAACATCCCCTCAGAGAGTCGGACACCCAATTAAGTCAGACACCCAGTTCAGTCGGACACCCAATTGAGTCGGACACTAAATTCGATATATACAGAGTATTTTGATTTTAATTGTAATTATTATTAAACAGAAAAAAAATTCATTAAAAATTAAATTATACTAGCATTTGAATATTTTTCTTCTTTTATGTTCAATAGTTTTATAGTTACTATATTTCTGTGAAGTATGTATTTATAATTACAAAATACAAGATTCAGCTTTATGATTAATTATTTGTATGTTCAACAGATAACTAATTAACTAACTAGTTAGTTAGTTACATTATAGATTAGTAAGATTTTATGCTTCTTCCCTTGTAAGATCTCCTCTATATTGAATTAATTTTTATTTAAAGTAAATATATTCTGATATTACTTCTTTATAACTGAGATAGTAATCGTAATAGGGGGTATATGGTTGAATATAATTGGCTGAACAGGTTCTAAAGGTGATATCTCTTCAATCTAGGCGTAGATGAACGGGAGTTTAGATTGCCAACTAGGTAGGCTCTTTCAACGAATACTAAGGTGATTCTCAAAAAGAGGGGTTCGGGGAAGGATTTCCTTATATACATTGCTAGGCCGTTGCTAGGCAGTTGCTAGGCAGTTTCCGTAGCCCTTTTCGGACAATGCCATCACATTCACCAGCTATTATTCATTATCCCAATAAAAATATGCACATTGAAACTAAATAGGACTGAATGAATCTCATTATTGCTGATATCTGAGATAGCATGAAAAGTTATTTACTTTTGTTAGTAACTGTTCAGCATGAGGTGAGGACTTTTGGCTTCAAATTCAGTGATTATGTATTCATTATCATTGCCAATTCTTTTTTCTCTGTTCTCCATCTCTCATCTGTCAACCAACCGTAATCCTCTCCAATCTTTATAGGAGTTATATACATAGGTGAAGCTCACTCAATATTGCATGATGAACAATGGACTTTTGTCATTAACGCCGTGACCACCAAGTTTTTCACTTTTACAAACCCATCTCTGCCACTCAGCCCTTATCGATTCCATCCTCGCCACACATTCCCAAACCTACCTTAATTTTCTTCAAAGTTTCCAATTCCGATGAACATGCAATTTACTGCATATATTCCCCATTCGTCTCTTTGTGAATGACGTCAAACAACGGTTTCGCGTTGAAGTAGCCTGCGCCTGGTGAACCGATAGTTTTATACGTATATAATGCATCCTCATCGTTGATTTTAATGGTAGCCCCTCCACGACCTCCGGCGGCAGCATCGGCCATCAATTGGGACTGGCAACATTTTTCCAGAGACACAAACCAAAAAACTGCCTCTTCAATTGTTTTGCCAACTGTCAGAAGGCCGTGGTTCTGGAGAAGAGCGGCCTTCTTGTTGCCTAGAGCGTTTGCGATATTTCTCCCTTCCTCTTTGGCAAGGACGACGCCTTTGAACTGTTGGTAAACGGCGTGGTCCTGTTACCATACATATGTTAGAACGAGGGACACAACTTCGCATGCATTTCAAATGGTTGTATTGGGTAAGATGGGCTGCTAGAATTGCTTGAGTATAAGATAGCAGCAAGATATCCGCGTGGCTGAAAATGAGTTTAAATAACGCACTTTATGAAAGGCACAGGAGTCCTGGGTAATGATATCCAGTGGCCTGCCAAGGGCACAGAAGGTACGTCCATAGATGCTATGACTATGCGCAGCGCACATCACATCAGGGCGGGCCTCATGCACTGCAGCATGGATCATATAGGCTGCCGTGTTTAACAAACGGACCTTCCCACCCGCAATAACCTTTCCGTCATGGTCAACCTGAATAAGATCGGAGGCATTGATAAGGGAGAAGGCGACGCCAAATGGATTGACCCAAAATGTCGTAGGGTCCACAGGATCCCGCATCGTAATATGACCGGCGACTCCCTCGTCAAAGCCATATTTGCCAAAGATACGGAATGCAGCGGCTAATCTGCCTTTGAGGTATTCCCGTTCTTTATACTTGTCTCCGAAAACTGGTGGTTTAGGGAATGAGGGCATTTCCTGACCATCAGCTTGAAGAATAGCCTCAGTAGAAGTCGCCATCTCGGTGACGGTAGTTGATGGAGGAGCCATTGTTTTGGACTGTAAGATTAATTTTAGTCGTAGATAAAACACAACGGAAAATCTGAATAGATATTTAATGAGATTTTAACAGGTTTTTATTAGAGAAGCAAACAGGAATGCCTCGGTATTTCGTTTTCCCCCGCCCCAATCCCCATCTCCCTACCGTCCCCTAAATTTTTAGCGGCTTATTAACCAAAATATTTGGGGTGGTCGGTGGCCAATCTCTGTTGGGATGGTTGATTCTGTGGGACGGTTCAATCTCTCATATTGGGAGGCCTAGCTAGCTATCTAATATACGCCGTATCACGTGCGGCGGGGCGGCAACCCGGGCCACATACGCCCAACAGATTCTCCATTGGTGGGCTAACTTATGTGGGATGGTTGGTTCCTTGGGAAGAACTAGCCAGCTAACTAATATACGTGATGTCACGTGCGGTAGGGGCGGCCGACAAACTAATAATCTCGTGCTGAAGCTTTGGAGGTGTGTACGGAGGTGTGTACGGAGGTGCGGAACAAAAGTAATGTATTGCAAATACCCCCACCTAATTTGTATGGAATAGAAAGTAGCTTTGATATTCAAATAAACAAATACTTCATACTCTGTTCTCTACCCCTGATTCCCACCTCAACAACCTACCTCATTTGAGTGAATAACTTGCACAATCCTATATTCAAAAGCCTTTTTCAACTGCTTTGACTTCTACAAATGCAATTATGCCACATCATTTTATTGAACTGTGAGTTCAAGCTCTTACTCTAGTGAGCATTGGCTATACTGCTCTTGAAACCGAACTTCAGCTTCAAATCTCTTTTCATGTGATTCAGAAGATTCAACAGTGAGTTACTGAGTGAAAATATGATTCAAAAAGTTTGTAATAGCTCAACTAGAGGCATGAATGATAACAAGACAAAAGCTCAATTCATCTATCTAACTAGGTAGCTGCGACGAGAATACTAAACTGTGGATTAGAATGTGGAATGAACGAGCAGCCGAATATATGTAGGTGGTTGAGGATCGGAGCGGATCAACCTTGAGCACCGAATATGGTTGATATCCCATATTACCAGCGACTGCGCCGTAACACTAAGCAGTTTCTATGAGATAGTTGTTTACAGAGTAGTTGTTCATGAGGTATTTGCAGGGTGATTGCTATGCTGTTGCTAGACAGTTGCAATTACTCTTTTCAGCCCAGTGGCCTTACGCCGTCAAGTAGTCCGGACCGGGCCCGTTCTACGCTGTCATATGATAATAGAAGTACTGAATTCATGCTCTATAAGTAGTAGATTGACCATTTCTCATACAGTCATGATTCATAAAGGCTATTCTCTCTCATTCATAAAGATTATCTATTGAACTAGATTCTTCTTCCATAGAGGTCAGTTTTTGATTTTTTTTAACTGAGCATTTATATATATATATATATATATATATATATAATTCAACTGTGAAGTCTATAGGCCAGAGAGAAATAAAGAATGTTATATAACTTAGAAGCAGCTCTAATAGTTGTAATTTGCTGAGGTTTATAAGCTTTAATGACCAATAAAAGCCTGGCTTCCTGATTAGAAGCCCTCTTGACGGGGGTGGTTGGCATCCTGAAATTTTTAATAAGCATGAATGAATGATTTGGATGAAAGGTTTGATCCGTTAGGTGATTGATTACGCTAACATCTTGTCTGACAAAGCAAATTCGACAGCCACGACACGTGATCGTCGCCTCCGACGTTTGGCGCGGATTGTCGCTGCAACGTGAAAACCTTGGAAGAACGTCCAATTCGTGGTTGGAGAAGCGAGAGAATTCTCGTGGCGCCATGCTTACATCTTGGGGGTGCTAAAAGATGATTAGATCTGACAGCTGAGTGGCATGCATGTCAACATTAGCCCCTTCAGAATGCAAGACGGTTGGGCCGCCATTTGAAATATCAAGATGTCTCACGGCATTATATTATATGCAACATATCCGATCATCATCATATTATTATTATTAACTATAATTAGGGATTACTGCTGACATGGATCGAGACAAGGAGCTTAGCCAAGGATGGTTTACTCCGTCGATAACTATATATGTGGAGTTGTTTGCGCTAGCCGAACACCAGGGAATGAAACCACGAACTCCCCCCCCCCCCGGGTTAAAGCTCCAGGACCCCCGGGTTAAAGCTCTAGGAGTTTTCTCCCTTGGGATCTCAACGTTTTTCTCTCCGCCTTAACCATCATCTTGTAAACTCGGATATGCACTTACGCTTCAATTCGAGCTCTTGAATTTCGGACCCAAACTTGTACAAAGCAATGAGCGGAGCTAGGAATCGAACCTGCTTGTTGTCTACAGCGCATTTCCCGCCACTTCAATGACATGGACTTCGGAAGCAACACAGATCATTGTTTGTACCGTGATTTGTTCTCTTCAAATTACCTTTCGATGCGGCTACCGGTTGCTTGCTAGATGCGACATGATCAAATCCCCTACTCGATCATGGGGCCCAGATGATAGCTGGATGGCGTTCGCGTTCCTTCCACTCATGTGCCGGTGTGTTTCCATGATCAGGGTGTTTACTCTTAGGTTATCTCCCTCCATCGACGACCAGGTGCTGGCTCAAAAACTCATATTATGCGGTCGCGTATTCTATGCTCTTTAGTCAGTTTTATCTCCCTGCTCTTCCCTCCTCATTTTCTTCTTTTTCTCCTTTCCATCTAGTTTTGAAGCCGTACGTTTTACACAACTTGCCCGAATGATGGAAAAGCGGGACGTAGAAGAAAGAAGTGGCATTTCTCTGTCTAACAGATTTTTGCGGTATTTCTAGTCTGTGGTGCATGAAACTCTGCCTGTTGCGGTTTTATAAACGCCTAGAGACCGGTTCCAACAAAGTTCATTATTCCCTTCAAGTCCTGCGAGTCTTCATCGTGGTGACTTTCCTTGCCACCTTGGCAGCAACAGTTCTTGAATGCAAACCACTATACATGTACGTTATCCCTATTTTCACTTAAATATGCCTAATAATTGTTATGGGACAGATTTTGGGATCATGACTACCTGCGCCGTAAGTGTACTAGAATGGGCATTGGGTTTACCGACCTCCCTTGATATTTGTTGCCGGGTCTAAGCCTGTTGTGCCAATTCAGATCCTTGTCGGAAAGGCATGTCTAATTTGCTCACAATGGGCGCCTTGAACATCGCAACCGATCTTGCTTTGATTCTCTTCCCCATTCCAATGCTCTGGAGAATGACTTCGCTCGATTTTCAGGCGTAAGTGCGAGATGTTGTGGCCTATCACTGAGTTTATAGAGTAGGATTTTTTTAACTTTTGGTACAGAAAGATACAATTGACTCTGCTGTTTTTGGTCGGCACTTTGGTTATTGCAATAACAATTACGCGATTGCCTCTTATACTGAATCATTCTGTCGCTCAATCTACACGTTCTCTGGTACGTATTCTTTATTATTGGAGAGTTTCGCATAATAGGTAATACCCAATACTAACAGTGAGCAATTATGTTAAAAAAAAAAAACACTGCAGTGGGCATCTATCGAAATCGTTTGTGCCAGCGTTGTTGCTAATGCATCATTTTATTATGCTATTTGGCAGGGGTCAACTCGGTTGCACAATCAACCGTCGGCCTATGTTGACCCGTATTCACTATTCCAGCTTTCATCTCGGCGCAGAGATGATAGTGCTAGCTGTCTGAACTCTCACCAAATTCAGGCGACTGGCTCCATCTGACGTCATCTAACCGCCTCAACCGCTGGTTTCTAATTCTCGATGTACAATTTTTTTGCCCTTGAAATCAGGAGAAGCCCTAAAAGCAAGATTAGGGGCATATGGCAAATTACCCGGGAGATATTCCACATCGCTACACAACGTCGCATTGCTGTCACAGCTTAATGGCATTCCTTTCACCTCCCCGATTTTGACTCTTATCCCCTGCCTATACTCTTCGGGTCGCCAAAATTTCCCCGGCTCTCAAATTCGAGAAAATAACATTTTCTTTTGGGCCCGGAAGACTATCCCTGCCTCTGCTACAAAGGAATATGAGTATGGAGCTCCAAATTCCTTTAGCTCATACCGCCTCCCCCCCTCTTCCCCCATCAACCAGCTTACTAAGAGATCGTCTTGGTTGATAGCGGATGATAACTATCTAACGATGACCGCAACTTTTGCTTTGGCCGTCAGCGAGTTGGACATTACGTTGGTGCGCACCAGAGTGTCCTTTCGGAATGGTTTGGCTTCATTGGAATTTCCAGATGCAATTCAGAAATCAAAAGGAATAAATGCGATTCCATTGCTTGCAGTTAAGCTCCCTGGCTACCCTTATCGGCTAGACATATTCCAGTATTGAATGTATCAGTTGGATGATGTTATGGTCCAGACAACGGTGAAATTTCGGATTCGAGCTCGACATCAAAATGCAAATTGCTACTATATTCTTTCAATTAAGTATCCGCATATGCACCACAGGAGCAGTCGATTATTTCCCGAATTTTACCTCAACTAGGCAACCTAAAGTGATCTCATTTTGACTCACCTTCTCAGAGGCCTTTTCCATCCCTTTGCACACACTGCTCAATTCTCCACACTTGTACGCGGAGAACTGTTGTCCCACACGAATTTAATCAGCTCGAAATTTGCCTGCGGAAATTAAATGCGTATTCGTTCTGTGCAACACCTGGTAAGTTACCGCAATCAATCAACTGCTTTCCTTCCCGGCTACTTGCACTGTATACGTGCTTCATGCCGTGCTCTTGATATAAAAATGTAGTTTTGAGCGAACTCCTGTGGTAAATCAGCGGTTGTGTCCAGCTATTAAGTTGCTTTTCTCCACCATTGTCTTCTAACTGTCCTACATTTGGGTGTTACAATTGCCATCTGTGATTCCTCAAAAATACTTTTGCGACTGCTTATCTCAACCCTTCTTTCAAATGCAACGCTGAGCACTATGCCTCAATTGAATAATGCTCCGTGATGATCCTGTTAGAGTAGCCGGCCTGGCAAAGAGAACGTTGTACTTATTGGTAGGACGACTCCATACTTGTTCCCGGTGAAACATAAGGCGGACCCAATCCCGACATCCAGGAACATCACCTCATTTCGTGGGCAAAGTTTTTTTTATTCTTTTCTGTCTCTATTTATGTAGGATGAACTCTGAATGAATAGGATTCCGGATTGCTCAACGTATCTATGAGAAATTAATTATACTGTTCATCAAATGGAGACAGCCTCCAATTCTGAGAAATTGACCACAGAAGGCTTCGAGAGAAGCCAACAGGGGCGCATTACTGATGGTACCTTTATCGATGACTCAGAAGATGCTTGTCTCGACTATTCTGGCGTAAGAAAGAGATTGAGTCAAGAGGAAATTGCGCTTGTCAAGAAGCTGGATAGATGGATCATGGTAATATTTAAACAGGTGCCCTTTCATGGAGTCAGATGCTAATAGATTGCAGCCAACTCTTTGGGCTATGTACTGGCTTAATTATCTCGATCGAAATGCCATCGGTAAGATATTCGTGTGAGAGATCTCATTTGTTTGCTAGCCCCATGCCTACGAAGCACCAATTGTTGAACCTTAGGTACTCTCGGGACGGAAGCAAAGCTTACATCGATGCGACAGCACTCGCCCGGCTAGACAATCTCGAGGAGGATCTCGACCTCAAGGGCAACGGTAAGGCCTGACCAAATCCAACTCGAGAACAATCTACAACATGTGCTCACACAAGTTTCCAGAATACAACACATGCATATCTATTCTCTTTGTCGGATACTTAATCGGACAGATACCATCCAACATGTATCTCACAAGAACTAAACCATCATACTACATGTCGACATTCATGGCTCTGTGGGCCATTGTTTCCGGCTTAACAGCTGTAGCAAAGGATTTCAAGGGCCTCTTGCTAACACGCTTTTTCCTCGGAGTCTTGGAGGCCCCCTATTACCCCGGTGCGTTATACTTACTATCAATCTTCTATACTCGAAAGGAGATAGCAACTCGGATTTGCATTCTCTACTCTGGCAATATTTTAGCCACGGCTTTCGCAGGTTTAATTGCTGCCGGTATTTTTGAAGGAATGGATGGTCGTGCGGGTATTAGGGGATGGCAGTGGCTTTTCATCTTACTCGGAATTGCTACGTTTGTAGTCTCCCTTGGATCAGCCTTTACACTCCCGGACGATCCACTGAGCACCAGATGGCTCACACCGAAAGAACGGGAACTAGCCGATAGTCGCATCGCTCGTGAAACCGTTGGCTGGCAAGCACAAACCACGACCTGGGCTGGTCTGAAAGAAGCGGCCAAGGACTACCGCATGTGGATATTTGCCATAATGCAGCACTTGCATCTTGGTGCCAATGGATTCAAGAACTTCTTCCCTACAGTGATCCAGACCCTTGGGTTTAGTAGACTAATAACACTAGTTCTGACATGTCCACCGTATCTGATTGCTGGCCTGGTCTCTGTCTTCTGGGCGATGAGCTCTGGGAGATTCAACGAAAGAACCTGGCATATAACGGCAGCCAAGGCCATTGCAGTGGTCGGTTTCGCAATCGCATGCGCTACCCTCAATATGGGGGCTCGATATGCGGGGATGGTAATTTTTACCACTGGCACCTATGGGGTTAATTCGATCGTTTTAGGTTGGGTGGGTTCCACCTGTGGCCAAACGAAGGAGAAGAAATCGGCATCCCTCGCAATAGTCAACACCATTGCCAATGTAGCTTCAATATGGACTCCTGTGAGTTTGCTTCTCAAATGATTTTCGTGATTGCATTTTGTGACTCCATTTATGAAATTCCTTGCTCATACCTTTGCCACAGTATCTTTGGCCCGATTCAGACAAGCCACGTTACTTGATCGCCATGTCTTCCAGTATTGGACTGTCGATTGCAACGGTGGTCGCGGCATGGTTTGTGCGCAGTATTCTCAAGAGGATGAATCAGAAGATCAAGCATGAGAGCGATGCGGCTGTCCTCATATATGCTTATTAACTCTTTGCAAATTTGCAAAAGTCCATTTTGATTTGACCTTGTGTCTGCCTATTTTGACAGACAGGGAATATACATAGGCAAATATTCAAATGCGGCTATTTTTCTATCCCGATTATCAAAATCTATAGCAAATGCATTATCAGCTTCAGGTCCTCGATTTTAAGTCTACCTACACCACGATTTGCTGGTTTTTAATTATTAACTAACCAATTTACTGAGGTTGAGAGGTGACAATGATTGTTACAGGTTCCAAACATCAAGCGCAGAATTTTGAGACGTATCTTGTTCGAATCAAACAGGCGCCGGTGTTTGCATTTTCGAGAGCACGAACTAGGCGCATAAGATGAAGAGTGGATTACCCGAAAGGGGACAAAAGTGAGAAGTTAGGAGGTATGACTGCAGGGGTTTTGATGATGTTTGGTTCACGTTTTCTCCGTTTCGGAGACTTTTTTTTTCCTTAAAACCCCAAGTTCCCTCAATAATCCCCGTTTTTATTTCCTGCTACGATGGCACAACTGCTGATCGTAAATAGCCACCATCGCCCTCAGGATAACCCAGATGATTCGGTGGATATGTTCCGTTGAAATTCGTTTTATGGCACCCTTACGACTATAAGCCTTCTTAAAAAATATGGTCATCGCTGCATCCAGTACACCGCCCCTCGCAACAACGAAATCAGGCCTAACTCTACACCATGCTACCCTTTCCGATATATCCAAAATAGGCGACCATTTTGTCCGCGCTTTTCACCCAAACAACCCTTTTAATCAGAAGCTCATACCAGATACCCCACTAACAAGGGCTTGGTGGCTGGAATGGCATCTCAATGCCTTCAAGGACGAAGGGACGGTTTTCCTTGTCTGCAAGGACGGGGGCACACCAGTGGCGATATCTAGATGGATAAAGCCAGCAAATGAAGATGGGGGGATTACGACAGATGGGTTCGGGGGGGAGGAAACGGTGGATGTTCATCGAACACCAGAATTCACAGAAGATCATGACCTACAGCTTTGCCAGGAGTTTTTTGGCTCTTTTGAACACTACCGGAAGGAGTTAATGGGAAGGAGGAGGCATTATTGTAAGTTTCTTTTTATTCCACTCTCTGAAGTATATTGAGCCGTCTGAAGTGGCTGGGAATGTAACTGGATCATCTTCGTTATTCAGATCTGGAATTCATTTCTACGGTTGAGGAATACAAAGGCCAGGGGGCAGCCAGCATGATGATCAAATATGGACTCGATCTGGTAGATGCAGAAGGAGTGGAGTGCTATGTTGATTCAAGTCCAGATGCATTGGCCATGTACGAGAAGTTCGGTTGGGTCAAGGTCCATGAGAAAGAATTCATGCAGCTGGGCGATTTCCGCTACGTAGAGAGTTATTGTGTCAGACTAGCGGTGAGAAAGAAAAATTAAGCTTGAGATTGGGAGAATTGATGGGGAAGGATGAGATGCTGGAAGCTACATTGTGTACCAAATTGAATAATCGTATACTGGAAATTCATTGCTGGCTACATTTGCTCTCTTATTCCTGTTGAGAAGTTTAAGTGTGAAGATAAGAGTTCATGCGGTACAATGCAATAAAAGATTTATTACCGTAGGATTTTGTTTCCCTACACAGGATGTATGCTGTCACGACCGCGTAGTTAACTATCTAAGGCACATTTCGGGGTCGAACTGGAATGGAATGGATATGGAGAACACACACACACTCATATATATATATATATATATATCTCAGAAGGCGCATATTGCTTCTTGATATATGATGGATTATCCCCCAATAAGAACTGAGAACTCGAGAAGCTGTGCATCGTAATAAAAAGAATGAAAAATTAGATGCTGGTATCCCAAAAAATTCTAATCACGAATGACTGTCAACCCCATCCCGTTCAACACTCACCTACCTCACCTCTTCAGCGCCTCAAACCTCCGTGATAGCTCATCAATATCAGGAATTCCACCCCTTTTATTCTCCACAGTAGAAGCAGCAGGGGCCGGCGCCTTGGCTTTCGATGAGGGTTGGTTGTTTGTGGCAGAATCCTGGGATCCACGACTGAGCGGAGCGAAACCACCAGATGATAACTTTTCGTGGTGATTTTCTTGTGGATGCTGGGGACCAGAGTCCTTTCTATTCCCCGCCAAACTACCAGGTTTATCATCATTTCCCTTCGTCTGCGAACCATCCGTTTCATTAGGACGAGAAGCCAGTGAACCGTCCTCCTTTTCACCTCCGCCTACACCTACTTCTTTCACTGCCTCTTCTTCATCCTGCCCTTCCTCATCTTCATCCTGATGCCAAGGAATACCATGCGCTTTCGCAATCTCCTTCAAATAATTCTCTACCAGCGACTCGGGTGGGTTTTGCACTCTCAACCGTTCAATCAACTCTTCGGGAAGTGGTATGGAAGGGTCCGCTTCCTGGGCCTTACTGGCAAAATCGCTGCCCCATCTCTGTATAAGTTTTGCGCGCAGTTCTGGCAGGCCCGGAATATCGCGGGGTAAGCGAACATAGCAGTAGAAAATGACAGCAGCAGCTCTATCTAGATCCGGGTCGAGATATACATCTTTTTCTTGTGGAAGAGGAGATGGAAACATCTGTCGTAGTTCTTCCTCTGACTGTACCTCTGTCGTCACTGCCGGCGTTGCGGCCTGGTTTTCAGATGGCGTTTCGCCATGTGTCGTTGCTTGCTGCAATGCAGCATGCCGTGTTGTTGTTGTTGTTGCTGTTGTTGGTGGTGGTGGTGGTGACTGCGGTGACCCAAATCCCAAAATCTTCCATATCCCCCACCCACCACCACCACTGGCAGATCCGGAACCAACATCCGACCCATGCCTCTCGCGCCTCGTCTCCCCACCCGACTGTTTCCGCTTTGGGCCAGTCCGTTTCTGCTCTAGCGCAATATGATCCACAATATTCGCGCGTACATGAAGCTGCTCACAGTATAACTCCAAGATCTCCAGAGCGGCAATGACGTTGTCATTTCCAATAACATCTTCGGTTTTTATACGGGCGAGATCATCCCGACCATCCTTCAGTAGCTTTGCGAGCTCGCGGTGTTTGGCTTTGGAGTAACCGTGGCGTTCTTTCTTCAGTTGGCGGATTCGATAGATAAGCGCACGGAGAGAGAAAATCAGTTCAGTCTAAGATCTGTTAGCCTGGCTGTGGTGGAGAAAGTGCTGTTTTCTCACTTGAGGGGGAGTCACTGTTTGGATGTGATGAGACTTTAATTGACCGGAGCAGAACATGGGGGATCCGGGGAACCTACCGTCTGCTTTGGTACAGGCATTGCCGCAGCGATATCATATCCAGTTGCGAGAAAATATTAAGCTTTCCTCCTGTTAGTACTCCCAAAGATGCATTTCTTGAGCATGTGGTTATCTCCATCGAGGCTGGAGCTTTGGTATCTTAGATGATCATTCGTTAGAACTACGGAGTAGGTTGTGCTGAAAATGTGGGTCGATATTAAGGGCTGGTGCGTGGAAACAGCGCTTGTTATCGCGCTTATCGATAAGCGAAACCATACTCCAAACGACTTTTAGCCAACCAACCCTTGAAGAGAAAAGATGACCCAGAAATATCAAAGAACATAGTGAATCAAGTTTCCTTCTGATGCCGTCCTAGAATCGGAAACACATTCTGGTGGCCAGCCCTTTTTGGACCTATCATCAATTCAGCATGTAGCGTGTAACTATTTGATCCCATTTCTTTCTAAACCTGATCAAAAATTATGACAAAGTTTAGCCAAATAGCAACAAAAAATCCGTGTCTGTCCATGTTCTCCACCAACGGCCCTGTAACCATTTGTCCGTACCATACCCTGAAGTCAACACCGTGAGCTCAAGCAGAAAAATCAAACTACAGAAAGTGCTGGCAAAAGGATATCCTTGTAATCAACTGCGCCGAAAATTAGTTAAACCCAAGGAAAGAACAAAGCAATGGCAGGAAAGGAACAAAGTCAGAAATAGTCATCAAGCTCATCTTCGTCGCTTTCTACAAGCCACGGGACACTCCCAACCAACATATCATAGAAAACAAACCCAGCGTCAATTAAGGCATCGGGGCCGTCGTCCTCCAGCGGAGACACAAGATCAGATGGAGTGCTACTTTCATAATCTTCCTCGACTCTAAGAGCCTCGAGCATTCGATCCAGTTCTCGGCGATGTTCACTCACGATAAATGCGCGACCTGTCCGTCTGCGAAGCGCTCTACGGATGGCCCTGGATCTCCTCTCATGATTTGCACGTTTCATTAAGGATATTTCCTTCTTGGAGAAGACGTAAGGAGCTTTAGTGATAGGATGGATGTGAGCAAAATGACATTCATTTCCAAAGAGACATTCTCCTGAAAACTTCGCCTGACGGTTGTCGCTGGCATTTGGATCCAAGTTTTCAATGGCTGGCAATTCGCGCCAACGTTGGATGCTCAGTTCAAAGTAGCGACAGGGAATTCCCTTCAGGCGGGCAAGGTATTTATCAATGATCTTAGCTTTGGCTTCGTTCTTTGGTCTAGTCTCACTACTAGACTCCCCAGTTTCTGTAGAACTCGTCGTGGCAATTTCGCTCCCTGAAGCAACATTTGATGCAGCAGTAGCTGCTGTGGGTGGAGTTGGGTAAACAGAACTAGGAACGACATATTCGCTCTTAACCCGACAGAGTGGACAAGTCTTGGTAGTTCTTTTTGGGACACGTGAATCGGTACGGTTGATCGCATCTTCAGCAGAATTCCCGACGGAAGAGCGCCAGCTGCGAATACAGTCTGGTCATATCAATAAGTTGAAGAGGAGCAACAAAGAAACTGAAGCAGATCGAATATCTACCTAAGCAAAAGATATGATCACAATTAACCAACAAGCCGAAGACGCTAGGAGTCTCCAAGCAAATTCCGCACTGTTCATCAGGGTTGTCTCGCCGAAGGCTAGTTGCAGTCGGATGAGGCTGTACTGCTCTTACATAGCCGGAAGCGGGGGTGTCTTTAGGTTTAGTCAACGCGTCAGTCTGTAGTTCTTCTAAGAAAGATACGCCATATCTCTATACAAAGTCACGGTTACATGCAAATCAAACAACCCACCTGTTATAGTTGTTTCGTTGCGGGAATTTCCTGCTGCTACACTGGCTGTGCGGCTCCCTGGCAATGCATCTACACCAGCCAGAGCGGCATCGTGGCGGAAAAAGCATTCACTGCCACGGAAACAGTTGCCCTTCTTCCACCATTTGCAGTCGACTTGGCATGGTGGAAGGCGTCGGCGAGTTTCAGGTGTGGTTTGTGGCTCGGATTCCATATTGGAACTGCTTGAGATATGCAAATTGAAAGGTGGGGGGGTAACGGATGCAAAAGTCGAGATGAAACTTGTCTTTGTGTCCATTGATTTGGCTGGGTGCAGTGGGTTCCATGATAAAAGCAGCGTGAGGTTTGGCTTTTGCCGATACAATGCGCTTATGTCATCAGCGGATGACCGTCCGACAGGACTCACCTTGTGATTGGCCAGCATGTGAAGCCCCGGATGAAGGAAGAACGTGGCACTCCCACAACAAGCCTCCTGCTGCTTTAAGGGAAATCTTAAATCAACTTCACCTTGACATTGCACAGATATTTTGCTCGCAGACAACATCACACTGAATGATACAAAGACAGAGAGCTGGATGTATTACAAAACTGCCCCTGGAGATAAAGCAGATGGGTGACTATATGAAACAGAGAATCAAATCAACTAACTGCTATTTTACTGTTAATTGGCCGCCACCTACAACTCCGTGTTCATCGTTTGAGGGGCTTGTCCCGTAACATCCCCCTCCCAGGTTTTGATGAGGTCTTGTGGCCGAGCTCAGTCAAGGCAGCCCGTAACGGGCAGAAACTTGATACTTTCTTGAATTATGCCGTGCCACGAACTTTAGCACTTTCGCTACTTTGATCACACCGAAACAGCCAAAGAATAATTGAGATTACTGGCTCGCGGCCAAGACACTCTGACCAATAACATTTTTGTCACATCTCTCGCAAAGGTTATATACAAGACCAGCAACTCCAACACACAGCGACCGGTTTGGAAGTTACTTGCGCTCCTGTCAATCGTCTGGGTGATTTACAATAACTATTTCCCGCGAGACCCTCAGGCCTAAAGTGGGGTCATATAAATGGGCATCTTCATTTAAGCCAACAGAGACTCCGGCGTCCGGATAGTATCACGAGGTTATGTTATTTTTTACTGATAAATCATCTAGTGAGTCGACTTGCGACCAAGTCCAAGTATATCGTCGCGGATTTACGATGTTTTGTACCCCTGGAACTCGTGCGCCGTCATCATCGTTGAAAAGTTCAAAAGGATCGAGAAGCTTGTGTCGCCATTTGACAAGAAATTTTAAATTTTGCGAGCAGATGCAGGTATGTATTTTGTCTAATACAGGCTTATTATTTATTCATTGCAAGTCGAACAAAAGGGTTGTTGGAAGGGATAAAAATAAGGCAAGGCAAAGATAAGGTTCCTTTTCGGAGTGCTGCCAGGGTATACCCGGACACAAGAAGCGAAGCTAGAATTTAACAGCTCAAAGTCTGTCACAATGGAAAACCAAGTCCATCAACCTCCGTCAAAGTATGCCGAGAATTTGAAATGTTAATTGAAAAACGCATCCGGTCCTCCCTATTCTCATGATGCAATACTTATGGTCCGCTTTTATATCCCAAACAGAGCTTTAACTTTAATACTTCTGCAAATGGTAACCGCAGACAGATACTACATCAGCCTTTTACTATCCAAATGTATAAAACACAGAGAAAACGTCCACGAGACAATATCCCAACAGGTAGAATTCAAATGAAATAAACCTAGAACTCATCTCACAATGGCATCCCTTCCTCAGGAGCGCAATCAGCGCCAGTCCTACAAGGCCTCCAAAACACTAGCTTGATTTAACCATTCTCGTCAGTCAACATGTCTTAACCATTAAAGAGTGCAAGATTGCTACGTCAAGGATGTGCGGTTCTGTATATACGTACAAATATGCCCATAACACTCTCCAGTTTCTCTTGACGAGGACTTTGTTGTTCAGGAGCTGCAAGTACGAGGCTCGCGAATGCCAAAATGAAAATCCAATGGCGGTCCATAGCGATTTTTTGTTTTATTTTTTGTTACCCTTCTACTTGTTGTGAATAGGGAAATAAGACAAATAGATGATAAAAGTGGATAAAGGGTAATATCCAAATTCAAGGACGTGAAAGCTTCTATCTCTATTCAAAAGAAATATCTTGACGGGAAGGATGTTGTTCTGGATCGTACGGGTGCATTTCCCTCATATATAGATTGTCGAGAAGCCCCTTACCGACTTTTCCCTTCGATATACGGGCACTTAGAAGGCGCAGGAGGGTCATTAGACTCAGTTTGTACTGCCATATTTGCACAAATTTAATATAAGTATATGGAAAAACCGTCCCGGGTACTGAATGAATAATTAATGCATTTTGGTTGAGAAAGAAATGACGAGCCCATTTTATCCAATAAATGGACAATCTAGAAAGAGAAATGCCATAGGCATACTGCAGCCACAGAAAGTGGATAGTTGGTCATCATACGTAATTTCCTACCACTATGGAACAGAGATGTCCAAAAGAAACGGTGAAATTGGAGCATTTTTGGCTCAGTCCTTTTGTCTTCTTCACGATCTGGTTTTCAGATGTCCAAGCATAACTGATCATCATGACGATCAGCAAATATTTCCAAAGATAATCACAGCAGCAACGAAAAATGTTGCCATATATTTATTCAAAATAGAAAGACACTCGCACAAGTTATAGTAACACAGCTATGGGCTTTCATCCAGAAAATTTGGTCACCTAGACTTGCGTCGGCGATCCGCAAAGTGTGTTTGTTCCATGAGTTTCATCTATTACTCTTGCAATATCAGTTTTCAACATTCCACACGCGCTTCGTAAATGAAAAGGAGAATTTCTTACCTCGATTCGACCAGCAAAGCAGTAACAGCACTAGGAAGGGATCCACTCCTTAAGTTCCTAGCCTCTTACAAAAGGATTCCGCACGAGTCTTCCATGCCTTCCGCAGGCTCGCTCAATGGAGCCAACATCGTCATTAACTTCCATTTGGGATCCGAATCATCAAACCATCGAATTGTTACTATTGATCGGAATACTTCTAATTCAGAGAAGGCTCTAGCTCCGTGTTTGAGTCCATGATGGGACTCAAAACTTACAAATAGAGGCTGTCTCCACCAAGTCACATTATTTTCGGGGGTTGAAATTCTCTGTGGAAACGGACGCCTTTAGGCCCATTTACCAAACGCATAGCAGCTTGAAAAGTCTCGCGATGTCAGTGTTTTCCCAATGTTGAAGTTATAGAGAGACAAATAAAACTGAAATTGAGGTTGGAACCTAGCAATTGAATTGATCGTCGTTGTGCACTATTTCTATGCACTGACCCAAATGGTTAATGGAAAGTTTCAAGGTTCCCAGAGATTCAGGGAAGCGGAGTTTGCACTGGAGCCAAAAATACACAGCCAAACATAGTATTGCGATTGAGTGTGTTCTCACATCTTGAAGGATTCACACAAAGCTAGTCAAAAATGTTAGTTAATTCCTAAGTTATCAAGTGCCCCAATTCTCCATGATGGTATCTATCCGTCTCTCTTCATTTTGCCCTTCATCTGCAACTACTGTGCCTCCAAACTCTTCCATCCCTCAAACACCCTTTCCCCCTCCCGGCCATCTTCGCCTTGGTCTCTCCAACCCCATGCCACACAATAATGACTCGCTAGCAACTTCCACTCTTCAATCTCGTCCAGCATCTCCAATCCAGCTACCCTCTCTTTCTCATCCTGCCCGATCCATCGCTCCCATATGAAATCCACATCCGCTGCTCCCTGACCACTAACAAATCCATGGTCGCGCAATCTGTCACGTTCAGCTGACAGAGACGCGTAGCGATGCAGTGTTTGCAAACGGATACCTCGCGTCGCGAGATTAGAGACCATGGTCCTCCCAAAGGGATCATCGGGTCGAATTGGCTCATAAAGGATGAGGCTTAGGGGTGCAGGCGAAAGTGTAGATGTGGATGTGGATGCGGGAGTTGGTGTGGACTTGGACAGAGTGGTAGAGGAGGAGGCGGGAGGCGGAAAGAGAGTCTGAGTAAAATACGAGAGGACATTATCTGCGTCGGTGGGTGAAAGATAGATCAAACAGCACTCTGATATGAGAAGTGTCGCGCGTGTTCTGTCCACGCCTTGCAGTACCGTTGGTGAGGTGGACGCGGATAGAGTCCGAAGGTCGATGGGATGGATGTGAAGGTATTTCGAATGCAAAGCGTCGCCATCAGCAGATATGTTCACATCCTCTGGCCCGTATATCTGAAGAGCATTGTGCAGGAGTGGAGAAGAGCGGATAGTTTTTATTTTGGCTGTGGTGTTGGCTGGGAAGTCTAGCTCATGGTATATGAGGTCTAGCGAGCGGTTTTGAGAGAGAAGGCGAAATACTCGCGTATCTGAGCCTGCGCCGAGTGATATTATTTGCCTCTTTCCATTGCGTTTCCCCTTTGTGTCTAAAAAGCTATTAACTAGGGAATCAATGGCAATAGTCCGTACGTAGGTTCCTGTGTAGAGGTCTTTCAGCACAAAATTACAATACAAACTCGAGACCACCAAGACCAAATATTTCCATAAAAGCTCAACTAGTAACACAATAGTTACCTCTGTTAATTATCGGATACCTCTTCGAACCCGTTCCTCCGCCGTTTGTAAAAGCCAGAGCAAACGCGTCATGGAGATACCCTAGCTCGACCGCGCTGAGCCTTGACAAACTGGCATCGTTGTCAGTCTGCTGAACGATCCTATCCTTTGCTGCCGTGCCGTCGGAGTGTCCAGCGGACGCTTCGTGGGTCCCACGTCCCCTAAAACGCCCTCTCCTGGCTCCCCGTCGAAGAGTGTTAAGGTTGGGGATTTGCGGAGCTGACATGGACGTTGTGGGAGGTATCTGGAGCATCTGGGTGGTTGCTCGGTGGTAAGTTAGATAGTTAACTATTCCCCGTTAGTCATGTTATCGCCATCCACGACCTTCCAGTAACTAACTAACACTGTTAAGCAAGACCGAGAAGGGAAGGGAAACACGATTCAAGGTTGGAGAAAGCAAACACAAACCAATTTAACTACAGCCCATTCGATCCGCCTGTTAGGATACTGCTGTACAGCACAGTATAAAGGAGTTGGCTCTCTAACGGAGCACTACAACTACTTGTGCGTACGTGGGAGCGAATTGATTATTCCATTACAATTGACTAGTTAACTATAGTTAATTATATGATAACTAATTAATGAAAGCTTCTCTCCGGAGAACGCAGTGAGGATAAGTAGTGTGTCCCAAATAGGACTAGCGTGGAATAGAAAGAGCCCCCTGCGCCCTCGCACTAATACTTATTTTCTCCCTGCGCTTCATAAATTATTCTTGACAAACCCGGCGATTAATTCCAACCGTTTGCAAAACCTCTCTATCCATGCTAATACCAAAATACCGACAATGTAGCACATGAAATTTCATGAGTAGGGAAAGTTATTCCGGCAAAGGGGACAGCTGCTTGCATTGCTGCTCTTAAACCAACGGAACAAACAATCGGAATGGAAAGTATTCTTGCATGTTGCACACCTCTTATTCGGCGTCTGCATGTTGGCTGAGATGACCGAATAACAGATCGCACATTCGCTCTGACCCTTCAGTGCACCTTGGACATTCTTGCGGAATGCAAGCAGGCCATCGATAAGACTGCCGTTGGAGAACATGATAACGCCTTGGATCGTTAGAAGCCAGCTTCTCCATTTCCTTTCGTCGACCGCTACACGGTTACGGCCTTCCACAACAGCTTGTTGTAACGGGTATGCAGGCGGAAGAGAAATTGCAATCGAAGTTGGGGGAGAATCTTCTTCCACGTCAATGCTTGCGACGATTTCGGCAGTTCTATGAGATACTTTCACCTGGAGCGGTTGCTCCTCAGTCGTAAAGTCTTGGGTCGAAACCCAATCGCTGACGCCAAGGAGCGAATCCTCAATAATAAGGGGTGATATCTAGAATCGAATTAGCTGGATTTATCAATATGTATACAGAATACCCAGAACTTACATGTTTTTCTGTCCATGCCTCAACCTGTCCTTTGACGCGCTTTTTGCTGTCAATCCACCAAGTTTTTGTTAAATTAGGTAGATACTTCAGACATAAGTAGTACAGGTGTATAAGCAGGTACTGCGTTTCCCTCTGAGCTGGCTCAGATTCATCAAGGCGAAAAGACCGACCATCAAGTTTCGATGCGTCAACCATCTTTCCATGCGGATGCTGCAGGAAATCAAACATAAAGTCGAGAAGTGGGTTCAAACAGTCGTTTTCTTTAATATTAGCCACGTAGCTCTCTCGGACGGATGACGACTAAAAAACGGATCAGCCTTTTTCAGGTCATGGAGCTTTCATTAGGGTCGGCTTACGGCGTTATTTAAATGATCGAAAACAGTCTTCCAGCTTAACAGGTAACATCGAATCCCAATCCATACATTGTCATTGACTATTATCCCACTTAAAACATCCATTGTAGGGGCCTCCAAGAGGAGGGAAATCAATTCATCTGGGAGACTGGCGACAGAATGAGACAATGCAACGTCCAAGATCACAGCCTCCTGCAATTTCGGGATCGCCCGATGTAGAATATCGTAGGCAGCACGCTGGATGCCTCTATTAGGAGCCGAGAGAATGGGGAAAAGGTCGTTGATGTCTTCGACATGGTCGATGGGTAGACCTGAGATTTGTCGAGAAAGGATATTTGCCGTAATGTTGAGGGGCTGATCGTAGTTCAACGAGGAATCTATACGTAATGTTAATATAAATAAAAAACTTGAAAGAACAAGAAATCTCACCAAACTCCGCGAGCAATTTGATTAATGCTGGTGAATGAGTTTTCAGGGAGGCGATCCAAGCTTCTACCAATTCATCGTTGCTTTTGCTTGTCGCTAGCAACTTTAAGCAGGCAAAAAGCCTTAGCGAAGAGTGTAAAACAGGAAGGGATTCGTCGACTATTTCAATCTCGTCCCACACAACCCCTAGAAACTCAAGTATACTCGACCAGTGAGAGCCGTATATATCCTTTATCAACGGCAAAATATTAACGAGCAATTTGAGTATTTCCGAATCCAGACTTTGTAATCGGGGTTCTGAGTCCAAGTAATTGACCAAGTGTTTTACCAGAAACACAAGCCTGGGTTTCGGCATGTTCCGTGAAATATTATTTTCATCTTGAAGAAGAAGGTTGAGGGTTACGATTTTTCGAAGACCTGAATTAACATTAACAATCTATAATTACTATATGAAACAGTGGACCTTACCTTCAAGTGGGTTCTCAAGTTTAAATCCAGTGACTTCAGAAATTAATTCATTGCACAATCGAATACCTGATGGAGTGGTTGCTATGGAATTTTTGAACGCGGCTACCACTGAAGGTAAAACAAATGGGTTTGAAGATCCGTCCATTTGTTTTGCCAGTTGGAGATAAGATTCGGCAGATTGGACCGTTTTTAATGAGTCACTTTCCGTGATAACTTTGGCGAATGTTTCCGCTAGGTTGTATGACTTTGGGGAATCGCCTTGCAGCAATTTGAACTTCTGTTCCCAGAGAACAAAAATATTGGGTGCACTGGATTCCTCTTGGTCCATCGTAAACGTTGCAGACTGAATCCAGTCCTTAACTATAAGGCGAGCTTCTGAAACTAGATCTGCACATTCATCCCGAATGTCTGATACATCAAGGTCGAGTAAGCCCTTTGAACCCTCCAAGCTCACGTCATCATCAACTAATTGGACCGCAAGAGGAAAATAGAAAAACAATACTTCGCGGAGGTCTTGCTCCACATACTCCACACCGGTTGATGAAAGTACTTTTGTAACGTAGAATGTAAGTCGGAAAGCAGAAGAGAAGTGGTAGACGTCAAAAGGAACCGAATTAAGTTCATCTAAAAGGCCGCGAGGCAAATAGTTATCCGCCAAAAATACTGCCCCTGCAAGCGCATTGATTATAGACGCAGACGTCCTCAAGGGTTTTCGAAGGAATGGATCCAACGCTAGATTCCATTGATCTCGAGTGGGCAATAAACGGGATAATATTCGCGGCTTGTCTTCAATAGGCGTCTTTGAAAGGACCTCCTCCGCAATACTAACCAAGGCGTCAATGCTAAATGACGTAGTTAGTAAGGAAATTTTCTCCCCAAACTCGATGGGCTTACTTACGACAATGATTCCTTCCCCACGTTACTAAAATTCTGCTGGACAATTTCGACAGACGACCGGGTGCCACTCTCTCCGTTTATTATATCCTTGATATGTTTCTGTAGGGAGTCGGCAAGTTTAGAAGCTTCGTCCGTTGAGGACTCTGCAATATACAATATCCTAGAGACCAGTCGCGAGCCATCTTGACTGTTTACAAACGATCCAATAACCTCTGGACTCTCCAAGGATATCTGAAAGAGGCCATAAAGGCCTTCCCGAATATTGCTATCGGAAGACAGGCTATCAATGAGTGAATTTAAAATCCGATAAGCGATTCCACTCTGTAGGGCTCGGTTATTCGTCAAAATAACAATGTCCATCCAGGCTTCTCGTGTAGTATTCAATGCTCTGTTTAAATCTTTCATGATTAAGAGTTCCATATTTGGGTGTGCTTCAACATCTGGGAGAGTAATGCAGGAGAATAGTTTTTGGAGTCCAGGGAACGTTGAATTTCCAAGGTCTGCCTCGAGGAACGTATCAATGACATTTTTAATGCCATCGTCAAACCCTTGTCTGCCACGACACCCAAATAAGGTGGAAACAAGGCGATTCGCTGAGGGCGAAAACAAAAGTTTAGGGACATCTTCGCTGAGAAACGCTCCCAGTTCTTCAACTTGAGCGGCTATTTGAGGGACTCTGGCAATGGCTTCATCAATCATCGCAGCGGCACCGTATGGTTTTCCATTTCGATGCCTCAAAAGCTCCAACGAAGCTTGTAGCAATGGCATGTTTGTGTCTTGGAAAATGTTCGAGACGAATGATAGATGGGCGCGGTCGGATACCCGAGCTAACACCTGCGCTTCCAAATCAAAAAAGCGAGATGCTTGAGCACAGATTGAATCTTGGGACTCTTTGAACCCGCTAGACCTTTCAGGAGACGATAATTTGATAGCTTGGATTACTCTCTCGGAGAGATTTATCCAGAGATCGCGGAGAACTTCCGTGCCAGTTTGTTCAGCCAGCGCATCAAACGACTTTACACATAAATCCGGACCAAATTCCCCTTGCAGCGTCCATTGGCTTTTATCAGGCTGAGCAATTATGTACTGTTCCAAAAGAGGTGAAATCTGAGTTTGAAGGAATCTGTGGCGTGTTGTTTTATCCGAGATAAATGATGACATCCACAAAGTTGTGTCGATAAAGCATGACCAGGCAGCACCAAGATTACCTCTTTGTTCTTCACGACTTAGAATAGAGTCGTGGATAGCTTCTACTAAACGGCTTGCATCTTGCACCGTGCTATCGTCACTCACAGGCTTCGTTATTAAGACTTCGGAGGGGATAGACTTTAAAATAAGGTGTAGGTTTTGCCAATAAGCAACATCAGCCCCTTCGGATCCCTTTCTAATATACTGATAAAGTCGTTTTACAGCGGAGGTTTTGCCAGAATAGTCAGCTGTCCATATCTGCGAGTGTTCCGTGGTCAAGCTTAACAGGATATTGGAGAAGTCAAAGGCAGACCCTAGTTGACTTTTCGGGAGTGCTTTCGAGAGAAAACAAGTGCTGATTGTTTTCCAATCGATTAAATTTCTCTCCATAGAAAGCAAAGTACGGAGAAGCTCGTATGTAGATCGGCGGACAAAAGGATCCTCATGGCATGAGAACAGCCAAAGCGATTTGCTGCCGATAAGAGTTGTTATAGAATCGGAGTCCTTTTCAAGTTGAACGGTAGTAGATCTAGCTGTTACATATTCAGTTCTACCATTTGTGCAAGGTCAAAAGCAAAATTCCAACTCACCTAATAGTTGGTTGAGCACACGTAAAGCTGTGGCGACGACTCGGGCATGCTTTGCTTCGGCCTCATCGGGTCTAACTGTACGCTCATCACTCAGGGTCTGAGGGGTTTGTTCTAGAACGGCATCTATAACAAACGCGAAAATTGAAGATTGGTAGATCTTCCACAGGCTTTGTCTTTTTTCTTCAGTTGGGAAGGCTCTGATAATGGACTCTTGAGCCGCTTTGGATGCCAATTTATCACTATCGTAGAGACCGGCAAGCCATGCACCAACTACCTTTGGGATAAAAGGAGCTATCCTCCTCCCCGATAACGACACAATGCGACCTTGAAGGATATGGGCTAGTTGTCGAACCCTGCGAGAAATATCTATTGACATACGTGGATATATTTTCATCTAGTCACAAGAAAGTCTATCATTACTACATGGTCAACTGTTTCCAATAGGAAAGAAAACATACCCAAGCTTCTATGAGACCATCTTCTAAACTACCACTCTCAGTACCTTGCGCACGTAGGAATTCATGTAATTCCTCCAGCGCCTTCGTCTTTGTGGTAGTATCCCTCTTCAGAAGATTTTTGAATGAAACTACCACTTGCGACTGAGAAATTTTGGAGAGATCTGGCGGCTCCGCGACGTATGACAAAGAGAAAAGAGATAAGCTTCCTGGGGATGCAAAATTGTTTGAAAATCCTCCAAATGCGCCCACAGAGCTCCCAAATACCCCAGACGCAGCCCTGCTGCTCGATGCTTGGGACTTGGCTTTTTTACTCATGATGCTGGTTAGGCTGGTAGACAGGGACGTAGCGAGTGAAGAATATTTCAAAATATACAACCCCACACCCTATCTAAAGAATAGAATAGAAAGCCATGGATTCAAAGGAGCGTGTGACTCCATCTGCAACAGGGATGATAAACGAAATCAGCCTCTTTATCATTGGCAGTATCAACATCTGCGCCCGGAGTTCGTTGTTCGTTGCCTTGCCGTCTTGGTCTTGGGCTCTTTGCCTCTCAAATATAATTCCTAATCTGTGAGCTGGCTGAAGTCCCGTGACCTGGCGTCGCACTAGTTAACCATTCTCCGGATTTGTAACGCGTTTGAGCCTGGTCCGCTGTCACCGTATCCTGTTGTTGCTATCTCTCATCGGGCGCCAGGGAGGTGGTCATTTTGAAGGGGAAAAGCCTCCTGCGCTCAATATGAAGTTCTTTATTGAGTATGATGGTCAAATTGCCCTATTTGTGAAACCCGGGAATTTGTCCAAGACCGCTAACTCAAATTTTGTGGTAGTGACCTGCCTGTTCTATTCCCATACCCTCGCATATATCCTGAACAATATGCGTACATGTGCGATCTCAAAAAGACGCTGGATACCGGTGGGCACTGCGTTCTGGAGATGCCGTCAGGCACTGGCAAAACTGTCTCACTTCTTTCCTTGATTATTGCATACCAGCAGCATAAACCCGAGCAACGAAAACTCATATATTGCTCTCGAACAATGTCCGAGATCGAAAAGGCTTTGGCAGAGTTAAAAGCTCTTATGAAATATCGTGCTCAGCAGCTGGGATATACTGAAGACTTTCGAGGTCTTGGTCTTACAAGTCGAAAGAATTTATGTCTTCATCCCTCTGTGAAACGAGAGAAGAGCGGAACGATTGTAGACGCTCGATGCCGAAGCTTGACAGCAGGCTTTGTAAAAGAGAAGAAGGAAAGGGGAGAGGATGTTGAGTTGTGTATATATCATGAGGTTTGTTACTCCTCACCATAATTTTATCTATGCTCACCCTTCTAGAATCTTGATCTGCTTGAACCAAGTAATCTTGTCCCGCCTGGCGTTTTTACACTTGACGATATGATTAAATACGGAGAACAACATAAGCAGTGCCCCTATTTCTCCGTCCGTCGCATGGTATGATCACTTCAGCATATTTATATGGAGTGCGGGGTTTGCTAACTTCCCACAGATGCCGTTTTGTAACGTCATTATATACTCCTATCACTATCTTCTCGACCCAAAGATCGCCGAAAGAGTTTCGCAAGAGTTGTCAAAAGACAGCATCGTTGTCTTCGATGAAGCCCATAATATTGACAACGTCTGTATCGAATCTCTGAGTATTGATTTGACAGAAGATTCGTTACGAAAAGCTAGTCGTGGGGCAAACAACCTTGAACGTAGAATTGATGAAATGAAGAGCTCGGATGCAGAGAAGCTACAGAACGAATACCAGAAGTTAGTTGAAGGCCTGAGGGAAGCTGATGAAGCTCGTCAAGAAGAACAACTCATGGCCAATCCTGCACTACCCGACGACCTTCTGAAAGAAGCCGTTCCGGGAAATATTCGCAGAGCAGAACACTTTGTAGCTTTTCTAAAACGATTTATCGAGTATTTAAAAACTCGAATGAAAGTCACCCATACCATATCCGAAACACCTCCCTCTTTTTTGGCTCACTTGAAGGATTTGACCTTCATTGAGAGAAAACCTCTACGATTTTGTGCGGAACGTCTGACGTCTCTCGTCCGGACACTGGAACTTATGAACCTTGAAGACTACCAGCCCCTCCAGCAGGTTGCTGCGTTTGCTACTCTGGCAGCTACATATGAGAAGGGCTTTCTTCTTATCCTTGAACCCTTCGAATCGGATACAGCAACCGTTCCAAACCCTATACTCCATTTTACATGTCTGGATGCTGCCATCGCCATAAAGCCAGTTTTTGACAGGTTTAGCTCCGTCATCATCACTTCCGGAACACTTTCTCCCCTGGAAATGTATCCTAAGATGCTTGGCTTCACAACCGTGCTACAAGAGTCGTACAGCATGACGCTTGCTCGCCGGTCATTTCTTCCAATGATCGTTACACGTGGATCTGATCAAGCACAGATATCCTCCTCATTTCAAATTCGGAATGACCCAGGTGTAGTACGAAACTATGGAAACTTGTTACTCGAATTTTCTCGTATAACGCCAGATGGAATTGTCGTCTTTTTCCCGTCCTATCTCTATATGGAATCTATTATCAGCATGTGGCAAGGTATGGGTATATTGGATTCTATATGGAATTACAAGTTAATTTTAGTGGAAACTCCCGATTCCCAGGAATCTTCCCTTGCCCTCGAAACCTACCGAACTGCATGCTGCAATGGTCGAGGCGCAATTCTACTTTGTGTGGCACGTGGTAAAGTTTCTGAAGGAATCGATTTTGATCATCACTATGGTCGCACGGTAATTTGTATTGGAGTACCTTTCCAGTATACCGAATCTCGCATCCTCAAAGCTCGATTGGAATTTTTACGTGAGAATTACCGGATTCGTGAAAACGATTTTCTTTCCTTCGATGCCATGCGCCATGCTGCGCAGTGTCTTGGACGGGTCCTTCGTGGCAAGGACGACTATGGAGTCATGGTGCTCGCGGATCGCCGTTTTCAAAAGAAGCGTGCACAGCTCCCCAAATGGATAAGCCAGGCGATGCTCGAAAGTGAGACGAATTTGAGTACTGATATGGCGATGGCAACAGCGAAGAGCTTCCTCAGGACTATGGCACAGCCGTTCAAGTCAAAAGATCAGGAAGGGATTTCGACTTGGAGTATAGCTGATCTCGAGCGCCATGTGAAGAAACAAAGGGAGGAGGAAAGCAAACGATACAGTGAAGCGATAGCCAATAACCTGGAAGAGGTGACCAACGGAAATCAAAATCGTAATGGAAGAGTAATCGCGATGGATGAATTCGACGAAAATGTTGATGAAGAACTTATGATGCTTGATGCGTGACGTGAATTGGATTTGTTTTACTTATCTTTTTATCTTTTCTTTTCTTTCTTTCTTTCTTTCTTTTTTTTTTGTGTGAGTGTGTGTGCATGTGTGTTAATTACATCATCGTCATGGGTTTAAAGGTCAAGGACAGCATTAGTGGGAGATACCATCGGGTTTTGTTGGCGTTATATTGGAATCTAGGTGGGGAGGTCCGAAATACTTGTATTATTTGAATTACGTCCACTTTATGTCTAAATATTTTTAAATAAATCTTAGAATATTCGGCTCTGCTAGTATAAGTGTGCAGATTCTCGTAGAACTTTTCCTTGCCAAATATATCACGCAATCAAAATCAACCTCAGAAACACACCATATGCGCTAACAAAGAATACAGGACCTATTTCAAATTTCCAGACAATTACATTGTATAATAACTAACGAGGGCTTGCATCGCAACGGTCTTAAGTAGCCACTTTCAGCCAACAGGGGCAAGTACATCAAAGGCACCAGTGCCAACAGTTCCAACACGTCCCATGACAATCCTACCACTGGGGCCATTGAGGTTATCCCAATCCCTCTCAAGCACCGCATCTCTCAAAAATCCAACAGTAGTTTCGAAACTCATCTTCATCAACGGCGAGGTGTTATCCTTAACCAGTCCCATGCGGTTAAATGCGCGGAAGCCACCAGCGTGAGTCATAACATCACCAATAAGATTCAAATGCCGGTTATCGACTGAGATACTATGGCTGTCGAAAACTGTAGCCATTTCACGAATGATAGATGCACGTGCAGCCTCGACTCCGTACCAGACTAGCATGTCGGCGATTGAATTGGTGTATAGAGTGTGAGGGTTGACAATATGTTGGTACTCTCGCATGGCTAACAAATTGACGCCGTCGGTGATGACGTGGGCTGGATTATCTTTGTCGCTCTCGACGTAAGTACAGATCCCAAGCCTGGGGATATTCTGAATCAAAGAAGTTCTAGCAGCGTCTTCGACGAGTGGAAGGAGCAGAAGCTTGGGTATTGAGATATCGTACTGTAGCTGAATGTGGCAGGATTTACCATTCTTTAGGCTGAATTTGAACTTGGTAACTTCAGTATACTTGCCGATGACAGTGTTCTCGCTCTCTTTGCTTTTTTGAATCTTTTCTAAGTCGGAGTCGCCATCTGTGCCTTCCATGTCAACCTCTTCCCGGGAAGCTGCAGCACCCTGGCGGTCCCCGTCGGTCTCATCATCAGAATCCAACTCCTGGGTATCCTGTCCACGGATAATGTCTTCCTCTCCTTCGTCGGGGGCTTCATAAGAAACTTGATTCGACCGATTCATGTGTGCCATAGCTCTTTTCGCATCGTCCTGGTCCTCCGAATCATCGTCGTCATTAGTATCTGCGTCAGCGTCTCTAGCTTCACGCCCAAAGCGTCTCATAGGCTCTTCCATAACTCTAGCGGAGACACCAATGTCAGGTTGAGCAGCGGAGAAGGTTGATAGAGATTTCTCAACTGTCCGTCTCTTCAACTCTGCCCGTGTTAATTTAACAAGACGAGGCACAAAGGTATTCTGAAGTGTCTTAAGAATGTCTTCAATTTGGATGGCATATTCTTCAGTGTACTCTTCAGGAGGAAAGAAATCTATTTCCAAATCATAGATCTTTGCCTTAGCACGTCCTGATCCAGACGAGATGCGCTCATGGACTCTGAGAGAGTCAACAACTTCGGCAAGAGACAGCCTACTGATCCCTTTGGCGAACATTCTTCTATCCCGTTCCGAAAGACTCCGATGAAAGATAGCAGTCATTGTTGGTGTAAGGATTTGACTACTCGCCGTCATAACAATTTCACGCAGCCGGGGAATACCAAGTGTCACATTTTTTGTCGAGTGCCCGGCCAGATGGAAAGTGTTGAGCGTCATCTGGGTAGACGGCTCACCAATAGACTGTCCAGCAACAATGCCAACGGATTCACCCGGTTCCACGACCGATCTCATATATTTCATATTCATCACTTTGGCGAAGCTACCTTTGGAGATCCCATCCTCAACCTTACCCTTCTCCCTCAGTTGCTTATCGGGGTTTTCTTTTTGATACTAGTAATGGTACATGTCAGCCTATGAGATTCAAATTAAACCGTTGTACGATTGATTATTTACCTTTCTCAACGCCATCGCGAAGGTTTCTGAGGTACTGCCGTAGCAAGATCCAGGAGCGAAGAGGGACAGTGCAGGGTCTACACAGTCCAATTTGCGAGTCTTTCTAAATTTTTTGACGGCATTTCGATTCCATTCTGCTGCAGCATCACTACCGATTCTAGTGAACTCGTCAGAACCATTGAGCTCTTCGAGGACAGTCCAATAGTTCTGAGCCAAAAACGAGAAATCCTGCAGATGTTTCTGCTTGGTAATTTCAAGACCATCTTCGCCGTAAAGAAACTGGATAACCGATCCATCTGTGGTTTCCCGTACAGAGTTGTCGTATTCTGCCTTCAATCCTTCCATTCCCTTAATCAAGCACCGCTGGAGATATCCGGACCTTGATGTCTTAACAGCAGTATCGATAAGGCCTTCTCTACCAGCCATGGCGTGGAAATAATACTCCTGGGGTTTTATTCCTGTCAGGAAGCGACCAGAAATGTAACCTCCAGCCATGAGACTAGTCTCAAACGGTTTGAAAGATGGCAAAGTTTTCCCGCTGATCATCACAGGCACCCTGCGGCCTTCCAGAATCTGCTGGCCTAAATTGCAAGAAATTAGATTTGCATTGACCACGGTTCCCTTAGCTCCAGATGTTGTCATGGCTTGCATTTGGTTCCACGGGAACGGCTTCTCAAGCCCAAGCGGAAGGCAAGCAGCAGAAATCTCAGAAGAGACAGTGGCCGCTTGTGAGCTGTAAACAGCGTCTAATCCAGCTTGCTTCTCATCATCACGGAGCGCATCTTCCAGGCGTCGTTTAAGTTCGGCCTCTTCATCATCGACCGGATTTATATCCAGGGTAACATATTTCAATGCAATTTGACGACCTAAGCTTTCGGCTTCTTGCAGTATCATTTTCCGATCCTCGTCTCCTTTCTTGGTTAGGCGAAGATCATCCATACCGCAGGTGAAAGCTCGCATGTGTAAAAATTTCGTCAATAAACGACCTATGATACCTATCAATTTCCCGGCAACAACGTGCCCATAAAGCTCGTGAACGGAATGGATGAGGCCGCTTGGGCTTGGACCAAGTTGAGCCTTGTCGAGGATACCACAGAGAAGCTCGCCATCTTGAAAAATAACTTGCCCTTCCTCTGAACCCTTTCCCCAGCAATCTCCTCGAGTGGAAGATTTCCCCGTCAGATTCAACCCGTGGAATTTTATTGGTGTAATATTCAGCATGATCGTGGAAATGACTTGCTTTCCGGTCCAAAGCTTCTGTGGTCGTTGAATTGCCGGTTCCAAAAGCACAATCTTGTCTATAATGGTGTGGGAGTTCTCAGGTCGCAAGCAACTGTATAAGAGTTGATGGTAGTCTTCTTTATCAAAAAATGTATCGCGACTTGTAAACCATACTCCCATTGAAATATGATCCTGGATCAAACCTCTAAGTGGTTTTCCAGAGGTTGCTGACAGGTATTGATGATCAGTATCGGCTAGTTGCATCGCCTCCGCTCTTGCGATTTCATTCTGTGGGAAGTGCAAGTTCATCTCGTCACCGTCGAAATCCGCGTTATAGGTGTTACAGTTTGCATAATGCATCCTGATTGTTCTCTCACCGGTAAGTACTCGCGCACGATGGCCCATTATAGAAGGTTTGTGGAGGGTTGGTTGCCGATTCATAAGAACAATATCACCAGTGGTCAAATGCCGATAGACCTTTTTGTTTCTTGATCGTTTTATCTTGAAGTTTGACGGAGAGAGCAACATATTTGCGATGGCTATTCGTTCATCAACACCTTTAAATTTCAGACTCACTACCTGACCGATCTCGTTCTCAACAGCAGCAGCGCCAGGGTAGATGTCAGGACCATTTATCACAGCTTGTTTGAGTTCCCTATAATTATGATTTGTAACAGGTTCCGGATAGGTGAGTTTTTTCGCAAAAACAAGAGGAACTCCGATTTCATTTGTTTCAATATTAGGGTCGGGAGATATAACGCTTCTTGCAGCAAAGTTGACTCGTTTTCCCATCATGTTTTTTCGAAACAATCCATCTTTCTTTTCTAACCTCTGTTTGATACCGTCCTCATTTTGCATGGCCGCGGCGCCTTGGTTCGGGTTTTTATCGCGATCGATAAGGCTGTTTACCGCATCCTGGAGCTGTACAATTGTCTGAAGGAGATCCCTGTAATCTCGTAGCCTGGTGGCTGACTCAGTGCTATCGCCCTGTCGTTCTCTGCTGATTTGATTTATTTGGTCGCAGAGTTTGAGAATCCTAGTGAATGAAGTGTTCTGTTGCGCCTCGATGATATCGCTTGATCCACTAGCCGCTAATGGTCGATATTTGTTTGGTGGCACAAGAATGGTCTTGATGAAGAATAGATCCGGACTGACCCGTGGGCGATGCCTTGATCTCGGGCGTGAGTCGTAAACCAGATTCAAAACTTCTTGTTCCCTTTCAAAAAGTAGTCGTAGCGATGCATACACTTCTGGGGATGGCATGAATTGCTGCGCACCCTGGTCACTAGGCTTGTTTCGAGATCCCCTCTCTTCAACCTGTGCCAACACAGCATTGCCCATAGTGATCTGCTGTTCTGCACCATGCGAATCTGTAGAAATGCTGGCATTATCATCATCTGGGAAGCCATTCATGTAAGAATTGCCGTGCTTTTTGGACAGGTCATTTGCTTCCTTCATGAGCAATAACGGATTAGGGATATGAAATCCGGCTTCAGTCATAGCAATTTTGGCCTTCTGTGGCAATGGCATTTTAAATATCTTCGAGTACTTGTCTCTGCGAAACGGAGGCGAAATGCTAAATACATGGATTAGCTAAGAGAATGACTGCCAGAACATCATTACTTACCCGCTGCAAGAAGCACATTTCTTGACAGCTGTGATATCCTTAAGAAACGCCCTCACAATATCCCTCCGCCGTTCCATAGCAACGGGATTCTTCACGCCATACAAAAAGTTCTGATCTTTGTTTCTCATTTTCACGTTGTAGACACACCGTTTAACATATGCATCCCGACGTCTGATAAAATCCTCCTCGTCTTCGTCCTCGCTATCTTCCGATCCCGATCCGGGGTTGCCTTTACCTCGAGACCCCATGCCATCAATAGCCGCAGCTTCCTCAATCAAGCCATATTGTAGAAGTCGCATTTTGCAAGCATAAGACTTGACATCAACTCTAGACATCCGAAACCGATGGCAATAGACACATTGAGCTCTAAGAAGGCGAAAGAGTTGATCAAAGAAAGTAACGTTGTAGACATGAACAGGGAGTTCTATATGTCCGGAATGGCCATTGCAGGACCATGAATTTAGTCGGCATGTTGTACATCTAAAAGCTTTCAGTCAGCAACCTAACACAGGAGAGCATGAGGAAAAGAAAAGGAAAACGGAGCAATTGCATACATATGGTCTCCCCAAGCTCCAAGAGCTGGGTCATACAATCCTCCAGGCACAGGATTATTCAGTGAATCGAGAGCAGGAGTGTTGTAGATCCGCTTAATAGAAATTGTTTTAATCTCCTCATCGGAGAGCACTCCGAAATCAATCTCCCCAATCGACGAACAAACGGGCCGCGCAAAACTTGACATCTCCTGACAGTATTTCTGAGACTGGAATTGCTTGGCAGTCAACTGTTGAGCAGTATAAGGAGTTGAATGCGTCAACCGTTGAAGATGTGCTTGCTACTGCTACGTCTTAGCGAATTAATTTTGAGACGCACTTTTTCTGCCGCGTCTGACCGCTTTTAACCTCACTTGTTCCGGCCAACATCACAATCTCAGCCTCCTCCACCACTCCGAGCAACTGTGCAACATCAGCTACTCTCTCACACATCTAATAAGGGTCCCCTGTTGTTCCCGCGCGTCGATAAATCCCTTTTGGTGAGTGGGTTTACCCAGTATTTTAGCCATGGCGGACGCTGGCAATGTGCTGAAGCGACCGCATCCCGAAAACGATGAAAGTAATCTGCAGAAACGATCGCGCTCCAACAATGGCTCCCCTATGCCCGGTAACGGCAGCAAAGGGGGCATTAGCAAGGAAGAAATTGATAGGATGGTGGCTGAGGCGTGTGCAAAGGCAGAGGCTGCTCGAGCAAAAATGCAAGCCAAGAGAGGAGGAGGCACTCCCATAGCAGCGACACAGTCAGCTTCACCGACGACTTCGTCATCTGGCGTAGTTAGCCCAGCGCTTTCGAGACTGGAGCAAATGAAAGCAAGGGTAGCAGCAGCTACGGGAAGGGTAAATTCTACAGCCCAACAACGAACGCCTACTCCGTCTACATTTATGCCTCCAGTTCTTGATGATGGGTTATCCCGGGCAAAAGGTGGTTTAGACGTTGGTCTGCATCCCGCCCTACTAGGTGACACTACTCAAGATTCGAAATCGTCGAAAGGCAAACAAGCAATGCAGCCTAAGTTTGCGACTACCATGGCAAATCGTCGAACAGAGTCGCCGGTCCCTTCATTCAAGTCTGGCAAACAAAAAGCACAACTCGACCTGACCGCGCCCTCACTAGAAGAAACGAAGAACAACCCATATTTTGATCCCAACCTTGGCGCGAAAAGTGCTATAGCGAGACCTCGTCAGTCACGTCAGTTAGTATTTAATCAAAAAGGGAAATATATTCAACAAGCAGCAGCGCTTCGACGTCTAGCTCAGCTCGAGATTATGAAAAAGAAAATTGCCGAACGCGCACGCCAAGCGGGTGTAGACGAAGACTTGGATGCCGAGAAAGCATTTTTGGTTCCTGCTCCTCCCGCGATCGAATGGTGGGATGAAGGTTTGGTCAATGGTTCGGATTATTCAGTTATTGATGATCCACAAAACCTCAAAGTTGATACTCCAGACACCGTAATCTCTATATATATTCAACACCCAGTACTCCTCGACCCACCACAGGATAAAAACATTCCAGCACCAAAGCCAATGTTCCTTACGGCAAAAGAGCAAGCCAAAATCCGTCGACAGCGACGGATGGCAGACCTTAAAGAGCAACAAGCCAAAATTAGACTGGGACTAGAGCCAGCTCCACCACCAAAGGTCAAAAAATCCAATCTTATGCGTGTTCTAGGTGAAGAAGCTGTCAAGGATCCAACCGCCGTCGAAGCTCGCGTCAATCGGGAAATCGCCGAACGATTTGACAAACACGTGTCAGCCAACGAGGCGCGCAAGCTGACGAAGGAACAACGGCATGAGAAACTCGCCACACAACAGGTTCATGACGCAGCAAAGGGTATATATATGTCGGTGTATAAAATAGACAGTCTTGCCAACGGCCGACACCGGTTTAAAGTCAGTAAAAACGCAGAACAACAGAACCTCTCAGGAGTGTGCATTATGCATCCAAAGTTCAACCTCGTGATTGTCGAGGGCGGCCATCATTCTATCACTGCCTACAAGAAGCTCATGCTAAATCGCATTGACTGGTCTGAAAATACACATCCAAACAACGATCGTGAAGCGCTGGCTTCGTGGCTTGCTGCGGAGGATGAGAAAACGGGGGAACTGAAGGATTTGAGCCAAAACACCTGTACGCTAGTTTGGGAAGGGGAAGAAAAAACTCGAGCATTTAGAAAGTGGCTCGGGGCGCGTGTGTGTGAAACAGACGCTGCTGCGAAAGATGCATTAACGCGGGTTAAACTAGAGAACTTTTGGACATTGGCGAAGAGTCTGAAAGCTGGGACAACATGATGATTCTAGGATCCTTTTTTCATTATAATTTTTTTCCAAGACATGGAAGCTTTTGAGCAGCTTTGCGGTACCATGGTCTTCAGATTTCAGACAGGAGCTCTCGAGCTCGCCCAAGCCAACATTCTACAACCTCAGAAATGGTTAAAATAATGAAAACATGTTAGTATTTCAAGTGTGGACACAGCGGAATATTCATTGCTAAAACCAACCAGTCGTCTCCTACAGCAACGATTGTTATATACGTAGGTCATAGCAGAATCAATGAAGCCATCAATCAACCTACAATTTAAGCAAAATAAAATCAACCATCGCTTTTTGTTCCATAACCCAAATTTTGAAAAACCCCCGTAAATCCCAAATGTAGAGAATTGAATGCGCTTGTATCCTGACATTCCATCAAACAAAGGAACCAAGCAGAGCAGGAAGAAACAATCCAGGGCCAAAAAAATGGGCAAAACCTCTCCCCCGAGCATGAATATCCAATCTTCCCCCAAGATAAATCCTAATATTAACCACAATTAAGTGTGGATGGAACAACATAGATGGAATGAATGTATACCATACATTAAAGAATTCTATACAAGGAAAGATTCAGTAAAGCACGTGAGTTACGTAGTTTCGGATATGTAGAAGAGGTATTCAAATCTCACGAGAGAAGGAGATGGAAAGTTTGCGTTTCAGTATGCCCATCATTCAAGAGCCACCCGTTCTCAACCTCCTTAACAGATCCAACTGAGCCTGTGCGGCAGCAAAGGTGTCAGCTGAGGATTGATTTGAGGATGCTTGAGTTGAGTATGCACCTTGTTGGGTTGGTGGTTGATTTTGCTGCTGCTGCTGGAAATTGGGGAAGAAGGCCGGGTTTATATGGGAACCTGGTGGTGGAAGGGATGAGGTTTGGGCTTGTTGGGAAGACTGGAATGAAAGCGATTGCTGAGCTGGCGGAGAGTGGAAAGGGAAAAATGCTTGGTTGGTGTTGTACATCTGAGGAGTATGGTTTGGTTGTTGGTATTGATAAGGGGGGTAGAAGGGTAGATTGTAGGGAGATTGCTGCTGGTAGGGATTCTGCGATTGATGTGAAGTTTGTGGAGGATGGAACTCGGCAGATTGCGGAGGGTAGTTACTTTGCGAGGGTTCTTGTTGCAGTTGTTTCTCTGACTGCGGTTGTGGCCGCGACTGTTGTTGAAGGCGATCATCTCTGTGCTTCTGGTGGCCGCCGCCTCTCCCGCGTCCTCGCCCTCCACGATCAACCCCTCTGCCTCCGCCTCCCCGGGAGGCCCTCTCCGCAAATTGCTTACGTGGTTGAGACTCCTCTAGAGGTCCTTCACCATAACCTATCATTTTGTGGTAATTGTTCGGCCGAGACAAAGGGGTATAGCCTTCTTCTGCACCAACATCGTCGTAGTTTAACTCCGAGTTTCTAAGTTTCGATAGACCGGGGAGATCTCTTCTCAGCTTTCCATGTCCATTTGCATCACGTCGCCCATCCTTCTTCTGTTGACGCTTTTGCTTCAGGAGTCGCTTGTACTCAGCTTCCGCCTCATCATCTGAAAACTCGATTTCCTCATCTCCAACCTCTTCATCATGGAAATTAGAAGCATCACTACCCTTAAGTCCCTTTAAAGGCTGTGTAAACACGAATGTGGAATGATCCATAACGTAAAAAACAGGCGTACCGCGCTCCAGATTTGCCGCCTTTATCGATTCCTCATTTGGGAATCGAACTGTGTATAATGGCTGCTCCACTCTTCCTAAGGTTTCGGATACTACACCAATGACACTTAGATCAGCAAGGCAAAGGACCGAACCGCTCTCCAGCACTTGATATTCTCCAGAGATATTTGCCTTGATCAGGACCACATTTTCCACAATTGTTTCCACGTTTCCAAGGACTTCTACCTTCATATCGGGAGTGACGGTAATGTCAGGTTTAGGTACGATTTCTTCCGGCTTCTCATTTGCTGTCCTAACTTGTCCTCCTTTATGTTTTCCATCTACTTCATCGTCCGAAGCGCCCTCTGTCGCCATCAGTATCCGGGCTTGTTCCTCTGGGTCTAGTAAGTCATACTCCTCGCTGTCTTCATCATCGCTACCATCAGAAGACGAGGATGAGGAAGAAGATTCATAAGGTGAAGAGTCCATCTCCCACTCGGGATTTTCGCTATTGTCGGGGCCAATTTCCGCACCTCCTGTGTTTCTTGGAGCACCTCCAGATAGTCCTCCGGATACTCCGTTCTGCGTTGGTGATATTGGCTCACTATCTGTCGTCGAAATGGCAGTGATGGCATTGGGCTTGGATTCTTCCGAAAAAGTATGATTCTGATCTTGTACTTCTCCTTCATGTTTCTGCACAACAGAGCTTGTATCTCCCATTTTTACATCATCCGGTGGTGTAATTCGTTGATTACATTCGCGCGAAGTTTCAGCGGGCTTAAACCCAGAACTTGCCGATTTGACGATACCTCCACGATCCGCAGACCCATTCCCTTGGGGCGCCACAGTTGCATTGTCCCCATTCAAGAAGCCGAGTCCAGGTATTGTCGGTGTAGGTTTCAACGGTGTAGGCACGACAGTAGTGTTGCTATCTTCGGCACCCCAGCTCTGAGCATTATTGGCCGGTGAACCTGCATTCAGAGGAGTGTTGTAGAAATCGCTTCCATCATCCACAGGCGTTTCTCCAAGCTCGAAGCCATTCGATACTGGTTCAAGACATGGCCGTTTTGCAGGAGGGTCCATAATATCTCCGGGCATTGGCTGGCCCGTAGATGGCATATCCGTCATTACTTAAACTTGTCAACCGTAACAGATAGAAAAGCTGACGCTGTGGAAGTCGTCGTTAGAGTTAAGCTGCATGGAGCAAGTAGTTGTTCTTTTCACAAATTGGTGCTGAATATTTGTAGATACATCAGAATTAACCTAAATATTTAGTTGCATCAGTGGCTTGTCTGAGCTGCCGTAGCACCACCAAGCGGCGGAATCTCCGAAAATCATCAAATATTCAATGTATTCAACAACAAACACATCAATATTGAAAATATTAATAATTTAAGACTATCTAATATGAATATATAACTATTTGTTAGGGCAACTCTGTATAGTATGTTCAATAGTCCCACAGCCACTGCAGCATGGTGGAGCTCACTGGTGAGACATACCGTCAATCTGAGCTTCAAAAGATAAAGCATTAGCTATCTGTTAACTGCTTATCACTCTGAGACTGATGAAACTTTTGAACTCAAACAGTCAAAATATTCCTTCAAAGGTTCTGTAACTATGCATAAGATGACTGAAGTGATCTACTTTCACATGCAGAGATTGTTATTAATGACTGTGAATCTGTTAATGTACTCTACCACTCGATGAGCACACCCTCAACATATATTATTTCTTCAACTTCCAATGTCAACAGCATGGTCAATGAACAATCTATTAAATTAGCAGTTGAAGATTTAAGATCACAAGAGATTCCGAATTACAATTGCACTTCCAAAAAATTCAAAATCAATCAAATGACACTGGTGTGCTGCTATAGAGGTGAAGCAGTTTCAAATTTTAAAGCCATTTTCAAACACTGTAAATAGCTCATCAATTCACAAGAAGATCAGCTTCTTCTACATATAAAATATCTCTCAAGTTGTGGGTTTGCTCCTATACCCCAAACTATAAAAAATCTTATGCTTGAGTTGACAAAAGAAAAGATTAAAATCAATTGAATGAGCACCTTTTATAAATATTTTAAAGATAAGATAATCTATTTATAAATAATTGATCAAAAGCAATATTTTTCTTTTATTTTATTTCATAATTTCTACTATATTATTTAATTTTTTTAGTTTTGATACAATTAAAAATATATAAGTTTATTTTAACTATATATATATTTAAATATTATTTTATTTTAAGTTAAAATTTTATAATTATATATAACTAATTTATTATATTTATAAAATAAATCTTCAAAACAGTTAAATTTTAATATAATTAAATAAACATTATAGTATTTATCTATATATATTTTGAAATAAATAAATAAATAATAATAATATTAATAATAATAACTTAATATAAGTAATATAAGATAATATTTGATAAATAATAAAAATCAAAGCTAATAAAGATTTTATGTGAAATAAAATATAAATTTTATAATAATAAATAAATGAAATTTTTTAATAATTATTGAAGTTATTTTTTAAAAACTTAATTTTTTTATATTCAATTTTTATATTATTTAAATTAAATATTATAAATTGATGGTAAAACACTTAAATAATTATTTACTTTTTAAAGAAAAATGTATTTTTATTAACTATACTTTCTGTGATGGTGTAGAACGGAATCCGTCCAAAGACCACTCAACCTCTTAAGTCCACTGGATAGAGCAGACTACAACCACCAGATACAACAGGCTCTATCTGAACATCGGCATAGCAACCACCCCACAATTACCCCACAGAAACTGCATTGCAATGGCGCTAAGGAAGGGGGGAGCTAAGAATAAGACGCTAAGGAAAGGGGTAAGGTGCTAAGGGCTATATAAAAGCAGGCCTTACCCGGGCCCGTCTTTTAGGAACCATCTTAGTATTTCATTGATGTAGCTTACCTAGTCGGCAATCAAACACCCGTTTACCTGCACCTAGATTGAAGCCGTGACACTTTCAATTGTTTAAATTATAGATTTGACTCATAATTGCTGAATACATGCTGAATAAACATACGAAGGTTTGAAGCCGCATTAACCAGTTAACTATAGTTAGTTATTTTGATTAGTACTATTAAACTACACTATATCACGTGAGTAACTGATCAAGTATGGTGAGATCAAGTTTAGTGGTTAAACTTCATTAGTTACTCTAGTTAAACTAGTCAACTAACGGGGGAACAACACCGGATAGCCTCTGTGATCCTGGTTATCTTGGTTTCAAGCTGCGACATCCAGAGTCTGCGGGAGGGATTGAGTGCTTCATGTGCAAAGAACATATCTTCCAATGTGCAATCAGTGAAAAATGCCCACCAAACAGCTCCAGGGGGCCAGTTCCCATCGTTCTGTTAAAGGAGCATCGAGGAACAATCTCAAGTACGTTAAGGTCGGCTCCAAACATTACTACAGCGGCACATCAGCAGCTGCTAACCATTCGGTGTATAGGCCAGCTCCAAAACAATTCTTCATTCCATTGAACGTCGTCTTCTACCTCTGCCTCCTTTCAAATACGCTTGCGGCCTCCCTTGCGCCCATACAAGACTGCGACGAAGTCTTCAATTACTGGGAACCCACACATTACTTGGTCCATGGATATGGCCTCCAGACATGGGAGTACTCCCCTGAGTTCTCAATTCGTAGCTGGCTCTACATATCTTTCCATGCTGGCATTGCCAAGATATCTACCTTCTTTGTGCGATCGAAAGGCGCGCAGTTCTATTTTGTGAGAATGGCACTTGCGCTGATGTGCACGGCTTGCGAAACCAGGTTATATTCGACTATCTCAAAAACGTTGAATCCTCGGATAGGGGTCATATTTGTTGTGATTATGGCCTTCAGCCCTGGAATGTTCCATGCCTCTGCAGCTATGCTGCCATCGAGCTTTACCATGTACACTTCAATGCTTGGTGTCTCTGCGTTCCTGAACTCGAGCGGCGGGAATAAAATAGGCCGTGGTATTTCGTGGTTTGGTATCGGATCTATACTCGGGTGGCCATTTTCTGGAGCTCTAGTGTTGCCTTTCTTATTAGAAGAAATTACTGTTGGATACATTTCGAAATGTCTTCTAAGAACCTTGATTCGATTTGCTGAGGGCGCTATGAGATGTTTGATATTCTTGGTATGTATTCCGAACTGTACAAAGCCTGTATCCATCCTAATTACTCCAGGCTCTTGAGGTTGTCGCAGATAGCCTATATTATCGGAAACTTGTCATCGTCCCCTGGGATATCGTAGCATACAATGTATTTGGTGGGAGTGGCAAGGGCCCCAATATCTTCGGAACCGAATCCTGGGCCTTTTACTTTCGAAACTTGCTTCTCAATTTCAACATCTGGTTCATATTTGCGCTCTCTGCCGCCCCTCTTCTCATTCTACAGTCCCTATTCCGGTCGCACAAGACATCCAATGAAACAGTTTTGCGATCGATCACAATTATTTTCCCGCTTTACATGTGGCTAGGTATATTTACTATCCAACCTCACAAGGAGGAGCGATTCATGTATCCAGCGTATCCCTTCTTGGCTTTAAATGCGGCAATCGCTTTCCATATTGTACTCGCCTATATTGGTTCTAGCAATCCGAAGGAATTGGTTGGTCGCATACCTCCAGGAATCAAACTCATCATAGCTCTCATCCCTGTGTTCCTGGCCATCAATATAAGCCTACTAAGGACTATTGGTATCGTCACGGGATACAGCGCTCCTTTACAAGTTTGTCAGCCTTTAGAAGCCGCGAACATATCAGACCGTGGAGATTTTGTATGTCTTGGAAAGGAGTGGTACCGTTATCCATCATCTTTCTTTTTGCCTGACAACAAACGAGCCAAATTCATTAAAAGCGAGTTTGATGGGTTGCTACCCGGTGAGTTTATGGAGAAATCTGATGGGCAAGGCCCACGCCCAGGAACATGGATGATACCATCCGGGATGAACGATCAAAATCGAGAAGATCCAGGGAAATACGTAAGTTTTCAGCGAATAATAATTCACTAGTGTAGTAACAAGCGCTCATCTCTAGCAGACGGATATCTCTCGATGCGATTTTCTCGTCGACTCATACTTCCCAGGTGACGAGGAGTCAGCACTACAACCCAATTACATCGGTGATAAGTTCACATGGGAAGAGCTATCATGCAAGCGTTTTCTTGATACCAAAAGAACAAGTCTTCTGGGACGGATAATTTGGATTCCCAACCTTCCCTTCATACCAGAAAAATTCCAACGAAAATGGGGCCAGTATTGTCTCCTTGCACGACGGAAAGTCAACATCAAACATTAAAAGTCGTTCCCAACACTTGCCAAGAAAAGAAAACAGCATCATAGAATTTGTATCGAGGTCGCTCTATCTCTAATTTATAGACCAAAAGTTTGTCAACGCATGCCAAGAACTGCGTTTTAGACGTCTGCAGCTCACATGGAAAAGAGCACTTGACCCATAAAGGATATGTAATCCCGACGAGTGGAACCAACAGAGAGGTCGCAGATGCCGAGAAGTGGCAGAGAGCCAGCGATGAGTGGAAGGGAATGAGAATAGTACAAAATGTAGGAGGGAACTGCTTGCTTGACTATTGAAAGTATGAATATTGTATGTCTCTTGTCAACATGACAAATAAGGTGAATATCAGGCCACTAATGCAACACCTTAATAAAACACTTGAATATAGCCAGCGCCGTAGCCAGCGCCATTACATTAGTCAATTAAATATGTCTTTTTCTTTTAATATTGAATTTAATAAAAGTTGTTACAGTGAAGTTACTGATAATATGAATTAAAATTAATTATCTTTGTTTTTAAAAATTGATTCACTTCAATTCTCAAACATTTATTTATATTCAATTGCTTGTTAATTTTATATTTTAATTCTCAGTTTAGAATTCTCATCAAAGCTATCTAGTTGATGAAATGAAGCTTTCATTTTATTATCATCTTAATTCTAGACTGAGTCATAATATAATACTAAACTTTTCTTTTTTAAAAAAGCTCTAAGAATTGAGTAGGCAGATTTTATGTTCATGTTTATATCTATATTCATGTCCATATCTATATCTATGTCCATATTTAAATGATTTTTTGGTGATTGCAACTGTGCTGAATGCTAAGAAATTTTTATAATTTTATTTTCTTCTTTATTCTTCTTAGTTTTATTATGAAAGTTTCTTTTGCTATTTTTTATCAAAAATTTAAATGTATTATTCAGAAGCTTTATAATCAATATCAACAGCTTTAAATTGAATATCAATCTTTATAAACAGCTTTGAACCACTCTCAATTTCAATTCTATCTAAAGCTCTCACTATCAAACTCTGAAAAATTCACTGATTAAACTCTTAAATTTTCATATCTGACTTATTTCAAAGTCAAATTACATGTTAATCATGTAATTATTAAAGACTTCTATTCAATTCTACATTTACATTTTCACTTATAACTATTTTCTTCTCTTCTTAGTACTCTTAATGTCTATTCTGCTACTCTCTTACAATATTAGTTATAATGCTTTTCATACTTCCTTTTAACAATTAGTTTATTCACATCAAGTGTTTTTATAATCATTCTGTCACTGTATTTGAAGTACTAATTTCACTTACAATTTTGTGATATGAGTCATTCTAAGCTAACAAATCATTGAGAGATTGCAATAACTGATCTGACATCTCATTTAGTTCAGAGATTCCTGTATTCAGAGTGATGAAGTCATTATTGTTGATGTTGTTCAGACTATTCAGTATATTAAATATAAAGGGTTATGCTCTACACCCCCATGATACTCAGGCTACGCCTTCGCGCTATCGAGACACTATCGAATGGCGCTATCGAAACGGCGCTATCGAGGCGTCACCCTATCCGTATGCCCCTAGTACCCAAGACACTAGTCCAATCATCTTCATACCAAAGCTTTGCTCTCTATAGAAGGAAGTTCAATCCTCTACATATATGATCTGTCTTCCTCTTTCCTCCCTTAATGATTCCTTTCTGTTTTCACATGCGTTAGTTATTTGTTGTTCTCAGTGGCTAGCTCATTACGCTTTTCGCTATTTTTCATCTTATTTTACATATCATTTATAATTTTTAATATAGAGATCTTTAACTTTTTATCAACAGTATATTTATATAAAGTAGGGAATTTTTTTTAAGACTTGTTAAATAAGACTTCTAAAGATTATTCTATATTATATAAAATAGTATTTTTATAAAATAGAATATTAAAATTGCTTTCAAAACAATTAAGATTTACATATTTTAATTTGAATAATTATTAAAGAATTTGAATAAATAATTAATATATCTTCAAAGATCTCTGTGAAGTATATTATTTTTACTACAACTTAAGAATTACATTTATAAAATTAAAAAATACAGCTTAACAGTTACTTTTTAGTAAAAATCTTAAATAAATAATTTATATTAATGAAATATTGATTATTGAAAAAGAACTACTACTTCATGAAAATAAGAATTTAATCAACAGTTTGAAGTTTAAAAATTAAAAATAAGACATGATCTTAAATCTATTTTATAAAAAGTATGTCAGTAAAATATAGTTTATCTCTTTTAATAAAATAAAAACTACTCATTAATAAGCTACTGATTTAAAAACTGAAAAGTAATATAATATTGATAAAATTATTGAAGCAAAGATTTAATATATTCTTAAGAAAAAGTAGTATGCTCAGAAGATAGCTGAGTTTAAAACTTTTAAGATTTTAACACTAAATAGAAAAAGAAGAATAAAACAGAATAAAAAAATTATAAAGAATTAAAAAACTATTGAATAGATTTACCCACTCTATAAATATTAATAAAATTAAACTTCTTTTACTAAATTTTATTCTTCTATTTTTATACCAATCTTTTTTTTAGAAAATATAATGAATTCAACTTTACTAAACCTTCCTAGTACCCTTTTTTTAAATTTTTTATCTTAATTATATTCTCACCATCCAGACTATACCAAGCTCAATACCCATTTTTTGCTTAGTTATTTTAATTTTTATACCCTTAGAAACTATATCCTTTAATAATGATATGTGAAAATGAAAATGAAAATAAATTATAATGAAATCAGAATAACACTGATATAGCCCTGCAGATTGAAAAATTCATATAATGTGATGTATATGCTCAAAATTAGTTATCACTTATATAGAGAGAGAGAGAAAAGAGAGGAAATATAGAGGGATATGGAGAGATCCTATAACCCCCCACCTACGTCATTGAGGGAAGGACATCCAACAACGCATTTGAATGCACGAAAAGAATGATTCATCCAGCAGCAAAGTTGACCAAGCTTCCTAATCTCCATTACGGAGAAATATCCTCTAAATAAGTGTGACCTCTGTCCTCATTCTCAGCTGCGCAACCTTCTGGACAATCCCAGCCTTCAGTACCCGTCCAGCCTCTGCTTCACAGCCATAAACGACAGATCCAGAAACGCCAGCCCCAAAGGCCAACCCTCTAAAAAGAAAACCAGGAGGGAACTTTTGCACCGAGAGCCCTCTCTCCACCAAACATGACTGACTATTAATTTTATTTTTAATTAATTAATTAGGTTTATGGGGCTTTCAACTGATGGCAATGAATTGGCGCTTTACTCTGAAGGAATCGACACCTTCAGACTTTAAGCGTCCCATGGAGCCCCCTATACCGACTGTGATGCGCACACCACCAAACCAATCCCATATCGACCCTTTAAATATGGTCCGTAAGTTCAACTGCCTCTGGTAATGAGATTAACCACGAATATTGGTAAAGCATAAGCTAATCTTCTGGTCAAAAGCGATTACTTTGTCATAATGGGGCTAAGGTCGATGAAATGGGATGAATGGATTGGTTTGCATTCAATTCTCATAGTTAACTAGCTATCACAGAGAAAGCAGCCAATTCTGACAAAAATGGGGAATATAAATATCACATCAGAATTTGATAACCACTATCTCCGCTTTGACGCTGAGAAAGCGCGCTGTATATGCGAGCGAGGAGATAAATGCTGCATAACATCCCCTAAGGGCGTGGAGGGTATGATCGAGCTTTTAGACGAGCTGTACGTACTTACATGCATTCCTATAACTATATATATATATATATATATATGCATGCGCCATGAAACCACCCGTCTTCAGAGAAACAATCCAATCCCAACCACCTACTAAACACAACAACGCAAAAATCCAACAACGTCTCCTACCTCCTCCAACGCTACCCAACGCTCTTCAAACGCACGCCAGAAGGCATAGCAAACCTTCTCACCGGCGAATCCTTCAACGCAAGAACCAGCCCCCCCCCCCCCCCCCCCCCCAAACCAACAGGTGACCCCATAATAACCTGCGCCCGCCCTAATCCAAGACGACATCTCCCTGATGTACGAAAAGCCGGACGGCCAATTCTACCTGCTAGCCGGTGCCATCTTTCTCGCTGCGTTCTGGCGACTGAGCCATAAATTCAGCCTCCCCCCTCTCAGAAATCCACACAACTGGCTCCGTCCCCCAATTCCAAACAAAGCTCGAAAAGGGCATGATGGATTTCTTCCGGCGCCTAAAACCTCCAACTCCGTGCTGCGTAACAACTATTTCTTCCAGGTAGACGACGGCCTCGCTTGGTCACGCAGCATTGGTGACGAGGATGATCCGGACGTCAGCTGGAGTATGGCGAGAAAAGATGCGGTGATTGAGCATCATTGGTTTCGATCTGAGAAGCAGTTTTTGCGCCGGTTGCCGAGGACTGGAGCTGTAGTGTTTACTATTCGCACGTGTAATTTTGAGCCTGTGGTGGAAATCGCGAGGGAGCCTGGGGTTCCGGGGAGGTTGGCGTCGGCGGCTAGGAGTTGGGGGGATGATGTTGCGAAGTATAAGGGGCGAGAAAGGTATGGGGATGTGCTGTTGGAGTATTTGGATGGAAAGCGTAAAGAACAGGTTGAAAAGGGGATTGTGCGGACGAGGGAAGAAGAGGAGGCGGCGCAAAAGTATCCGCTTTGAAAGGCAAGGAGTTGGAAGATATATTTGGATAGGGGTCAGGACTAGTCATGAGCAATCCATCCCTAATCCTACGGTATCTGCAAGGGCAACATGAAATGTTTCAAAGTAAACATCTCCAATACAACTTCAATCACATTTCCAGCTACCATGCGCCGACCAGACTACACTACCATAGAGATACTCCCTCTTCACCCTTTATCCTACCTAGTTCACAAGCGAGTCTGCCTCCAGGGGCAATAGTCCACATGATAAACTAACGCACCAATCTCAAAACTCTTACATATCTTAACAAATGTTGAATCTCATATCATACAGATTAATACAAATACATGCACATGCACATAAAATGTAATCGTACACACGTCTCCAAAAAGATATGCCAAATTCATCCCGTCATGCCATCCCATGTAACATGTATGCTAAAAAAAAAAAAAAAAAAAAAAAAAAAAAAAAAAAAAGAGGAACCTGCAATGCCGCAGAACAAAAAGGTAAAACAGGCGCGATAACAAAATACCAAGTCCATTCTATGTCACCGAGCCAATGCAGGAAGGAACCCCTCAAAAAAAAGGGCAGCAAAACAAAAGGGAACTCCTTATCACAATTTTACGCCCCTATAAGTGTATATAAACAAAAACAAACAGGATTCAAAAACATCATCGATATCACATCTCTTCTCTCTCGATATTTTTCCTGTCCCATACCATAATAATGCCCCCATGCCAATATATGAATGAAACCACTTAATGCTCACCCAGGGCGATGAAATGTCTCCAAAAAAAAATTGAAACCCATAGCAAAAATATAGTGCAATAGCGCACAGCATATCCAGCATGTACAGCGCACAATCCACAGCGTACATACACTGCACCGTACGGACGGAAGTAGAGATGCACTGGGCATCATTGTGTGTGAACACACTACCTGTGAATCATCAAGCAGCAGTCTACGCTGCGCTATACAGCCAGGAAACCGAAAGAACCCGAAGCCGAAGGAAGAAAAACGCAAACATGCATCATTTCAGCACGAAGCATTTTTAATCCCCAAGCAGAGGGAAAAAAGAGGGAAAAGGGAAAGAGAAAAGAGATGGAAAATATAGTATATAATAACAAACAAGTGAAAAAAAAAAAATTAAGAAAATAAAAATAAAAATAAAAATAGGACAAGAAAAATCACCCTCATCTTTTTTTTATGGAGTAGTAAAAGCTGAGGGGTTCCGTCCTTTCTCAGTGTTGACCCCTAACTTCCGTTAATCATTCGTAACTTCATAAAAATAACAAAATCAAACCGTTCTGGAATTGGAAAATCAAAAACATTCTCATCAAAAGGGCCAATTTAAAGCCATGCTAAAAACCAAAACAAACCAAACCAAATCCCAATCACAATTTCAGAACCACCACCAATGCACATATGCCATGCAATGCGTTAGAAAAACCAGAAACAGTAGAGAAATTGAGAAAAAGCAAGTATAATGTCGTGAGGTTTTCCCGATCATGCATGCAGAAACCGCGTGCTTTCCACTGGAGTTTCCAAAACATCCGTGTATCATAACTCCATAATAATCCAAACGGGTAAGAGAAAGAATAAAAAAGGCAAAAGAATATAAATTCTGCAAGCCGAGAATGACTCGTTAGAGCAGTGCCCTTGTCACAGTTGCAACAAATTACCACTCCGGGCATTAAACTTTAAAGGACAGAAAGTTTCAAATAATATCACTGATGAGAATTTGGCAAAACCCAAAAAAGCTTATGAAAGTCGGAAAGGGTAAACTTAACGCCGATCGAGTGGATCCAAGAGCACGTGCCAACCAAACTTGGAATTAGCGCAATTTATCTGAAAAACTTTGCTCGCTTGGCACAAGTCATCGCTTGGTAGCGGTATGCCGTCATCGTGGCTTAGTCAGAGGATATTTTGGGTGGCCGTGCCAAGTTTTCTGGAAGGCTTCGAGGCTTGGTTCTGGGCCCTTTCGATGAATTCGTTGATTCCAAAGTCGCATCCATGCTAGGACACGTGCTCAGGAGGACAAACCAAAGGTTTGAGGGGGGATAAAGAGTAGTGGAAGTGATTTTCACTCCAATTTTAATCCCTTCCGCCTCTGCTTGCCCGGCCAATCAACCTGAGGATGAACAACCCGCATATGTCTTGTAAGAGCATCGTTGCGAGAAAACGTCTTCTCCTCCGTGCACAAATGACACCGAACCTTCTGCTTACGAGCATTATGGATCGTGTCTTCGTGTCTCGTAAGATCGTAAGGGCGTGAGAAGATAGAGTTGCATGGTTTGCCTGTAGATGGATTGATGCGCTCGCATTTATGAGGGCCAGCCTGGGAGTTGCGCATGGCCAGAGATCCAGCAGATGAATCTCGTGCCATTGCATGTGAACCGGGTGTAGTTTGTCTATGGGCTTCCCGCTTATGTTTCTGGAGCTTGGCAGGTGTCTCAAAACGGAGGGTACATCCGTGATAGGTGCAGCTATACGTTCCTCCATCGGAGGAAGTGTCTTCGGGTCGTCTGGCGGCTTCTGTAGGATGGGAAGTTGGGGCTCTTTGTCCAAGCCCTCCAACCAAAGGCGACCTGTTCCCCGCTGGAGTGTTCGTATCACTGGAAGTAGATTCCATAGATGGAACATGAGGTGGGAATTCAGGAGTACGCTGGACTAGATTGCTGTCCCTTTGGATATGAGGCTGCTGCACTTGGCGAGGTGCCTGCTGCTGTTGCTTCTGTGGGCCCGCTAGTTGAATAGGGACCTGCTCCTGCATGTATCCAAATTGTTGAGGAATATGGTTTTTGGGATGAGCATATTGGTTCGGGAACTGTTCCATTTGTGGAAAGCCGGTGTTTGGTTGGAAAGCAGTAGAGTTTCCTATGGCCGGAACATGGTACTGCGGGGCATCAGTCTGAGGTGGAAAAAGTGGCATGTTCGCATCCTCTGGTGACTCGTTATAATCAAGCAATGCATCCTTTGGTGAAATGGTTTTCGGCTCGGACTGCTCCGCGGCCATCAGCATACCTGGCTGCTGTTGAGCAGCGAGATGCAATTGATTCGTGAAAGGTTGCGATTGTGATATTTGCACATCATTGAAAGCGGTTTGTTCGTGCAGGAATGGAGAATTATCTCGCCATGGAGATCGATTTCGAGCTGCTGAAGCAGAGCGGGATTGCGATTGTTCAGACATGTGGCCGTCGTGTGCAGCCTGTATTAAATCTGAAATGATATTGCGGTGATAGGGTGAGAACATCTTCCTGCGTTGGTGGGAAGCTGGATTGGGTTGCTTTGATGTGGCAGTAGGGTTGGGATCGAATAGGGTGTCTTCGTAGATATCGGATACTGTTCTGTTCAGCTTGGGAACGCCAATCTGATTCTGGCTATCTTGCTCACTGAAATCTGCGGCTGCAATGGCATCAACACGTAAGTAATCATCCATCCATCCACCAACGCTGGGGTATTTGTCCTCACCATTGGACATAGACCTTGAACCATTATCATGATCGTCAGGGTTTGTTGCATGTGAAGTAACAGGAGAGTTATGACTCTGTGTGGAAACAGAAGGCGGTAGAGATAATGAAAATGACTTGTCGTCCTCCACTGGCTGTTGTTGGTGGTGGTGCTGCTGCTGCTGCTGTTGACGTTGTTGTTGACGTTGTTGTTGTTGTTGTTGCTGATGATGATGATGTTGTTGTTGCTGCTCCAAGATGGCCCTTCTCATTGCCAGATCCACCTCTGGCCGTTCGCAACCACGAGACGACTGATCAATGGACTGGAGGAAGGCACTCTGGACAGGAGTATGGTCTGGAGTTGGGAGAGGCTTCGTAGAAGTAGACGAAGTCAACTGCTGCGGACAGTTGAAGCTTGAGGGAGGATAAGACGACACGGAGGGGTCGAGTGGCGACACAGCACCAGTTGCAGGAGCTGATAACTCCGAGGCAGCTCTATTATATCGATACTGGTTATAAAGCACACGTTGACGTGGCCGTGATGGCGTCCTCTGAAGTCTCTGCTGCTGGTTGCTGTTGCTGTTGCTGTTGCTGTTGCTGTTGGAATTGGTGCTGCGGCAGAACTTGACAGGACCTAGAAAATTATTCCAACTATTGCTGTCAAGCGGAAGCCCACTCTGTAACAGCATGGACGAGTAGTTGTCCTGGTCATAGGACGAGTCCTCGAAGGGAGGCGTTGAGTTGTGTATTCTGATGGGCGGGGTGTGTGATGTTTGCGACAATCCGACTGGAGATGGGAAGGTGCTTTCTGGCATAGACACGACGCCGGGGTCTTGGTAGAAGGAGCTGAAGTCTGTTGGAGAGTTCTGGGGGGAGAACGCGGCCGCAGAGCAAGCGGGAGAATATACGGGAGACACAACAGCTGAGGAGCCGGGTGGCGGTGACTGGGAAGGAACGGGAGTAAGAGGAGTTGCGTAGTAGAATTGCGCGTGTTCAAGCTGCAGAGGGAGGTCGCCGAGCAAGTGCTGCGAGGAAGAAGACTGAAGACGGTGGCGGAGAGAGCTGTATTGGTCAACTCTATCGCTGTCGTCGTTATTCTGCAGGTTCCTAGAGTTTAGATGTGGTTGTTGAAAGAGGGGCGACTCAGACTGTGGATATGGTGTTTGGTGTGGAGGAGTGGTTGGGGGATAGTGGGCGAGCATGTCGAAGAGAGTCAGGATGGGGCCCGCTTACGGTATATATATATAAGATTATACATATAAACCGTAAACTGTAAACCCTATATGGGGGGGGGGGTTATGCGGAAAATATGCGTATATATAACAGAATGTATGGAAATGGGGGTTGGGTGACTGAGGAGTTGGATGGGCAATTTAGGCTTTTTCAAGTTCTGTAGAGTGGCGAAAACGACAAACTCTCAAGACTTGGGATGGTATGAGGAAGAGAGGAACCGAAACAAACAATAGATAAGATGGAGTACAGGTGCTGGTTGGGGGTTGATGGGAACAAGAGATTGCAAAAGAGATTTAAACTGTTCTCCCTTTTCTTTCTATGGAGCTTGTTGTGTATGTATGTGGTGTATGTTGCTTTGTATGTTTATATTTATCAGTGGTTGTTCGTAGCTGTTCTGCTCTCTTGCGGCGGGGATGTTCTATTGTATTTGTACTGAGCCCTGCTTCTGCCGGCTTGGCGTATTTTTCTCTGGTTTCTGCTCTCTCGCGTACTGAGTATTTCGCGCTCGGTTTTTTTGCTTTTTGCACCGCCCAGGTACCAGGGTTGGCGGGTTTAGCTTTTCAAAAAAAAAAAAAAAAAAAAAAAAAGGATAAGTATCGGCCAAGATCTGGGTCTAACCAAGTTCGGATCCTTGTCGGCTAGAGGCTCCGCTTTGGGTTTTTGCGTTTCTTTCTTCGAACCTTTTTTTAAAAAAAAACTAGCTTGTTCTTGTTTGGGAACGGAGGGTTGCAATTAGCGCGGTATTTTGTCTCAGTCATTCCGATCCGCATAAAAGCAATGCACACTCTGTATTACTTTTCTTCGCTCTCCTATGTCGACGTCCAACGGGAGGTTGTTGGGTTCGGCGAGGAAATTGGAGAAGACGAATGTGATGGTGAATAGTATATGACTATATGGAACAGCTATGACGATGATGGCTGTGTTGCGTGTGTAGGATACTTCGGGCTTCGAGAATCAGGTTTGCCCGACGGGAGAATCGGTAATATCAGCAGCAGGGGAGAAAGAATATGTGGTGACTAATCAATACGATTAGAGAGTCAGGTGGAATAAAAATGAAGCTATATCAGGAAATTCGATTAAAATGCCTGTCAATTGATCATTAGGGGGAAGGGTTGGAGAAGATATAATTAAAACTGAGACAAGAATCACCCTCTAAGAACGAGATGGTGGTCTTGAACCTATAAATCAGACACAGTCAAACTACCAAACTCTCCCAATCCGTACTCTCATCATCATCATCATCATCATCATCATTCATCATACATACATACCCTAGGAAGAGTTTGGTAGCATCATTGCAGCCCATCAACCGGAACCCACCAAAGAATGGGAAAAACAGGAATAACATGATGATCAGAAACATCACTGGGGCACACATGACATCTGGCAAGCTGTCGTTGTCTACAAGAACCCCGACTCCTGCTGCCTCTCACCCCGAACCTTAGATCAGTACACGTCAAGTAATGTCATACCAATGTTATTATGTTGACCAAATCCAAATTTGGGTTGGCCCTTTTCATCTGCTCTGACCACTCCAGCATATCCCCCTCCGAGAATGGGCCCAGAATGCCCCAGTTTTTAGTAGCACCTAACTAGTCTCCTGTAACTATCATTGCAGCTGAGCATTTATTGATAATTATAACAGAGCGACCTTTGTGCACGCTTCAACCGGGCATTTCAAAGCTACGATGCTATTAGTTACCTATTTTTTTCCAATCCCAAACTCTTAGCGCCCTGGCGTATCTAATTTTTCCTCACGTTTTTTCTCGTAGAAATCTCGTCGTATTATTTTCGGCATTCCGATACAAACTTCTTGAGCTCTTGGCGTTTTTCTGCTGTGTCATTCTACTATGACGTCGCACTCATGGGGTGTGTGTCACACCACTGGCATCCTGGAGATGATTGCAACTTTCCATCCCTCGGCAGCTTCATTATTCCATGTTACAGCTAAGTGTACGGAGTAACGTGTAATGTACACAAATAATAAATATGCACGCTAATGACCGACGCTTGCATGTCCCATGCGACTCCAGGGATGCTACGTCAGCCTAGGAAAACGCTATAACGCCTGTGCAGGTTTAGCGCTCCCGCGCTACAAAATATCGGGCCCGGGATGTAAAAATCTTTACCTTTCCGCGGTCATTCGAGTCCGAACGTTGGGCATGTACTCCGAGCGCATATGGAAATATTCACTTCAATTCAATCAATGCCTATTCATGTTGATCAGCGGGATTTCGCCGAACAAAAGTGACAATTTTTCAGTTTTAGGTTCTTCCTCCCATAACAGTTATTGTTAAAATCGGTTAAACCAGTGATCAAAGTCGAGTGAGGTATACTCCGTACTAAACCCGGGAGAGAGTCGACATCAGCCGAATGATTCCGGAAAAGCCACGAATTGAGTCAATCATACCCCGAGGGAAATAATAGCTCCTTTCCTATTTCTCATCAGTCTTCGGGAACTTTCTTCTCACCTACCGAAATTCAATCACCCACTTATTCTACTCTACAAAAACAAAAGCACATGAAAATTCTCAAGAATGATGGTGACTAGTAAAGCATTCTACCTAGGTACATTATTTTCAAAGAGCTGAACTACTACCAACCTACATACAACGTAGCGATGACACTTGCCCATCATCTTGCATTGTCCAACCCAAACAAAGTGCCAACCTTTTTCCAGGTGCCTATGCATCTGAACACATGGACCGCATGCTTGAATGCTGCATTACAGATCGGTTGTAACACTCTAGGCACGTGGGTAATAATCATATCCGTCCGATAAACTAGGCAGAAAAAAAGAAAGGAAAAAAAAAAAAATTAAACAACCCTATGCAACGACAAACCGCCCCGCAACAAACAATTTTGACCGATGAGATCAAAATGAGATCAAATGCCAGCACATCAGAAAACAGAATACATCACCAAGCCGAGCGACCAATAAAATCCTGCAGAAATATCAGGCTTCTTCCATAACAATCCCAACCGGGTCCATCTTTCAGCCACACCCCCCCATGCAGGTACACCCTACCGATTGACAAATAGCACTGTTCCAACAACGCGATGACGCTTGACCATCATCTCAACCTACTACATGTGATGGGCGCTAGCTATGAAGCAAGGTCGGCACGGAATGCATCAGCCACCCTTTTCGGCGAACCCGGAATATTCACAACGGATTTACTAGCGTCTTGCACAGCCACTTCTTCGAAATCATTTAGCCAGAGAAAATATTTCGGCCGAGAAAAGTGCGCCAGCCAATGAAGAGATAATAAAATTTCTTCTTTGTCATTGGCTAGCTTTCCAATTATTTTTTTATTAAAAAAAAAATTTTTAAATAAATTCTTTTGAAAAACCGTGGGATTTTCTAGGTTGAGACCGACTGAACCACAGTTCCAGTGCTTCATCTCGGGATTTCAGGAACTGTTATCCACGAATTTACTCCTGCCTCTACCACTACCAACCATCGTCTCTCGTGAACACGTATCGTTTGGCTTCTTGCTCGATTTTTCACTGCTTAGTTCCTGGGAAATTGGATTGCCTAGATCAGATCACCGGACCTGCCCGCTAATAATGATGAAAGATCAGCAGAAAAAAGAATGTAAAATACCATCAACTGGCTGCAAACAGCAAATGCCTACCCGGAACATATACGCATGTGAACAGGTTACTGGCATTTCTAGATATCTTATACGGAACTAGTGGGTTCCTTGTATAGCCGCTGTATTCAGTAACTTTCATATACTCAATATCAGAACAATAACGTACTTCACCATATATGTATAAACTACACTATTTACCGACTGACATCAAACTTGACACTATCCCATGCATAAATGCATAAATCCATTGATGGACAATTAATGCAACAACAATATCAACACCTAATCTCTACTTCGGAAAATAAAACTTAAATGTATCCATGGACGCTGCATAGGCATCAATACCCGGATCAGTGGAACGGCCATACCTAGCTAGCCACGGTATGAACTTCACGTCCCCTTCATGCTTTCAGACCGATGGAGTCAAAATCTGATACCAGGCTACCATTATTATTTTGCTGCTTGACTTCCTGTAGATGATGAAATGCGACAATTTCGCCAAATTTCACCATTAGGTTTTAGGCACACATTCCTACTACAAATATCCTACCTCGGTAGGCATGTATGTACTGTACAGCAGCCAACTTTATCCTAGGTTTCCTCCGTTTCGTGTGCTGCGACAAAGCAGTCAGCTCGAAATTTTTTCCCTTCAAGGTTATTTTGTTTCTCTTGAACCGCTCTTTTCCACCTCCTCGTGAATCATATATGGGTTATTGCTTCATAATGTGTCTTGAGTAATGCGCAAATGACTCGAAAAGCTTAGGAGCAATTGCAAGGAGCAATTGCTGGTGAGTAATGTACTGGATACTAGCTGGGTAGCTAGTTAGGTATAAATTCTGCAGGTAACTTAACTAATATTAATAATATTAATAGTTTTAATTTTTTACTAGTTGGTTTATTTAGTTTTTAGATTTATAAAATAATTTAAATAAATAGCTAATTATATTTATTAGAATTTATAATACTCAAAAATAAAATAATAATTTAAATAATTTAAATAATTGATAAGATGTAAAGTAAGAATATATTACATTTATGAAAAGAATCTATAAATGATTCTTTAAATATTGTTAATCCTTTATTATACCTAAAATAATATAAAAGTATATAAAGTTATGTTACTTTATTTTTATAGAAATTGTATAAAAATTATCTTAGTAGGACATTAAACATCTTAATTTTTATTTTTAACAATAAAAACATTCTTTTAATGTGTAATAATTATTTAATTAGTTATTTATTTGTTTACCTTTAATTTTTTTGTTTGTTCTCCAGCAATTGAACACAACCAGACTAAAACTTGTAATTCTGTCCACGTGAAACTAATGTCACAGGGTGGGCTCATTTTTCCTATCCTCGCGTGGTATGTT